AGCCCAGGGCGGGGAAGGGCCTGTGAGGCAGGGACAGAGCCTGCAGGAAAGCAGGTCTCCCAGCCCCCAGGGCAGCGCTGCGACTGCTATTCTGGTGTTCCCAATGTGTTTCTGCACTCCAGGGTCTGGGATTAGTGCTGAAGACTCTGGGAGTCCTTGCACCTGGATAGACACCACTAGACAAGAAGACCTGAATTTTCCTTCTCACAACACCACCCCTCCATTGTGCCAGGCCCAAGGAAGTGGACTCACAACGCAGAATTTTCACACAAATACAGACACACAAGTGAATAAGCACCTTGGATTTATTCTCCCCGCCCACGCCTGAAGCCACCTCACTAAATGTACATATACACAGTATATAATGCCATACAACGTTCTCCACATACATGAACACAAGTCTAGGCTTCGCTACTGTGCGGGAGTTTGTTAAAAGTACCCATCATTTGGTCAAAATAGATCTTCGTTATTACATGGAAACAGTAAGCATTCAAAAGGAATATGTGAAGTGCTTGCCCCGGCCCAATCAGCCTCAATCGTTTATGCTCTTAATAGAAAAGTCCATTCAACAAAGCAGAATCCTGGGGGTCATGTGAATGACGCAGTAAACACTACTTCCGAAGCCACCCCAGAATCACGAAGGCGTGAAGGGTAAAGAAGGTCATGTGTACCGAGCACAGGTTCGAGGAACAGAATGGATTTGGTAAGTTTACCCTAAATAAGAGGCGCTTGCGGGCAGCAGCCCCGCCGTCGGTACACACAGCCAGATGTTTCCATATCCGGCCATTCCCAGATTTTACTGACAAGCCCGTTTCCACAGGGTCCCTGCCAATGACGTTGCCCCAGCAACAGAATCTGACATCACTGCTCCCGCCCGGGAAAGGCAGAGCTCTCTCCTCGTTTGGGGCCAGACCTTGAGGTTTGGTCCATGGCTCTCCAGATCAGGGCTCAACCAAAACCAGCAGAACCTCTCCTTCCTCCTCTCCCGGGCCTCTCCCACCCCACCCCCCACTCCCCGCCCCTCCTGGAGGGTCCAACACCCACGGTGCCAAGGGCTCTGAGCCTGGAAGGCAGGGGCAGGTCCAGGGGGCGGAAGAGAGGCCGCTACCTTCCTGGGGGTGGAGAATGAGGCCACTCACATGGCAGTACATACAATGCCTCCCCCCCTTTTTTTAAATATATTTTATTGATTTTGTACAGAGAGGAAGGGAGAGGGATAGAGAGTTAGAAACATCGATGAGAGAGAATCATCGATCAGCTGCCTCTTGCACACCCCCTACTGGGGATGTGCCGGCAACCAAGGTACATGCCCTTGACCGGAATCGAACCTGGGACCTTCCAGTCCGCAGGCCGACGCTCTATCCACTGAGCCAAACTGGTTTCGGTGACAACGCCCCTTTCTGTAAAGGCCAGAAGGCACGGCTGTGCTGCGCCACCTGAAGCAGGCAGAGGAATCTCTGTGCAGCGGGTGGACTCAAAGCCTTCCTCCTGTGCAGGAGGGATGGGTTCGCCCAGTATTCTCCTCCGCTGCGCTCTGCCCTCAGGAGAGCATGCCAGGGGGCAGGCTGAGGTTATCACAGTTCCCAGGTGAGGACATGGGGCCGGCGGGCAGTGACTCAGAGCCACGCTGGCCGGCACGCTCCTTCCCCAGCCTCACCCCTCAAGGGCGCATCTGCCCTCTCCCGCTCCTCCTCTATGAACACTTGGGGTGCAGGCAGAGCTCCCTGCACCTGGGCAGGATTCCGTGCGGGAACAATGGCGTGTGAACCGCCGAGCAGGGCACACGTCTGGTTGCAGCCAACACTCACATCCCTGCCGGTCCTCCAGCCTCGCCAGTGCTGACTGAGCCAGCAGTGGGCTCTCTGAGGGCCACCTGTTTCCCCGGTACAATGAGCGGCCGACTCCTTCGAGGAACAACCAATGGCAGCCCTGGATGGGGTTGCAGCCCGAAGCCCCCATATGCCAAGAGGCAGCTGCCATCTTCCAGCAGACAGAGCCCTGAGCTCTGATCCCCCACCCCCAGCTTCCTGCGCCCCAAATAGCCAGCCTGGCTGGTTGTCGCCTATGACTCAGGGCAGTGCTGACCAGGCCCCCAGGAGTGCTGAAGCTCCTGAGGGCACACAGGGAGAGGGCCGGGCTGTGCCGCCTGCCCCCTCTCTGAAGCTCCTGTACCCACCCTGTCAGTGACAATGAAAGGTGCCTTCCCCATCCCTCCAGAGTCCAGGGTCAGCCTCTGTGGCCAGGGCTGGAGAGTGGGGCAGAGGCGGCGAGAGGAGGGGACACCTGGGAAAAGAATGAGGTTGATAGAAATGATGAAATGATGATTAAAAGTTTTCGTTTCAGCACTCCTCCAAACACCCTTCTCACAGCCCTCCCAGATCTTTAAAACATGGGGCCCTGGCTCACAACGTCTGCCAACAGCGCTCACATCCCTCCTGCCGCAGGCAGCGGGGCCCCTAGCACCGGAGGGAATCCCACCCTCAATGTCTGACTCTCTCCCCTCGGGAAAAGGACCGCCAGACCGGTCCTGGTCACAGCCCGGCCAGCCTGGGGGACAGAAAGCAGCCAGAGTCCCCGTGCCTCCCCCACGGCCTGCCTCCCAGGGGAAGGGGTAACCCTGCTCGAGAGCCCAAGCCGCGTTCCTGCCCGCACACTCAACAGGACCAACACTCTGACGCTCCCGACCTTGCAGCATCCGATACCGGAAGGCACTTTGAAGGTTTCATTGTCATCATGTCCCGGACCTCACCCTGTGAGGTGGGTGGGGCAGGTGGCCTTTAACCACTGGGAAAACCACGGTGGTGAGACGGCCCTGACTCCGTGATGGAGTGACAGCTTTCCGGCATTGAGGATGACACAGCGGGGAGGGGAGGGGCCTGGACCAAGTCACCCCTGAGCTGGGATTTCCCTTGGACGAAATCTCAAGCCCTTCTCTCCTATCAGCAGTGCCTCCCTCTGGGGCTGAGCCTCTCTCAGCAGGGTTTCAGTTAAACAGTGTTCATGCGTTTGTACTGCTTGGCTGGCCCTCTTCTCCCCTTCACTTGCAAAAGGAAACCTCCAACCCCAAGACCACAGTCACCCAAGCGTGGAGACCATGGCGGCTAGGGCAGGGAGCAATCCCAGGAGGGCTAACTCTTAAGCGTACTCTATACTGCTTGTGACTGGTCACAGGCTCAGATGCTCAAGGCATCTGGGGTTTGGGGCAACGGGGCAAGCACGTGGGTTCAAAAAGAAAACAAATCACTCATAAGCTGTTCCACCAACTTTTACAGCTTCTTTGTGCTTCTACCATAGAAGGATTTGTCTTGCCTCCTTGGCTTCCACTCTCTTTCACCATCTCTTCAAAATGTCCTTCCAGAAAGCCTGAACATTCACCTGCTGCATATGCCAAAATTATGCAGATCCAAAATCAATAGACAGACAACTCTGCAGTTTCCATCTGAGGGTGTTGCCAGTAGAGCTTTCACATCCAGATATTTTATTTGAGTAAAAATAGAAAATTCCATTATAAGAAAATAAAAATCACTCTGGCAACATTTCACCCACAGTTCCCAGCCACATACACTTGTTTTTCTTAAAGTGATATCAAGGTAGCTCAGTAACAACACACCACCAGGAAGAACCAGGACGGCCGAACCCCCGAACCCACCAAAACAATATCCTTGCTTGCTCTTGGGCGCGATATCTCTTGCACTGACTTTCAACTTACAAAAACTATCAAAATAGGATTTTTTAAATGTATCAAGACTACATAATTCCATTCCGAGTATTCCATATAATTGTGGTTGAGCTATTCAGATCCCAGGCTTCTACCAAGAACTATCTAGGGGCAAGCTTCCGAACTGGCTCCTGAGTGGTACTGGATAAGCTAAGATCTGACTCAGAGCCACATTTTGGAAAACTATGATCAATCAGCATTTTGACAGGGAGATAAAGGAAAGCTTTTCCGAGCATGGGATTAATTATATATTTGTAAAGCTTTTAAAAAGTTAACACCTACTGAATGCTTATTCATAAAAAACGAGGCCTTGACCCAATGAAGATGACTGGGAAAGGTGGAGAGGAGTGGTTAATTTGGGAGGTCTTCTGGAACAGGTACACAGGGTCAAGGGGTTGGTCATTAAAGTGACAGGCCCCGGCCGCCGTGTGCAAGGCTGACGGCAGCAGCCTCTCCCACTGGCGTCCGTAATGTGCGCCTGCGTGAATCCGTGTGGTTCCCCTGTTCCCATTCACAACCCACGGCAAGGATTCTTGCTCAATTAATTTTTAAAATATTCATATATGCCCTGCAAACTCGTACAAAACATTGCCGTACCCACACTGTCCCACCACCGTACAAGGTTTATAGTTATAAATTAAATAAACTGAGCTTTCTTCACCATTTTCTCAGCTTAAAGTCTGCCCGGACCCTAAATGTAGATAAGTTCAATTTATATCCAAAATATATTTCACTGTTCTAAAAGTACCATATTGATAACTATTCTAAGTTATCAAAAATGTAAACAAAAATTTATCTTGCTCAATTCATGAACCATATTTCTAAGTTTTTCAAAATTCACCCTGTACTGACCCTCAAAGAAAACCTAATCAAGTCACATGGGACGCTGACACGCTGACGTGGATTCGAACTCGGTTCCTCAGAGACAACTGCCTGTCACTAAACCTAGCACTACTGAATCGAGTGGTTTATTGCATCCGTTCGGTTTAAAAGACCAAAAGAATTCCCTTCTGGGCGTCCAGTACGCTCTGTCTGAATTGAGCCCCGCGTCTGCTGTCCTAGGTCCACGTGCCAGACTGGAGAGCCAGCAGTAACGCTCCGCTCGAAACTGGGCCTGGGCATCGAGCCACCTCATGCCTCCACGGCACCTGTCAGAAGTCCCCGGTCTCACCCAGTCCGGTCTGGTCAAGATGAACTTCGAGGATGGAAGCTTGAGGTGAAGTTTGAGAAGCCAAAAGGGAAACACGGATGACCCTCGTGTGAAAACTGAAGGGCCCGTTCCTCACACTCCGCAGTCAGACGGCTTCTCCTGGAGCTGCCTCGTCAGGATCTGGTGCGAAGACAGAAAAGCCACGCCCACGTGGAAGAGGATCTGCCAGAGGTTCCTCAGCCCGTGCAGGTACGCGTTGCCCAGGCAAATGAAGAGCAGCATCAGCACCACCTTCGTCATCCTGGCCGGACTGTAGACCAGGTACAAGTAACACTGAAATGACAGCAGGCGGAGAGGTCCACTCAGGCGGAAAAATGGCCACGGGCCGGATGCAAGATCCACTTCTCACACCTGCCACGTGGCGTCACGTCACACACATTAGCTTATTACCCTGAATTCATCACAGTGAGGCTGTGACTGGCTGGGTAAGTCACTGTTCATCGCTGGCGGGAAGTGGAGATTTGGAAAAGGAAAGTGAAACAAGGCCCTGACTGGTGTGGTTCAGTGGATAGAGAATCGGCCTGCGGACTGAAAGGTCCCAGGTTCGATTCCAGTCAAGGGCATGTACCTTGGTTGCGGGCACAACACCAGTAGAAGGTATGCAGGAGGCAGCTGATCAATGTTTCTAACTCTCTATTCCTCTCCCTTCCTCTCTGTAAAAAATCAATTAAAAAAAATTTTTTTTTTTAAAAAGTGAAACAGTTAACACAGGAGGAATCAGAACACTGCACTCCTGAAAGAGGTTTAGGAAATAAAGACAGAAATGCAGAGGAAGAAGAGATGGGGTCAGGGGCGGATAGCCAGGCCAGGACACCTGACAAGACTGACTGGCCTCCCAATGATGTTTTCCCTCAGGGGCTCATGGCAGGTGAGAAAGGCAGTGAGAGGAGCTATGCTTTTCCGTTTAGGGTTTCCTGAGTTACAGGTCCACAGGGTCTGCTGTCCCCAATACATTATCACACCCTCAAAAGCATCTGCTGTCAGGAGATGGGAAGGTCTCAGCGGGGAAGGGACTGATGTTTTGTGTCAGGCTCACAGATGGAAAATAGGCTGTTTTTGTTCTGCAAAAGGTGGAAACAGCCTTTTGCTTAGGTGTTAAAAAAAAAAAAAAAAGTACATTCTCAAAACACAGGGCAATCTGACTACAGCTTGGCTCAGGGGGAGGAAGAGATCCCCTTGGAAAGAGCTAACAAATGAGAAGGCAGTTGCAGGATTGGAAAGCGGGGGACAGGGGCAAGGGGTAGGGATACTGTAAGATCCCGCAGCCTGAAACGCAGCTCCATGAACCGGTCACAGGCAACACCCATGGTTTCCAAGGCTTGTTTCTAAAATTTGAGTGCATTTTCCTTTTTGGGCTGAAAATTTCTTTTTGCACAATCATGAAATTCTTAAAAAAAAAAAAAAAAAAAAAATACACCATTTAGGGTGTGGAAGTGCCCTAAGAACAGAAATTTTAATTTAAAAAAACAAAACAAAAAACCTTAAAGATGAGAAAGTATTAAATCCTAGCCCAGTGGAGGACAAGTACAGAGAATCACAGTCAGGTTTTTACTAGAATTAACTTTGCTTTTGGAGATTCAAAAGCTCCTTTTGACTCCATCCTTTACATATGCATCTTATCTGAACATAGTTAAATAATAACCGAGGCTCTCTAATGTTATTTTTGTTTCATTCCCTAAGGGCAGAGTTGAGTCAGATAGTACTACTATTTAGAACACTTTTTACCTATCCTTGTTTTAGAAACACTCATGCAGACACAGCCGTGACCTCTGCAGAAGGACGTTTCTGAACTTGGGTTGTTCAACAACAAGCTGGAGGCAAGGCCCAGCCACAACCAGTCAGGCCCAGCCCAGCCCTCACCCCGGCCAAGTCCCTGCTCCGTCTGCCACCACGAAAGGCCTGCGGCCCTGCGTTCCCTCGCAGAGCCCAAAGTTCTCGCTCTGTTAAGGGAGAGGCTTGGGCAGGACGGGCCTAGGGTCCATCCGCTAAGAGCCGGTGTTGTCCACGATTTGAACCAAGGCCTTGGTGGAATGAAATTAGAATCTAGAAACCTGTTGATGGTCCCAACAAAAGAACAAAACAAGGCCATGGTTTAACCCACTCAGCACAATTTCCGCATTTCACTCACCTGGAAAATGCAGGCTACGAAAGGAATAAGAAAAGCCAGAATATTTCCAATTTCCTCATGGGTAACCTAAAACAAACAGGAGGAACACAATAAAAGGAATATTTAGGTGAAAGGAAACACTCTCGGGTCCGGTGTGGTTGACAGCACACAATCCCTGGCTGGGTGAGACACGAGTCCCTGTTTATGAATCAACCAGAGGCTGATCTGCATCGTCTTCAATGACCTGGACACACTGTGCACCCTCCCCACGCATCTGTGCTGAGCCCTCAGCCTGAAATGCCCCCGACAACCTCGCCACCTCTCAGAATCCGCCCTGTCAGTCAATACCAAGCTTCCCCTACTTCCTCCCATCCCCAGGTACTGCCTTCCTCAGTGACGTCACCATACTCTGCTCTGTGCCCATGAGGCAGGGACCGTGTCTTAACCATCATGTTTGCCAGACCCGGTTCTGGCGTGTACAGACATTGGTAAGTAACAGGTTATGAGTCATCATAAACAACAGGAGTGGGAACCACACCGCACACGGCCAAAGACAAGAGGCGCTAAGAGGCGGTAAGAGACGGTCCCCGCTCTTGTAGGACAGGCCTGCTGCCATTTCCCCAACGGGGCAGCCCACATCGGTGCCCTGAGACTCAGCAGCAGCCATGCCTCAGACTTCAGCCATCACGTACTGTGGCTCTATCCTTGAAAGTAATACCTGCTTATGCTCGTGATGATTCTATATTCATAAAGTGTTTGAAATACTTCAAAATTTAAAAACATTAGAAAGGTGCTTTGAGAGGAGCAGGCTGGAAAGTCAACTTCCTGGCGAGAGTTTTGACAAGGACACAGAGTAGTGGAATTTGCATGATATCAACCAGTCTAGACTCCAACTTTTGCCCAGCGAGGACAATCTCGCCCTGTAGCGATTCCTGAGCCACCAAGTTACCCATTTCTCACCAGTAGCCAAAAGCCCCTTTGGCTCCTTAGAAAAATGACACGAAAGAGCACATTCCATATTTGTTCAACTTACTACAAAGAATAAAATTAGAAATAAAATTTGTATTTGAATTTTAAGGCCTTAGTATATAATAATCTTATAAATGTGTTTCAGTTATAAGGTTATCAGTTTCTCCCACCACATGCCCTTCCATTTAACCTGTAGAGAAAAGGTTACCTGTAAAGAATGCTCCGCAAGGTGAATTCCACGAATGAGATTCAGGGCAGCGCACATGATGTTGAGGACAAGGGAGAGGACACCCAGGGCTGTCACTGGTTCCATTCGGAAATTAGGAGCTTTGCAATTAAAAAAATGATAGGAAGTCTAATGAAAATGCTTTCTACATGAAAAGAAATAAGTGAAGACATGACCGAGACCTCCACTAATGACAGGTTATGCTAAACATGAATATTAATTTAAAAAGCAGTTGTAGTTATGATAGAAATGATAGACAGAATGGATCTGGGTATCTAGGGGAGTTCCTTCAATGGACACGTGACAATATCTCGAGACATTCTGGATTGTCACACTAGGGACAGCCATTACTGGCATCCACTGGGTAGAGGCGATGAATGCTTCTACACATTCTACAATGCACAAGCCGGCCCCCACAACAAAGAACTATCCATTACAAAACGGAAGCCCACGTGACACTGAATGCTGTCTTTGTCAGAAAAGAGCGGAGCATTTTACAAGCTGGGAGTTGGTGTGTGCGATAGAAATGCTTTCAGAAACTGACAGCTAATTCACAAATAAAGCCATACCGGTAAATTGCTTTAAATCAGGATTTCTCTTGCTGTGCTCTTTTCTAAATCATCCTTACTTGTCCTTTCATTTCTCACATACACAGCCATGTACACGCACGCGCAGATAACTTGCTGCAACCCCACTGATGACTACTGTTGCGGTTAAGAGTCTCCACCCAGCAAGTCAATGTTCCTGTTAGAACAGAATGTGCTACCTGCACAGGCTCTAGCCTCAGGACAATAGGGTGAGCCAAACCACACTATAATGTTCTAGAAGGACAGGCAAGTATTTGCTCCTCTTGTCTAAGTCGTTAAAAAACAAAACTTAGCCCTAGCCAGTTTGGTTCAGTGGATAGAACATCGGTCTGCAGACTGAAGGGTCCCAGGTCTGATTCTGTCAAGGGCATGGATCTTGGTTGTGGGCACATCCCCAGTTGGGAGTGTGCAGGATGCAGCTGACAGATGTTTCTCTCTCATCGATGTTTCTCACTCTCTATCCCTCTCCCTTCCTCTCAGTAAAAAGTTAAAAATATATATATATATATATATATATATATATATATATATATATATAGTTTTAAAAAAAAATCTTATATTACAAAGTTCCCCCATCTCAGATATGACAAAGGAGGGGTTCAACCACTCAGTTTTTCTTCCCAACAGAAATTACAACTTACTGATTAGCCTGAGAGCCAATCCAGGAATTTGTTGATCAAAACATTAAATTAAAACACAAAGTTAAGCCAAAAGCATGAACACTTTTAAAGTTCAAGCAATGAGTTTAGCATAAAAGTTAAAATAATTAGATTGTTGTAGTACAGACAGCTCTTTCTTTCAGAGCAAAATTCAGCTCTTCACCATTACCACATTCTTACACTGTGAATATCCACCTTAACTAACAGCTGGTTTCATTGTGTGTAACTGTAAACAAGGAATGTCTACAATCATGCTTCATTATAGGCCAGGCATTGAGTGTAATGCCAGACTGCCAGAGAATGCCAGGGCATGTGATCGCATTCATTAACACCTCATTCCTCAGATAAAGGCTCTGGCATCCGGTATCCGCAGGGATAGAAGGATGCCCCCAGGTCTCACGGGAACCCACAGTGAGAGCAACAGAAGCCCTGGCTCTGGCCCTGCCCACACTCATCCTATAGCCCTTCCCCATCTCCACCAAAGAGAACGGGGGTCTCGCAGTGGAGACTTGCAATACTTCACTAAGTAATGAGACAAAGACTCATTGTCAAAGGAATAAAGACAGATAAAGAACAGATAGATGGGTGGATGGATAGACAGACAGACAGGTGTACAAATCTGTACAAGTGACTTCCAGGAAAAGGGAATGGACCTCCTTCACACCTATAGACTTCATCCTGGTTAAGAAAACAATCGGAGTAAAGCAACAAGCAGACTCAAATTACAGCGGGGAGGATAGGGAGATCTGGGGGAGATAATAGATCTACCGAAGGACTTACATACATGCATATAAGTACAAATAATGGACACAAAACTCTGGGGAGGGAGGGCATGTATGAGAGATGGTGGGCAATGATATATGTACAAAGATAATAATTTAATTTAAAAAAATTAAAAACTAAAAAAAAAAGAAAAGAAAACAATCGGCCAAGTCACTCTTTCCTGAGTTTCATCATAAGAGTCACCTCCCCTCAGATCAACTCACTGCTATAATTGTCAAATTTCTTAAGACAGCCACCCAGGAAATATATTAATAAACAAGCTATTTCGCCCCCCACCCCAACAACAACAAAAAAATACCTTCCTAGTGAAAGAACTCAATGTCCCTTTGAAATACAGAATATCCCCTCACCTTCAGGAACCTCAGAGAACAGCAGGCCACTCACCAGGCTCCAAGGGCATCTGCACGTGACCGTTCATCCCCCCATTTGTCACGTCTGGGTCCTCCAGAGTGAGAACCGCTGGAGGCTGGAACTCCAGCTCCTCCTGAATCTTTTCTAAGCTGCTCCCCATCTGAGCGGAACTTGCATAGTTAAAATGCCACTTCACTTTCTGAATGATGCCGTCTGCAACAAGAGAGCCCCCAAGTTGAGCATTTTCAACACAAGGTGTGTTACAAGACAATACGTAAGAAGTGAACTGTACATTTCCAATCAGGTTAATGTCAGCCAGACTCGCAAGAGTGTCAAGTTATACATACAGGTCAAATGATCACTCCATAGCATGACTAGTCATATCAGTCTCTCCAGAGCAGAGTGATTAAAATGTGACAGCTGTCCACAGAGAGGCAGCACCGCCTCCCAGCACCTCAGTGACCAGGGGGTCAGGGGATGAGGACTTAATTCTTAGCTCACCCACTTGTGACCGTATAGTCCTAACAACTCACCGGATATTTCTAAGCTTAAAAAATGGGGATGGTTATTCTAGGCCTTGTTATCTCAAGAAAAGGCATGTGAGAAAAAATTACACATGAACATGAATATGCCATGCCAACTAGGATTATATATTTGAAAGGCATTGGTTTTAATTCTTTTATTTATGTTAGTACTAATTTATTGCCAAGTTTTTGGCCTGTGAGCTACAGTTTGCTGATCTCACCAGCGAGGGCTGTGGTGACTGAGTGGCCGTACAGTTCTCACCATCCCTCCATCTGCCCCAAGGATGACAAGCCAGAGTGTTAAACCTCAAAGTTTCCAGGTCTCTTCCATCACTGTAAAATCTCAGGATAGACAGCTGTTCTCCAGTAATATCTTACCACACCTCCAATGACTTTTCTTGAAGGTCAAAGCCACATCTAAACTATACACTGAATGGCCAGATTATTATGCTCTCTGAACCCATAATAATCTAGCCACTCAGTGTGTGTGTGTGTGTGTGTGTGTGTGTGTGTGTGTGTGTGTGTATTAGAGCCCTGGTGCATTAATTCATGCATGGGTGGGATCCAGCCAACCTGGCCAAGGGGGAGGGGACATGGGTGGTTGGCCGACCTGCCTGCTGGTCGAACTCCTGGTTGAGGGGACAATTTGCATATTAGCCTTTTATTACATAGGACACACACTGAGTGGCCAGGTTATTATGCATTCAGAGATCATAATAATCTGGCCACTCAGTATAAATCTACACATGCCATGAGTGAGAACGGTAAATACAAAGGAGGGTTACAAACCAAATTCCAGAAAGGCATACGGCCTGGAGGCTAGGCCAATGCAGGTGGTGTCATAGGAAGCTGTGAATTCCCACCACAAGGTCTCCAGGAAGCAGAAGGCCATGGCTGCTGGGCACCGGTGGGAGCAGATAGCCATGCAGGCCACATCCCCTGCAGAAGAAAAGCTGAAACAAAAGGGCGACATCTATGTCAGTGGGACCCACGGATTCCCCACACCTCCCAGACACCGCCTTCCCTCCACTCCGGATCTGCTTGGCCTTGAGCAGTCCTGGAGCTGTTGGGTGCATATATGTGTCCTCAGCTAGACCTACCTGGGTCTGTGCCTTTCTTATACTTCCTCTAAAATGTAGAGTGGTATCTGCCATTATTCATATTTGAAGGTGCATGTTCCATTAGAGGGAAGTAGCCTCAGACTTCTCTGCATCTTAAGAGGAAAATGATTTTCTTTTTTGATCTACATCAAAAGGTGTTCTAACATTGAATCAGACTGGCATTCTGAAATGACACCTATTCCTTTCAGGCTGTCATGCTATTATTTCAAGTTCTGGGGGCTCTACTTCCCCTTTCTGTGGTGCCTCCTGACCCCACTCATTGTGGGCCATCTCCTGCAGCGTCTGTCACTTTTGCTGACAGCTCGTCACTGCAGAGCCTGTTTTCTCCTGGGGGACTCCCTTGAGGCCTGGCTTGAGGCTGATATCTGAACCTTGGCTTGAGAATTCCTAGCCTGTGAGTAAGAATAAAGTATAAATTCAGCCCTAGCTGGTTTGGCTCAGTGGATAGAGCATCGGCCTGCAGACTAAACCGTCCAGGGTTCATTTCTGGTCAAGGGCAAATATCAGTTGCAGGCTTGATACCCAGCCTGGTGGAGGCGCATGTGGGAAGCAACCAATCGATGTGTCTCTCTTTCATCAATGTTTCTCTGTGTGTCTTTCCCTCCTTTCTGCTCTCTCTAAAAATCAGTGGAAAAATATCTTGAGTGAGGATTAACAAACAAAACAAAACAAAACAAAACAAAACAAAACAAAACAAAAAGGTAAAAATTCAGACTCCAATCTGACACAAGACACAAGAGCAGGGTTTCGATTTCTTAGGTGAGATTTTATCTTTTCTTCCCATCAAAGCCACAGAGAGAGGAGCTACCCCTAGACTGGTGAGCAGACTATTTCTCCCCATCATTGCTCTAGGGTTGCACCCTGACAAGAACCCTGTCTTCATGCACGGGTCTTATTCCAACTCCTCACTGTATACACGCTCAAAGGCCTCTCCCCGTATGATGCAGAAACTTAACCCTGAGTTCACTATGACCGTTTACCCAGGAGCCTCAGTGCCAGCTCACACGTTGGCAATCTCTTCCCCCTGCATTTTTGGCACCTTGGGATTTCTTTCTTTCAAGTTCAGCTACACATTTTTAAAAAATTTATGTATTTAGCCCTAGCCGGTTTGGCTCAGTGGTAGAGTGTCGACCTGCAAACTAAAGGGTCCTGGTTGATTCTGGTCAAGGGTACATGCCTGGGTTGTGGGCTCAATCCCCAGTGGGGGGTGTGCAAGAGGCAACCAATGATTCTCTCATCGTTGATGTTTCTCTCTCTCTCTTTCCCTTCCTCTCTGAAACCAATAAAAATATTTTTTAAAATGTATGTATATAAATGAATAAATAAATATATATTTACCCACATGTCTGGGTGTTTCTGGCAGAAGCGTTTTTAGGTTGTATTACCTACCACCTTTTTGTAATTGAAAGCCTATATAAAAACGTTTTCAATTTTAAAAAAATAATGAATCTCCTTGTATAAGGAATTTTCCAGCAGATCCTGAGTCTCTAGGGTGAAGGTGCTTCTATTTGAAAGAGGGCCCCTATTTATGGGCTGAATTGTGTCCTCCCCTTCCCCCGCCAAAAAAATATATTGAAGTCCTAACTCCTAGTATCAGTAAATATGACCTTATTTGGAAATAGCCTTTGTAGCTGTAATTCAGACAAAATGAATTGTGGGCTGAATTGTGTCCTCCCCTTCCCCCGCCAAAAAAATATATTAAAGTCCTAACTCCTAGTATCAGTGAATAGGACCTTATTTGGAAATAGCCTTTGTAGCAGTAATTCAGACAAAATGAGGTCATCGCGGATTAAGGAATAATGGGTGGGGGTGGGCTTTCATCCAACGACTGATGTGAAATCTAGTCACAGAGACAGAAGGAAGAAGCCCAGGTAACCACAGAGGCAGAGACTGCAAGCGTCTTCTGCAAGACACAGAGGGACGCCGAAACCAGTTTGGCTCAGCGGTAGAGCGTCGGTCTGCGGACTGAAAGGTCCCAGGTTCGATTCCAGTCAAGAGCATGTACGTTGGTTGCGGGCACATCCCCAGTAGGGGATGTGCAGGAGGCAGCTGGTCGATGTCTCTCTCATCGACGTTTCTAGCTCTCTATCTCTCTCCCTTCCTCTCTATAAAAAATCAATAAAAAATATATTTAAAGACACAGAGGGACAAGGACTGCTGGCAACCACCAGGCGGTGCTAGAGAGACGCGGGAAGGCTTCTCCTTAGAGCCTCAGAGAGCATGCCCTGCTGACACCCTGACTTCAGCCTTCTGGCCTCCTGAACCCTGAGGGAAGATATTCTTTTGTTTGAAGGCAGCTGGTGGTAATTTGTTATGGCAACCCTAGGAAGGCAATCCAACTCCTTCACTACAAAATAAGCTATGGCATTGCTCCCCTAGAAGGGAAAAAGTCTGTTTCCTCTGTGAAAATGGTGACTATTCAATGCAAAGACAAGGGAGTAGAACATTTTTTACTCCACTTTTCAAAAAACTGAAATGCCCAGAGTTTTCTTTGAAGTCATGGACTCTGTTCCCTAACAGAGAAAAGGCATCCAATTTTTGGTCCGGCACCAAGCTCCCAGCGAATGTTACATGATCAGAGCACAATGGGGAAGATGTTCTGGGAAGGTGAACATGGCGGCTTACTGTACACTGAAGTCACGTCCTCGTGCAGAACCTCGGCCTGGATACTGGGCCAGTCGCAAGGCTAACGTCTTGAGCCGTCTCCTGACTTCCAGGAACTCTCGGGTGTGGTAAAAGTCAGTGGAGGCCGAGAGGGGCAGTCCATCCCTCACCCTTACCACACAGGCAAAGAGGATCAGGGACATGGTCCGCAAGAGGAGTCATGAGGACACCTGAGGGAAGCAAGGACACCTTGTTACCGAGGACCAGTCGACGGTGCCGGAGACCCCCTGTCTTTGAAACACGCGCTCCGTTTCACCCTCACCCCCAGTAATTGTGAATGTTGCTTCTATTATTATTTCCCTGACCTCTATGGCTGTCACTCCCAATTTCCCCCCGTCCATTATCCTCCGGGTCCCTTCTTTTCTTATAATCTTCCTGTTCCTTTCCTCTAGTGAATCTTTCCTTTTCCGAAATTCAACCAACCAGGATGAGGTAGAAAGGAACAGAGAAGTAAGGAATCAGGGACAGGGGGCTCAGGAGCAGCAGCAGGACACCAAAGGGACAGCATGTGCCCGATGCTGAAGCAGCAGGCATTTCAGGTCACCCAGGGAGGTAGGTGCTGGGCAGTTTAGGGATTCTAAGCATCTAACCTAACCTAGGTAGGCAGGAGAGCAGTGGGCAAAGATGGAGCTGAGAGAGTACAGCGTGTCCAACTGAATTTCTGCGAATTTTTGATGCAGAGCCAGTCTTCAAAATGTTGACTGAGCTCCTACAGATGGTTAAGGGAAATCACTTAGCAAATTGTATTACAGTAAGATACTCAATATTTGGCCTTGATATGTGAACACCGTTAAGAAACCAAAGGAAACAGATTCTGAGTTCTCCTGGTGCCTTTGGCAAATCAGAACAAGGTACTTCCCCCGTAGAAGCAGCCTGGGCCAGTTCTGCTGACAGAGCCTGGATGGTTTTGGCGCCATCTGTTAACTGCAGATGCTTGTACAGGGCATAGCATGCACATCTGCACGCGGCAGCCCTGCAACCAGAGGTTGGTGAGGTGGCCACCTCAGCTTGAACAGGTCTTTCCACTCACCCACACATCCCGTGTCACAGATGCTGTTTTTGAGAGGATGTGAATAGGTGCTTTTCTTCCAAAGAGCTCTAGGCATGTAACCTTTTTGGCATCTCAGCTCCTATGAGCTGCAGGAAATGGGAGCCCCCAGAATGCACACCACTCTTGTTACTTCTGTGCCTATCCTTCATCTCTATCTGCCACTTTTCTGATCTCCCAAGCCCACATCAAGGCCTATCTCCAATCCACCCTTCCATGAGACCGTCCCTGACCGAGGTCCTACTAGATTTGACAAAGTATTTTAATCTGCCTCCTCTGTTTCCTAAATCCTCTTCTCAGCTCTATTTATAAACTGCTCATGTCATAGATAATCCCTATTCTACTAGCAAAAATTTTGTGTCTTGCTAGAGGCCACCCTGGTTCCCAAAGTTTGTTTGTTTGTTTCCTCTCCCCTTTTCCCTTAACCCTCTCCCTGAGAAATGACCAGGCTTTGCAAAAACAGTAATTGAAACAAGCAAAACAAGTTTCATTGGGCGCACAGATATTCATACACAAATTTTCACCATAAGGCGTACTGCCTATATACACAGTACAGAAAACAAAACTGAGTCATGTCACCCTTGTTGAATTCTCTCTCAGGCACACGACTTGAGATTTGTAGATCATGAAGGTGTCTCCGTTTCACTTTGTTTGGGGATGGAGTGGGGAGGAGGGGAGAGGTCAACCGTCATTTGTTAAGCGCTAAGGAAAGGAGGGCACTGAACTTGATAGCACCTAATATTATATACTAGGCATTGTGCTAGAAACTCTTACATTGATCATGTTATTTAGTGCACATGACTATGAAGTAAGCATAATCTACACTGGACAAGTGTGAGAGTGTAGCTTCAAGGCTCAAGTGGTAGGGCCGGGTTTCAAACCCTCAAACCCAAATGTTACTTAAAACATTCGAAAGCCTATCATCATTCCGCTACACTATTGCTTCTCAAATCCAATCTCTGGTATTACAGCTCCTCCATTTCTCTAGAACAATTCCTTCTCCTAGGGCACTGATACTCAAAACTAATCACAGACCTGTTCGTAGGCACCAGGCCTAGGATGCACCTGTCGCAATGGCTCCTTTCTTATTGTATTACTTGATTTTTTTTTTTTTCTGATCATGTTGCAGATTTCACCAATTACTCTTCGACACTGGTAAATAATATTCTTTTGTGGCTTTGATTGCTCCAATCCTAATTTCTCCCGGGGCTGCTCTCTCTCTGGCATTGGAAGTCTATATGTAAGCTTAACAATGGACACAAAAGTACACCACCTCCCTCCTCCTACACCTGGAGCTCGGAAAAGCTGGCCCAGTACAGCCACGATCTGGTAAACCCAATCTTGTAAGATCTGCACGCTGAGGGAAGTCTGCTATTAACATTAAACAATGCTCCTGGCCTGAGTTTCGCGGATAATTAAGGAAATAATCGCGCGCTCTCTCTTTTGGACACACCCATCTCCTCCCACAGGAAGCGGCGCCTTGAGCGCCATCTAACAGCTGACAGCTCCGCAGGTGCGCGCCTGGGAGGGTCCCCGTCTGGAAGCGGCGGCCACAAGAAAGAAAGACAGGCGATTCCGGGAGGCCCCACAGAGCCCGGTATTTTAATATTTTAAAATATTTTAAGTAACAAAATGTGGGTTTGGATCCTGGGCTCTACCACTTGGGCCTGAATGGAGGGGCGGGCCCGGAATCGCCTCCACCTCCAGGCCCGCTCTGCGCGCCACACCGACTCCGCCTGCTGTCGGCTAACGGGCCGCTCCGCCCGCCTCCGCCCGCAAGCCCTCACCTCTCCCGGGCGGCGGCCTCCGGGAGTGAGCAGCCTCCCTCCGCCGAGCCACCCGCCGCCTCGCCCGCTACCTGAGCCCACAGGGCAGACCCAGCCCGGGTCACTGGCAGCCCAGGCGCAGGTAGGCGACAGTGCGCGTGCGCGAGCCTTCAATGCCCATTCGCTGCTGCTAAGCAACGCTCGCGCCCGAACCGACCAATCCTGGCGTGACTCCGCCTCCCCTCCCGGCCGGGTTGAAGATGAAGTAGTTCTTAAAGGGCTAGGACCCAAAGGCAGAGGGGGCGTGGCTGGGCGCACGCCCCCCAGCTTTCTTTCCCTCTCCCCGCGCTCACCCGCTGGGGTGTGAGGTCCAGGACCGTGTTTCCCACGCCGGGAAGTGGCAGGAGGCTTCACGGTCTAAGCTCGATTCCTGCCGGAGCAGCGAACAGCACGGACGCGCCGAGGCGAGGAGGCTCAGCGTCAAGGCGCGGCGCGCCCCGGGCGTGGGTTCCGAGGTCCGCGCGGCTGGGAGCAAGGCCCGAGATAGGCAATCCAAAGAGCACAGCCTCCTGCCAGCCTGGAAGAGATGCCAAAGTCTAGGGACACACCCCGGTCCGGGCGGGAGGCACTCGCAGATGAGTTCAAGGGGGAGACTGGGTAGCAGAGTTCATCCATGTATTCTTTCAAAAAATGTTGAGCACCTGCTATGTGCCAGGCACTGCGGACATGGCGAGGAACTCCTGACACTAAAAGCTACGTGAAGAGAGGAGGGCAGAGTGACAGCACCCATCAAACGATTACACCACACGTGTTTAATACAAACTGAAATATGCGCTCTTCAGAGAGGAGCAAGCGTTTTTGTTTTGTTTTTAATGAGAATTTACAGGGTCTTCTGACCTGGACTTTGTTGTCCAGTGATGCCTCTCTGAGAACGTGACACTGGCTTAGTAGCTACCAGGACTAAAAGGAAGAGTGTTTTAGACAGAAGGGAACGGGATGTATAGAGAACTCTGTGTGGAAGGCAACAGGACTCCTCGAGGGATGACAAGAAGTTGGGGAGCACATGGGGAGTTGGTATTTAATAGGCACAGAATTTCAGTTGGACAAGATGCAATATGGGGGAAATCGATGGTGATAGTTGCACAACAATATCAGTTTACTAAGTGCCACTGAATTGACCATTTTAAAATGGTTAAATGGTAAGTTTTATGTTATGCCTATACTGCCACCAAAAAAAGAGAGAAAAATGAAATTCTGACTTTAGAGAGTAAAGTGAGAGCCACTAGAGAGACTAGAAGAGGTAAGACCACATAGGATCTTGTAGGCCATGGCAGAAAGTTAAAGATTTTGTAAAAAGTTTGCATTTTGTAAAAATCACTTTGGCTGCTGAAGAGAAGACCCAAATGGAGAAGATTCCTGGAAGCTGTGGTCAGACCAAGTGGGAAGCCAATTGCAGTCATCTGGATAAGAGAGGATGAAGCTGGAACTTGGACCAGAGCGATGCTGATGAGGAAGAGGACTAGGCGGTGTGCAGAGAAATGTATGAGCAAAATCAACAGGACTTGGTGATGAACTGGATGTGAAAGGGTGACAAAGTAGTTTCAAGAAGGATGCCACTGTCTAGCCTTGAGTGAATGGGTGGGTGGTGGAGGGATTCGTAGATATGGGGAACACTGGGAAAAGATCTGATTTTGGAGGGAGGATTGGTCCTTAGTTCTCTCTTAGACACGTTGAATGTGCGTCACCTTTGAGACTCCTGTTTGGGATGTCAATGTTGTCAATGGAATATACAAGTTGCAGTCCAATGTAAAAAACAAACAAACACAAAAACCAAGAGAGCGTTATGAATGAGTCCAAGACGACCTCCAGGGGACCCTTGCCCCCCTGGTATTCATGCCTCGTGTAAACCTAATAAAGCATTATTATTGCCCACAGAACAAACAGGTACATGTGTGTTTGTCCTTCAGCAAATAATAAAGCTCACCAATGTTTTCCTTGGCCCCGCGGGGACTTGGCTTGGGAGGAGACAGTGCCCCGGGGTCCCCTCCAGGCGCAAATCCAGAGAGTGAGGTCGGAAGCGGAGTGGACTTGGCGCCCGCTTTCCGGGCTCCAGCTCCGATTATATCCAGAGACAACCCATCTCTGGGTAAGCTTTTACATTTGACTTTGGCATTTGGTCATTTGCTTTTTCTTACAATTCTCGAGAGACCCGGGCGCGGCACGCCCCTGCACGTAGACTACAAAGTGTTAAAAAGCGAGCGTCAGTGCCAGGCCCCGCCCCAAGCCAGCTTTCCAGACTGCGCAACCGCAAAGGACCCACCACCCACAGCTACACCCCGCGTCCAATCACAAGCGACGCTCCGCCTGTTCCCGCCTCCTAAGCGGGAGGACCCAATCAACGTCGAGAGCTAACCCGGACCTGCCCAGGACCCCAGCCGCCGCCGCGGAGGTATGTGTGGAGCTGCTGGTTGGCTCCGCGCTAGCGGCGTGGGGGGTTTCCGGGGCCTGAGACCCGGTGGCGACCCAGCTTCCCGGGATGTCGGTGGCCTTCGTCCCGGACTGGCTGAGAGGCAAGGCGCAAGTCAATCAGGAGACAATCCAGCGGGTGAGCCGAGGGGAGGGGTTTCTTAGCGCCGGACCGGAAGCGGGCCTCGGCGGCGGGAGGTTTCCTGCTTTCGGCGGCATCCCGAGGACTCCGTGGGCCCGGGTGCTGGCTCTGGGGCTGAGATGGAAACAGTCAGAAAGGCGCCGGGGGCAGGAGAGCCTGGCCCTGGGCTGAGACCTGGGGCAGGTTCCTTAGCGCCAGGAGGTCGTGTGGCTCTGACCCTTTTCTCTGATCGGGCAGCTCCTGGAGGAGAATGACCAGCTGATCCGCTGTATCGTGGAGTACCAGAACAAAGGCCGGGCGAACGAGTGCGTCCAGTAAGTCCCCAGCTCCCTCCCTTTGCTTTTTTTTTAAATTTATTTTTTTAAAAAATATATTTCATTGATTTTGTACAGAGAGGAAGGGAGAGAGATAGAGAGCTAGAAACGTCGATGAGAGAGAAACATCGACCAGCTGCCTCTTGCACACCCCCCATTGGGGATGTGCCCGCAACCAATGTACATGCCCTTGACTGGAATCGAACCCGGGACCTTTCAGTCCGCAGACCGACGCTCTACCGCTGAGCCAAACCGGTTTCAGCTGTTCGGATATTTTATAAGTCCTACTGAGTATCAGGAGCTGTCTTAGCTACTGGGGAATCGGGACCAAAATAGGAGCTCTGCTGGCGTGGAGCTTACCTTCTGTGTAGCGTGTGCCACATAGAAATCTCACTTATTCGGCTACCATTGCAGATGCCACCCCAGCCAGAGGAAATCATCTAATTAAGCACATGCTTAAACTCCTAAGAATAAAGTTTGAGTGCTGTTTTATACCAGGTATCTCTGATGTGATATTTGAGTAGAAGCCTGAGGTCAGGGAGCCAGCGGTGCAGTGAGGCAGAGCATGAGGTGGAAAAGCCCCCAGGCGGGAGTGTGCTCCATGTCTTTAGATGTCAGCAAGGATGCCGCCATAACCAGAACTCAGTGAGCAAAGGGAAGATGGAAAGAGATGAAATCAGAGAGGTAACTAGAGGAGGCCGATCTTATAGGGCCTTGTAGGCCAGGAGAAGGGCTCAGCTTTATTCAGAATGAGATGGGAGCCTTTGAAAAGTACTAAACAGAGCTGAAACCGGTTTGGCTCAGTGGTAGAGTGTCGGTCTGCGGACTGAAAGGTCCCAGGCTCGATTCCGGTCAAGGGCATGTACCTTGGTTGCGGGCACATCCCCAGTGGGGGTGTGCAGGAGGTGGCCTCTCGATGTTTCTCTCTCATCGACGTTTCTGGCTATCTCCCTTCCTCTCTGTAAAAAATCAATAAAAATATATTTTAAAAAAAAGTACTAAACAGATATGACATGATCTTAAATTGTACAGTGATCATTCAGGCTGCTATGTGGAGAAGAGAGTAGGGGTACAGAGGGAGAGCAGGGGACCAGTTAGGAGTTTGGTTCAGTACCATAGACTAGAGGAATAAGTGAGAATAGGTACGATTCTGGATATATTTTCCTTGAAAGTGTTTAAATAAGGTTGATAACGCCCACAGAACAAAATCGAAGAGCCGAAGTCAGCCGAAGAGCCTTTCCACTGAGTAGGTAAATTCTTTTCCAGTTGTTTGTTCATGTTCAGTAAAAAACAAGACTAATTTTTGCCTGTTTTCCACCCACAGGTACCAGCATGTGCTACACAGAAATCTCATTTATTTGGCTACCATTGCAGATGCCAACCCAACCAGCCCTTCGAAAGTGATGGAATAATCTTCCAGTTGCCTGTTGTGAGGAGCAGCTGAAAGTAATACATTTCCATTTCCTGTGACACAGAGACAGGATGTTTACCAACTCACCTGCTGAAAACATGAAGGAAATCTCCATGTCTCTTTTGAGTGTGAGAATGTGAAGAACTGAAATAACTGTATGTCAGTGTAAATATTTATTTTAATAATTAAGCAGATCCCCCCAAGTTGCCTCCAGGTGTTTTGTTTTTTTTGAAATCGGTGTGTTTGGATAACAAAGACACCATGGGCGTCTTCAAGCCTACCATTTTAGGCTCAGCCTGAAGAGGAAACTGAGTCTCAGACTTGGTGAGACTCCTGACTCCCTGCCAGTTGAACATGTTGCTGTGTTCTCCTTTCTACTGGTTTGTGGTTCTGGACCCCCTGGCTGCTCTGGTCAGGTTGCTTTGAAGTAAAGCTTGCCATTCCAAAAAAGACTGATACTGAGGTATAGAAATTTTCATGGAATACGTGTTCCATTTGGTTTACCAGGAAAACTAAGAACTTAAAAATATATGTAACACCCTGGCCAGTTTGCTCAGTGGTTAGAACATCTGCCTGCACACCTAAGGGTCTTGAGTTCCATTCCCAGGCAAGGGCACTCACCTGGGTTGCAGGTTCGATCCCTGGCCCTTATTGGGGCACATTCAGGAAGCAAGCAATGTTTTTCTTTCTCCCTCTTCTTCCTCTCCATCTCCCTCTTCCCCCTCTATCCTTCCCTCTCTCCTTCCCTCCCTCCCTCGCTCTCCATCTCCCCCTCTCTCTAAAGTATGGGGGGAAAAATGTCTTTGGGTGAGGATTAACAGTATTAATATATATATATTTTTTTAAAAATATATTTTATTGATTTTTGTACAGAGAGGAAGGGAGAGAGATAGAGAGTTAGAAACATCGATGAGAGAGAGTCATCGATCAGCTGCCTCTTGCACACCCCCTGCTGGGGATATGCCCGCAACCAAGGTACATGCCCTTGACCGGAATCGAACCCGGGACCTTTCAGTCCCCAAGCCGACGCTCTATCCATTGAGCCAAACCAGTCCCGGCATTATATTAATATACATATTAAAACATGGATATAACACCATTATTGTAAGCAAAATTAATAGTAATTCCTAATTATTATTAATATCTCCTAATAGAAGATGTTATAGGGGAAGAAAAATGTTTTTTGTTTTTTTTTTCTATTTTAAGGTTCTCGGCTGGGGGTGCATAACAAATGACAGATTAACAAAAACAAAGTCATACAGATTTATTTCATAAATGTTTTACTTGACATGGAAGCATTCCTGAGGACTTTTTCCTAAAATTGGAAGCCTGCTTTTCCCACGAATAGCATACCAGAAGAATCTGGGGTTATCACCCTGGGAGCAGCTCTCAACTAAGGACTCAGGAGATGGAGTGTTAATATGCCAGCCCCTTTATCGCCATAAGAACAGTCCTGAGAGCCCTAGCCCGTTGGGCTTAGCGGATAGAGCATCGGCCTGCGACTGAAGGGTCGGGGTTCGATTTCAGTCAAGGGCACATGCCAAGTGGGCATATAGGAGGCAGGCAATCAATGATTCTCATTATTGATGTTTCTATCCCTCTCCCTTCCTCTCTGAAATCAATACAAAATACATATATTTTTTTTTAAAAAAGAACAATCCTGAGCTGCTGCTTCAATATTGATGGCCAGAGTTCCCCAGCAGGATTAAACTCCAATCACATGCTGTGGTAGCTGGCTTAATAGCAGATACTTAATTGGCTACCTTCCTTGTTTCACTTCGCCACTCCCCAAATGGAGTTCACTTCGTAAGTAAGCAACTTGCACTCAAATCATTGTTTCAGAGTCTTCTGAGGGAAACAACCAAGATACCAGTTGTCTCGACTTATTCCTGGTAGGTATATCCAGAAAAGCTCAGCAAGTAGCTTCTATCAGCACCAGGACAGATAAAATTTTTTTACCAAAACCCAATCTACCATGTTTCCCCGAAAATAAGGCATCCCCTGAAAATAAGACCTAGCGCATCTTTGGGAGCAAAAATTAATATAAGACACTGTCTTATTTTCGGGGAAACAGGGTACTTGCAGAAACTGTCAGAGCCAAAGACTCAGAGCAGAATTTAGAGAATGAAACAAGTAGGATAGACATAAAATGAGTTAGGATCCTATCTGACAGGAAGTGTTGGTTGTAGTGGGTTTTTCATGTGAATTTGATGGGATTCAAACTCCACCCCCACCCTCACCCCCAGAGAGAATGAAGCAGCAGACATTCATGAAAACAATGCCATGCTTTAAAACAAGTTAGTGACAAAAAAGCCACTTACCCAAAAGGCTAAAAGATGGGCCTTATACCCACAATTATGGTGACTTCTTAGTTTGAAGCCATTGCCCCAGTGGCGATCTCTGTGCTGCCACACCCCGTTCCTTTCTCGTGGTGACTAGCTTTACCCTAAGCTGATCAATCATGATATCTACCCATTGCCGTGGCCATCAGGAGATGGGATATGAACCTCATCAAACCAACCAGAAATGTCCCTAGGATTTTTCCTCACTGGTACGGGCAGAAAAAATGCTTTCCCTTCAGGTTGCCAGACTACAAAGATGAATGCTTGAAAATGCCATGGCCAAGTTCCCTGTTCCACCTGGAGAAAGCCAATCTGATCTTGTCGAATATAATGAAGATGTTATTTTAGCAATGTACTCATTTTTATTTACCTCATGAAAAGGTCTAATTTCCACACAAAAAAATCTAGGATTTCAAAACATGCTTTTCCAAATTTTCAATATATAGTAGTAGATTGTTACCAAGTTCTGGTAATATTTGTTTTTGCATCATGGGTCCTAAGATTACCTCCAGTTTGATGGTTTGTTAGGAAGACTCAGGACACAACATATAAACCACAGCTATGGTTTATTAGTAAAATAATTCAAAGCTAACTCAGCAAAGGGAAAAGACATTTAGGGCAAAGCCCATAGGAAATCAAGTTTCAATTTCCCTCCCAGTGGAGTGACACAAGACAAGCTTACTTCAACTAGGGATGAACTGTGTGACAAGTGAGAAATGTCTACCAGGGAAATTCATTACAGAGTAAGTACCCAAAAATTTTAAAACATTTTTATTGATTTCAGAGAGAGAGAGAGAGAGAGAGAGAGAGAAACAATGAGAGAGAATCATTGATTGGCTGCCTCCTGCATGCCCCACACTAGGGATCAAACCCACAACCTGGGCATGTGCCCTGATTGGAAATCAAACCCTGACCTTCTGGCTCATAGGTCAACCCTCAACTACTGAGCCACACCAGTGGGGCAGTACCCAAATTATTTTATTGAGGCTAGTCACATAGCATCTTCTGCCTAACACCTAAATTCCAGATTCCTAAAAAGAAAGCAGGTGTTCAGCAAAAACTATAGTGTTTACACAAATAGTTTACACAAATAGTGAGAAACTCTTATCATAAAATGAACATTTTCTATAATTGTAGGAAATTGATTACCATTAAGTTCCCAGATTCCACTCAAAGGCCAATTTTGTAAGCAGGTCTTTCTAAAGACAGTAGCCTTAACTAATCAGATTCTTTCTCATCATTGATGTTTCTATCTCTTCCTCTCCCTTGCTCTCCAAAATAAATATATATTTAAAATAAAGGGCAAAAGGAAGACAGACAGCAGCCTTGCCCTGTTGGTGTGGCTCAGTTGATTGAGCATCATTCCCATGAACCAAGAGGTTGGTTCAATGCCAAGTTAGGACTTAGCTCCATCCCCAGTATGGGGCGTGCAGGAGGCAGCAGATCAATGATCCTCATCATGGATGTTTCCATCTCTTCCTCTTGAAACTAGTAAAAATATTTTAAATTTTTAAAATAGTATAAGCAAATAAGGTAGAATTATATGTGTACCTTCTCATGGGATTCTTTTTTTCTCCTTTACTCCTTTTCTCCCTTCCTTAAATTATAAAAATGAAAAGTTACTTTGGGGCGAGGTTGGAGCATATTGCAGAGGATTAAAAAAAAAAAACAAAAAAAAAAAAACAGGCTATAAAAGTTCGGTGTTTTAAACCTCAAGGAGTTAATTCACACAACTGGCTCCTCGAAGCTGTCAACAGCGAAGCCTCGCGATAAGGAACGAGAGGAAGTGAGAGCGCAGGCGCGTCCAGGGCTCCCAGATTGGACGGCTGATTCCAGTAAAGAGAAAAGAGGCGGGACAAAAAAAAAAAAAAAAAAAAGGACCGGCTCAGTAATAGGAGCGCCATCCCCTAGGCTTCGCCGGAGCTCCCAGACACGCTCTCGTGCGCTTCCTTTCCGGTAAGCTCCCTCTCCGAGACTGTGCTCTCGCGGTATTTGTTCCGACTCTCGCGAGGTTTAGCGTGGCACTGGGAGGCCGGGCTGGGGGAAGGGGGGAGGCGGTCCGTTATCGGCGTTGTGTTTCGGCCGCCGTGACGGCGCTTTCTCCTCTGTGCCCGGGGAGGTGCCCAGGCTGGAGGCCAGCCAGGTGAAGAGCTTGCCCGCCTGAGCGCGCCTGCCGCGGGGGAGCTGGGGGGCCGGGGGCGGGAGGGGACGCCGGCTCTCCCTCTCGCACGGTCGCGACTGGCTGGCGCGGGGCGACCGTGGCTCGGGCCCCGCCCCCGCCCCGGCTCCCGACGGGTCCCGACCTGACCGCTCTCCCCTCCCCCCACCCCCTCTCTCCTAGCTCTTCCCGCCGCCTCGGTAGCGATGGGGGCGCAGGACCGGCCGCAGTGCCACTTTGACATCGAGATCAACCGGGAGCCGGGTGAGCCAGACACCGGGGAGTCCTGCCAGGGCCCGGGCTTAGCTGGGAAAGGGGAGGGGTCTACCCTCACCCACTCTCCCCGAGCCTGTTTGGGACCGGGGGTAGGCAGTCACCGACATTCCGTTTCTCCGGAGCCCAAGTCTGGGGAGGAGGATGGCTCCGGTACACCACTCCCACTCCTCGGAGCCCGGGCCTCGCCCCCCTCTCCACCCTCATCCCCAAACTCCATGTCCCTTTGCACCCCCAGGCTGAGTGTTCATGCCTGGCGCCAAGTAAAGGGGTGCAATTCCTTTAGGATTTTTTCTTTAAAAAAAAAAAAAAATTCTGTTCCTAGGTGGTAAACACTTCCAGTTCCGATTTCAGTTATCTTGCTGTGAACTGTGATGTCTGCATCCCTATATTTTGTATTCCCCAATATTTGAATGCCATGAATTGGTTAGCTGGCCTCCATTATTCCTTAATAGTATCTTTAGCCAGAATTTCTGGCTCCTGGGGAAATGGCCTGGGAAAGTTCTTTGAGGGTAAATAAACCAAAGCTTTCCGTACCAGCAGACTTGCAGCGTGCATTAATGTTTCTGTCTGCATATGTTGTTAAATATTAAGTATTTTCTTCTAACGGATGGTTTCATTCTTAGCAGCAGCAGAGCGTGCAGTGTTTAAAATTTGTTTTCTTGGCTTTTTTTTTTTATGTGTAATAGAACTTTTAATGGAAGGCATATATGCAGCCTTTGTGCACCCTCTTTCTTGTTCAGTGGATTCCCGAGAGCCTCTTACTAGAGTGTAGACTGTGGGGATATAGAATGAGTAAAACAAAGTGGCTTGTGTCGTAGGGGTCCTATTTTAATAAGTTGGTCAGAAAAGGCCATTTTGAGTAGAGGACATTTAAGCAGATGTCGGAAGGAGATGACATCTTTGAGAAGAACATTCCCGGAAGAGGGACAGTTGATGCAAAGATCCCAAGGAGGGAATTTAAAGTGCTTGCCTGTTTAAGGAACCGCGAGAAGTTCAGGGTAGCTGGTGTAGGGGAGGACAGAGAGTAGCAGGAAATGGCTATAGGCCATAGCAAGGACTTTGACTCACTAAGAAAAGAAACTACAGAAGGAATTTGAGCAAAGGAATGATGTTATCTTAGAAATTTTGTTATAGTCTCTCTTATTAGATTTTGAGTCTGGATGGATCTTAACCCTTATTCCATAGTGAATCAAAGCGTCAGACATTAGAACTTAGGTTTTTATAAAGAATTGAAAATAGAGTACTGAAAAATAGAAATAAAGGTTCAGTAGTTATGTAAAGTACTCCTTTCCTGGAACATGTTTATATCCTAGATTTGTAAATAACCTTTGTCGTGAAAAATCTCTGAAATATGTTTGGTAAATGTTGAATGAACTTTAGTGTCCAACATCCAAGGTAATTCATTATAATACCTTCCTGGTAGAAGTGAGTAGCACCCTTGAGACGACTGAATTATATATAAAACAGGAAATGCTTACATTGTTCTAGGTTGAAATCATAGGTAATCTGCAGTTTCACCTGGTTCAATCTCATGTAATACTTATCTAGCACTTTGAATTCAGCAAATTATCTAAGTAAATAGTAGATACTTGATTTTTGCCACAGCCTTTAAGGATCACTTCAGTTGTTTGAGGGGTTTTGTTTGTGGGATTTAACCATTAGTATATTTGTCTCTGAGTACTTATTCAAGTAAAACTCTTGACTGCTTGTATAGTTAATAATTCACTTCATAGAAGTGCAAAGTAATATCTTTGATTGACTTTAAGTAAAGACCCTTGAAGAGTGGCCATAGTGTTCACTTTAATGAGATCAAGAAATATTCATAAAACTTTTTTTTTTTTTTATTAGAGGGAGAGGGAGAAGGGAAGGAGAAAGAGGGTGAAGGAGAGGGGGAGAGGGAGATGGATTGCCAATAAAAATTGAGTTGCATATTGCATAGTTTGTTTTTTTATTATTGTCGATGGAAATGTGTATATTTTATAGCAATCAAGTTAGAATTTTAAATCTTAAAGCCAGCAGGTGAATGCAAGTGTATATCAAAAGAGGGAAAGTCTTTTTAAAAAATATGTATTTTTATTGATTTCAGAGAAGAAGAGAGAGGGAGAGAGAGAGAGAGATACATCAGTGATGAGAGTCATTGATTGGCTGCCCCCCACTGGGGGTGGAGCCCACTACCCCCGCATGTGCCCTAACTGGGAATGGAACATGACCTCCTGGTTTGTAGGTTGTCACTCAGCCAGAACCACTCCCATCGGGGGAGTGGGAAAGGCTTTTTACATGAGTTTCTCTCTGTGAATGCAATAAGGTGGTTCCTATTTGAAAGAATTCTGGTACTGTTCCTTAGAAATGTTTTTCATAAGGTTTTAAACTAAGATTTTAATTTCTTTAATAGTTAAGGAACTTTTCATGTTATTCTTGAGTGAGTTTTGGTAGTTTGTGTTTTTTAAGAAGTTAGTCCATTTTCTCTCTGTGGGCATAGAGTTGTTTGACATAGTCCCTTAATTGAATGTCTGTGGGATCTGTAGTGATATATCCTCCTTCGTTCCTGATCTTGATAATTTGTGCCTTTTGTCTTTTTCCTTCTTTCATTTGGCCAGAGGTTTTTCAATTTTATTATCATTTCAAAGAACCAGATTTTGGTTTCATTGATTTCCCCACGGCACCCCCCCCCCTTTTTTTTTTTTTTTTAAATGTTTTCAGTTTCATTGATTTCTACTCTTTATTCCTTTCTACTGCTTGCTCTGACTTTATTTTGCTCTATTTCTAGTTACTTAAAGTGGAAACTTGAATTGTTGACTTGAGACCTTTAAATTCTAGTGTAGGCATTTAATGCTATGTTTCCCTCTATATGGACCCCAGATATTTTGTACACCCGACAAATTTTGTTATATTGTAGAGCCCCATAGGCTCTGTTCATTTTTCTTCCCATTCTTTTTTTTCTCCCTGTTTTCCTTATATTTTAGTAGTATCTTTTAAAAAATGGGATTGACTTATAGGGTTTTTAATTTGTTTATATCACCCTTCTCAGGCTTTGGTTTCAATTTGCTTCATAAAATTTGTTAAGCTTTTCACCTTTTTCTGTGTTGAAATAGTTGATGACATTATACTTTAGTGTTACTTCAAGATTAAAAGTAATTTACCCATATCCAAAGAGGATAGGTACTAAATAGCCTTTTAATTTCTTGGATCTAGTTTTTCTTTCTTTCTTTCTTTTAGACTATCAGTATGAAGTCGCAACCCATGCTTTCTTATAATTCTACTTTCTAGATTTTTTTTTTTTCCTCCAAAAGAAACAGCTTTGGGAGTTATTTATCAAGTCTGATATATTTCTTTTTCTTACTTCATTGATTTCTGCTTGTTCTTTCATTAAAACCTTCTTTATATTTTCTTAGGTTTATTGCTTTTTTTCTTCCTGAGTTGAGTAATTTACTTTTGGTCTTATGCATTAATGGAAATATCCAGGACTGTATGCATTGTTTGGGGCAAAGAAAGTGATGGTATTCAATATCTTTTGCCTTGTGAAACTTGGCAGCTCCAAGATCTGCCCCATTCCCCAACATCCTGGTTCTTACAGTTCTTCAATTCTCTGATCTGTGCCAGTATCCTTGCCAGCTAACTACATGAGCCAATAAATACATTCTCTGTTGACTATCTTCAAGATACCTTTACTTGGGTGTTGAATGACATGTTATGAAAAAGCTTTAGGTGCCTAAATAAGTATAGAGATGTTTTAGTCTCACCTTAGCTTATATCTTATTTATGTTATCTTACTACTTCCTTTTACGTGAGTTACTCTACCACAGTAATTTGAAAGACAGTTAATATGTTTTAAATTCTGTATATAATTACATGTTTAAGTTTTCCTAAATCCGCATTTCCTCTTTTATCTATTTTAGCAAAGTCAATATGAGGAAATGTCCCTTATCTTACCAATTCAACCCTCTCTTGTTGGCTTTATTTATACTGTGGTTGTTTTTTCTTTGTAAATAACATAATTCTACTGCCTGGATTCTAGAAGGGCTTATATCTCTGAAAATAAAGAGATTTTATTAAACTAAGTCTTGATGGTGTTTCACATAGAGTAACTTTTGCTGATATATAGTGAATACTTTTGATCTTATTATATATTTAGGCATGCCTTCATTTATCTTATTCTCTACCATTAAATAATTTTGTTTCAAGGGTTTTATTGTCATTACTAGAGGCCTGGTGCATGAAAATCTGGTGCTGGGGGAGGGGGTGGGGTCCCACAGCCCGGCCTGTGCCCTCTAGCAGTCTGGAACCTGTTGGGGAATGTTCACCTGCCAGCTTAGGCCCATCTCCCCACCCCCACTGCCTTAGGAATTTGGCCTAAGCTGGCAGTCAGACATCCCTCTCACAGTCTAGGGCTCCTTACCGCCTGCCTGAAGCTGAGGCGGGAGAGGCTCCCACCACTGCCGCTGTGCTTGCCAGCCGTGAGCCTGGCTTCTGGCTAAGCAATGCTCCCCCTGTGGGAGTGCACTGACCCCCAGGGGGCAGCTCCTGCGTGGGGCCTGGGTGGGATGCAGGAGGTTGGCCAGTCCCGGAGGGACCACAGGAGGACTCCAGAGCATGTCCAGCCCATCTCACTCAGTCCTGATCAGCCGGACCCCAGCAGCAAGCTAACCTACTGGTTGGAGCATCTACCCCTTGGTGGTTAGTACACGTCATCATAACAAGCGATTGAGCTGCCTTAGCATATCATTAGCATATTACACTTCGATTGGTTGAACAGACAACCGGACACTTAGCATATGAGGCTTTTGTTATGTAGGATTATTCAAATATTAATTCTGCCCAGGCACGGTACAAAATCAGTGGGAACAGAGGTGAATAAAACAAACATGGTTCCTTTTGCCTTGCCCTCACACGCCCAGGACCAGGGTGGATAAAAGTGTACTCTGTTCATACCACTGATGGCTCAGCACATTGTATAGCAATGTGCACCTATCATTATGTTATGTTGGACATCTTGGTACATGGGGAGGATATTCTATATAATAAAAGGCTAATATGCAAATTGACTGAACAGCAGAACGACCGGTCACTTTGCACACACTGACTGTGGGGAGCAAGCCTGAGCCATCAGTTGAACATCCCCCAAGGACTCCCGAATTGCGAGAGGGCGCAGGCTGGGTGAGGGACACCCCCCATCTCCCCTGATCCGTCCCGTGTCTCCCCCTCCTCCATCCAGTTCAAGAATTTCATGCACTGGGCCTCTAGTTAGTAAATGTTTGAGTAAATGGCCTGATTTTGTAGAAGTGCTTAATTGCTTAATTTCTTCTTAGATTTTATTCTCTGCCTACCCAATATGTTCTGTACCTATCTTTGTTTTATCCTTATCCTTATAATTGTATATGTGATATTCTTTGCCTTTTGTAGTGTATCATCTACAATACTTTTTCCAATCAGTGCTCATTTTTATAACTACCATGCCTTTGATGTCCATAATGTATGTCTCCTTTCTCACCATTGCACCTACAATTCCAGCACAGCTGTTTCTGAGAAATAGGAACAATAATATTACTGAAAGATGATGTTTGATTTTATTCAGATTCTGGGTACTTGCTGATTTTATTCCTGCCACCTAGTGGTCACATCAAGATTACAACATGACATAGGTTTGTCTTGGCTTTTTCTTGTCTGTAGCCAAATTTAAAATCTATTTATAGTACTTGTTAATTTTAAAAATTTTAAATGAATTACTAAAATAGACTTTCTAGTTTCTCAATTTTATGTATCCGTTTTATTTCTCCCAAGTAAAATGTGGTATACGATAATCCATTTGCTTACCTTTTTTCTTCTGTCTTTTATTTCAGTTGGTCGCATTATGTTTCAGCTCTTCTCAGACATATGTCCAAAAACATGCAAAAACTTCCTTTGCCTATGCTCAGGTAAATAAATCATTAAATTATTCTAATGAGAAGTCATGGCTTACAGTTTTCCTTGCTGAACAAAGTAGATGAATGAGCTGTGAAATGAGTTTAGCAAATAAAAATATTATTTTCACTAATATGAAATCATGGAAGCATTTTTTTAAGGGAAGAGAGAAGACTAAATGGTCTCAAAAATGAAAAATAGAGTACTATTGTGTGTAATGAAATCTCTATACAATGTAGTTTATAAAATAATAGCATTTCAAAACTGATTTGGTAGAATTTCAGAAGTTTCAGTACTCCAAGCAAATTTAGCACTCCAGATTTCACAAGAAATTTAAGGTTAAAAGGTAGAAGGGCAAAATAGAATTAAGTTATTCCTTGTTATATGAAATTGGATTGATATTTTAAAAAATTTTTAAATTTATTGATTGATTTGAGAGTGAAAGGCCGGGGGGGGGGGGGGGGCGGCGCGGGAGAGAGAGAGAGGGTGGGAGAAAGAGAGACATTAATTTGTTGCTCCACTCATTCATGTATTTTTTGGTTGATCCCTGTACATGCCCTGACTGGAGATCGAACCAGAAACCTTGGCATGTTGTGATGATGCTCTAACCTGATGTGCTACCTGCCAGGGCTGCTATTTTTTAAAATTAGAAATGTTACCTTAAAAATAGAAACAGCAGATTATATCTATTTTTAAAATCCATGCTTGGGTATACCCATGTGTGTACACAATCTTTACACCAACTCCCTGATTACCACACAATTTAACATGAATATGCTGCTTTGTATACTTTGGTTTGTGTGTGTATGTGAAGTTGTCACACTGTGTACCCCTTATACCTTTTACAATGCCCAACACACAGGAAAGATTTGACAGGGTTTAATGGGATGGTACTTTCCATTGAAAGATGTTTTTGTAGCTAAACTTCTTCTTTTTTTTCCCCAGGGGAGAAAGGCCTTGGGAAAACCACTGGGAAGAAGTTATGTTATAAAGGTTCCACGTTCCATCGTGTGGTTAAAAACTTCATGATTCAGGGTGGGGACTTCAGTGAAGGTAGAGCTAAAAGTTATGTCCCTAATAACCTCACCTATCAGTTTCTGAAGTAATCATTATTATATCTAATTGTAAATACTGTCACATACAGTATAATGTAAATTTTAGGTGGTCAGTGAATGAACAGTTGTGGGGTGAATGAATGTTGTAGACCAAGAATGTATGAAAAAGCAAAATGCTAAGACATTTTGTTTTTATGCAATTTTAACAATATAATTACTTGGTGAATTACCTTATAAATGCTAAGGTACTGTTCAGATGTATTTATTTTAGAATTTTATTGGTGTGATTACTGTTTGAAATAAATGGGTTGTGGAGATAATTTCTTTAATAGTATTGTAATAGGATTACACTTACATTTTTAAAGATGAGATTTGTTAGAATTTTGATTATCTGAAATAATTACAAGGTGTTATCTCCTTCAGCAAATTGAAACCATAAAAATAATTTATATGTATGAATATATTTTAAATTTTCTTTTTATTTTTTTTCTTTTTTTATTTTTTTATTAAGGTATTATATGTGTACATACCTTACCAATCCCCACCTCACCCCCATATTTTAAATTTTCATTATAGTTCAATGTAGCTTGTTATTTGCAGGTAATGGAAAAGGTGGAGAATCAATTTATGGTGGCTATTTTAAAGGTAAGCCTTAATATTTTATGGTTTCTTGTTTCAGTCTGATGATAAAAGAAGTTTGATCATATACTTTTAATGAGAAGAGGTTTATTCTTAGTTCACTTTTTGCATGAAACTAATGCTGCATGAAAATACTTTATTTGCATGAACTTGGGGATAAAGTATATTGTAATATATAACTTTTAATTGACAAGATTAATTAAGGCTAACGTTATGGTTAAACATGACTTCAGCATGGAGGTTAGGCAACTATATACATGAAAACTCCTATCTTCCTGCCTAAAACTGTCAACATATTCTTTTGTTTATAGAGAATGTGGTCTTTTGCAAAATGAAAAGGTAAGAGAACGAAGCTCAGTAACACAACTCCAATTCTGTTCCCTTGCACCCTTCCTAATAAATTTATGGACGGTCTGGGTCAGGTTGTGGCTGGAATTCAGTATTGCTTGAAGACTTGGAAAATTGTGTATACTACTTCATACATCTGTGCCTTTGTTCTTTCCCTGATGGGTTATTATTTCCACATCAGGGGAAAGAATCTAGTTGTGTCTTTTTTTCCCTCTAAACCAACCAATTCCTTTGAATAAAAGTCGGTCTTTCTTTCTTTGTCCAAGGTTTGTATATTTTCTTTTGTCTACTAGAACTATATGATTGTGTATTATTCCTACAGCAGTAGCATTTGCATACATCTAACTATTGCACTTGCCCGGAACGCCTTAGAAAAGTCAGTTGCAGATATTATAACGGGACCCAATATTACTAGGTGTTAATGCCGTGATAGCTCCGGTGTTATAATAGTCTTTTATATTTCTTTTGGGGGAAATGGATTACTACTCTTTTTCAGAAGCCTGTTCCCAAGGTAATCATTTTTTAAAGTTTTCTATGTTTCTGTTTGTTCTAAAGAAAGATTTGTTTGTATGAATGTTAAAAGGAAATTTAAATTCTCAACATATTTCTGCTGGAATTACAATAATCTCTAAGTGATTTTCCTGACAGTATTTCCCTTGAACTATTAAACAGCTCGTTGCCTGGTCCTATCAGCCTGTAGCTTTGAGACTGATGCTGGTAGGCCACTTTCACGTGGCTATTCCCTGTGGCAAATACTTGTATATTTGAAAATAGTATTTTGCCATTTAAGTTGTTTTTATAGGACTTCCTTCCCTAGATAATTTTGTGATCCTATTAATTGGAAGGAATCCTCATACTTAATTTGATTTAGGCATGTCTCTACAATTTAATGTATGTAATTTTTTGGTTTCTGCTCTCATAGTCTAGCTTCAGCTCAGAAGAAATGTAGAAATTAAGCACATAAGAAGATTATTAAACTTTCATGTACAAGTAGGCAAGAAATTTGGAGAAAATGAGCTTTACTAAATAGAGATTTTCCCCCCTAAAATTTCTTTATTAGTTTTCCCTGAAAGTTAATAGTTTAAATGTTAGTTAGCCAAAGTGTGTTACATTAAAAAGTGACTGTTCTAAGGCTGTTTATATAAAGTATTAAATATATGTTCTTTTTCTCACGGCTTTAAGTAGTATTTTTTGGTCTTTTTATGCTTTTATTATTTGGTTAGTTGAAACTTTTTTCTAAATATTCAATCAAGTATCTGTACTGACCAGAAGAGGAATTTCATCCTTTGCTTTCTATTTATTTCTGTGAACATTACACTGTAAAAGTGGCTTGTACTGGAGACTGACGAATTTGTGTTTTCTTCAAACAGATGAAAACTTTATTCTCAAACATGACAGAGCGTTCCTTTTGTCAATGGCAAATCGAGGGAAACATACCAATGGTTCCCAGTTTTTCATGTGAGTAGGCATAATTCAGAGATGGGCTTTTCTTAAACAGAGAAGCGCTGTTCATGAGAAAGATGGTATAGTTAAACCAAGTTTAATGCCAGAATTCTGTGAGTTGGGTTTTTATTTTTAACTTCTAATGCTATAGTAACTGGTAAGCTCTAGCAACCACTTCTGTATTCAGCAGATATCCTGGATTTGTATTTAAAGTTCATACCTTGAACATGTACATTATTTTCAAAATACATTATTATCTTACGAAAAGAAATTGACTTTGACTCTTAACTAATTTGGAGGCTCAGTTTACCAAAGCCTGACAGAACATGGATAATTGATGGTCATTTAAAATTGTTAATAGTCTAGGACTAGATGTACCCTTGGCATGGAAAGCAGTTGGTTTGAATAAACCATCATATAGTTGCTTTTTCTCTTGTTGCTCTTTGAGCCAATTTGAGAAAGATAACATTATTTTCTGATATTATATTTCAAAAATCTCAAACCTATGAGATCTCTATGCAGTTAACCCAATGATGTTGTCATTTCCACCAGAATTTATGAAATTATCACTCAGGAAACTTCAGCATGCTAAATTTGCTTTTAAAAATACAAGCACTTTTAGATATATGTACACGCACAACTGAAACCTTACTACTTATTTTTCATCTTAAAGACCTTTGGCATACTCTTAATTATATTCTTTACAGCTCCTCCAAAACCTATTTTTATTGTAATCTTATGATATAAAATATGAAAGATAATTGTCTAGCATGAAGTTTAATGCTTTAGATTGGAAGTAAATCTCTATAGTTGTGCTACTCATTGGAGAATATTTATGTCTTATCAGAAAAAGTTTTTGTTTTTTTGGGGGGACATCTTTCTGAATGAATGAATATGAATGGCGCTTCCCTGTGTTTAAAGAATTTTATATTTAAAGGAATTTCAATTTCACATTTTAAATTTGTCTGAAAAAAATAGATTTCCAACATGATCTGATAAAGTTCAGATAAGGGGCATTCTGTTCCTAAGAATGTCCTAAAAATGGAAAGCTGAGAGAAGATATAATACTTGGATTTATACAGGAGAAAGGAAGACCTTAAGCAGTTGTTCCTATATCTCATTTTGTTTCCAGAGAGTATTAGTTATTACACTTCTTTATAGAGTATTTTTTATTTTTAACCTTCTTCGGCGTCAAAAAAAAGGTAGTGGGAAATATTTTGAAAAATTTCTTATTTGGTAATTAAATACATAGAAGTATTTCTAATAATAAAAAATAAATAAATACATAACTCTTTGATTGAGTTTCCCTTTTCCATTTTTAAGCTTATCTGAACTGTACATGATAAACTAACCATTCATTGGTCAAGAAGCTACCATCTGAGGGCTCTAAAGTTTCTTTTTAGATTTCCTTTTTTATATCAGTACATATAAAATTTGACTTAATAGGTAGCAGCAGGTTCTTCCCAATGTTACTGCTTAGCTAGTTTATAAAACGTTGAGAGTTAAAACTAGTGCACGTACATACATTAATTAAAACAATATATGAGATTCTCCCTTCAAAAAAATTAGAGTGTCTTGTTACTGTGTTATTTAGTCCTTGCTTAAGTCTTTCCTAGAAATGTTGAGTATCAAAACAAAATTAAGGCCATTGCTTAATTTCACAGCAGAATACTACTTTTGACAAGTAATGCCTCATGAAAATTTTAACTTGAGTACATTGAGATTAAAAATTTTCAACTTGTTTTCATAATTAACTGTAGATGGCATTAAAATTACTGTGAATCTGTGATTGAAAGAAAATTTTCTACTTTTACTTTGAAATTTAATTCTGGAGATGCATTTTCCGTTAAAAAGCAATCTTGGAAGTAACTGTTTTTGCACACTCAAAAAAAATCCTAATCTTTTTTAAAATAAATTTTTATGAATGTGCTTTTATAAATGCTGGCTAAAAGTACCAGTTCCTCGTGGGTTGCAATGTAAAAATCAAACCATTCACATTTCTAAACTCAACATTTTGCTTTTTTAGAAAGGACAGTAAAATGGAGATGGGTTTTTTCCATAAAAGAATAATCTTTGAAAATGCACGTTTTGCAAGCCTAAATCCTTTTGGAATCGGCAGCAGTAAAAAAGTATGACGTACTGTCTTCACTTGTGTGTGTGATCACAGGCAGTAGCTCAGGGTTGAGGCTTCAGGGGTTGATGGTCCCAGAGCCATCCGATGGCTCCCCTGCCTTTTGCCTTCTACCACATCTTTCTGTGGCACCTGGCAGTAGTTCTGCCATTTAAAAAAGAAAGGATAGCGTAAGAATGGATGGTAAACATGCCAAGAACTGTCTTTATAGTTCCTGTTTTATAAACTTAATAAGCACTTTTGATATATCCTTGCAAAAATTGTATTTGTAGTTTATGTTCTAAATCTGTTACTTTGCAATTCCTAAAGCTATTTAACGCTATTAGTGTGGGTATTTTCAAAGTGTTCCTCAAGAATTTTTGTGCTTTGTGCAATAACTATTGTCTTCATTACTTACACATTTAAAACTTCCCCTTCCTATGCATACAGCTTTTTTATTATATATAATTTTGCATACATTGCTTTCTTTGGATAGAACAATTACATAGATGATGGAAATCAGGCTTTCTTCTATCAAGCTACTTGTAATTTTTGCAGTAATTGCTTATATCTACTACTGTATTAGTAATCATGATTTTGGTTTAGGGACCTAAATAGAAGAAAACGGATTCTTTTTGGAATTGCACTGCTCAGGAAACATGAGAGAAGTGATGTATGGTGGTGTCCCCATGGATCACTGAGGAAATAATGGTTCATGTTGAAGTATTTTTGAAGGAATTCAAAGAACAGGGACAAAAGTCATAACCAAGTTAATTCAGTATTTAGTCATTTTGTCCTTTTTATTATTATTTATGTTTTAAGCCAAAACTAGGAAGCACCACAATAAAAGGTATAGAATTACAAAGTCTTGGAATAGAAAAGAATTTAGAAATCTGGTTCATCCTTTTTGTTCCAGAGAGAATGCTAGCTAAGGAAGAAAAGCCAGGTTATAAAAATTTCATTCATAATCTATAAAAAGTTGATAGCTAGAAGAGAATCCTGTACACAGGAAGGTACAAAATCTCATTGACCTCTCTGCTCGGAATTTGTTGTGGTTAGGTTTTAGAAGCATCGAGCATTCCTGGAAAATAAAATGCGCATTATACAGTACTACCCCACTGTCAAAGATCACGTAAATATTTTAGTGTGAACATGGGCACGTAAAGAAAGTTTTGTGGGTTGATCCTAAGTTTCTGACTATGTGAAATGATTTTTATGCAGACATTTTCTTGTCTAGAGGAAGTCAGTGCCTGCCTGGTTTTCATCAGTCTAAGGTGCTGCGAAAGCTTTGGGCTCATGGAGCCTCTGGCAGGAGCAGCAGCTGCAGCAATCTGTCCGCTGTGCCTGTATCACAATTGTGGGCTAGAAAGACTTTCATAACTTTCCAGAAGTCTCTGTCATTGGTCATGATAATTATCAAAAGGTCTGAAAACAAGATAATGCAGAAAAGTCAAACTTGACTTTAAACAATGAGTTTTTGTTATAGTTTAGCAGTTATAAATAGGACTAGAGGGAGGAAAACAGAAGAATTTCTAGAATGTGCTTTGTCATTTAAGAATCTGACTTGCTGCTCACCTGGAAGGGACAGAGATGCTGATCATCCAGAGCAAAGGGAGCTGGGTGGTTTGGGTTTAGGGGGATTTATAAAGCTTTGTTGACATTTGGGGTGGGTAGCAAAAGTGTGTGTGGGGAGAAATGCTTTTCCCCCCACTGTTCATGAACAGCGAGAAGAAATGCTAGTTAGTAAGCTGAGAAGGTCTAGCTTTTTTCTTTTATCTTTTTTCTCTCTTTTTTTTTTTTTTTTGTGGGTAATAGCTTCATATATTATTTTTAGGATTTTTCATGACAAAGATGCTTATGAAACTTAACCATAAGCCAGATTCTCTAAGTATCACGTATCATCCCTAAAATTCAGTCTTAGTATTACTTAGTATTTAGGTGATGTGTGTATTGGTAGATATTATGTTAACATTAATTAGCACTGCATTTTTTAGGATTCTTATTTTGTGACGTTTGGAACATATGTGTAGGCACCATAATGTGGCTTGGCAGTTTCTGTTGCCCTTTCAAGTGTATGCCGCTCCGTAATTTGCTGGTGCCTCCTCCAGGATGGTGTGGTGGTTTCAGGAGCTGGGAGGAAAAAATGGCATGTTGAAGACCGCATTAGACAGAGATATGCTATCTCTGTTTCCTTCTCCTATACTACTTTAAACTGAGAGTCATTTTTTTTACATTCACTGACAACTTCACATTATTTGAAACGTATTCTTTTTTGACAGTAATCCATGTATCAATGCCATTACACGAAATTATAGCTTGTTTTTAAGTACTGGTATTTTAATATTTGATATGTCCTAAAAACCTGTAAAGAATTTTGTCCACTATAAAATAAGATTTTGGTCTGAGTAATAATAGCTATGTTTAGAGTTCAGTATATAGTCAGAGATCAGACAGTATATATTCTTTGAAAAAAAGTACATAATGGGGAAAATCAGAATTAGGACAATAAAGTTCTGTTAATATGGCCAAGATTTGACAGCGTACTCTCATACATTCATCTATTTTGCTTTTTTGTCTTTTGAGAAGGTCTTTAAAATTCTAGTTACGATGCTTTATTATATTATTATTTTCAGTGACTTAACAGCTGCAGTGTGTTTATGTCTGTGAACAGTAGCTACAGTCCAAAATTTGCTTATTCATTTCTGGTGGTGGTATGTTGTGATGTGTGATTGAAAAATGTTTTCAAATGTGGGAGCACAAACATTCTTGAACTATTTGAAGTGAATTAGTAAAAAAGTTTTCTGAAACGTTGTTTGTTTTGAATTTTCTTAACTCAGTATTTTTTCCATTTAAATCTTTGCTTTCCACTGGTAAATGGCTCCTGGGCATTAAAGATTTATGTTTTTATATGTACTCTGGATACATTGTTGTTTTTTTAAGAAAAATGTTAGTTGACTTAGCTAGTTTCTAGGATTTGTGAAGCAAAATGTAATGTTTTGTTGATAGGTATTGACACTCTGAGAGATTTCATCTTCAACCACAGTGCTTTTCTTAAATATGACTCACCTCTACATACATACCTATGTGAAAGAAAATTTAGAGCCCTCCATTTTAAGAAGCTTTCTTGCTTTGCATAAAATTTGAAAATATTTAATTTCAAAGTTATATTAATATTAAAACATAGATTCAGTCTTGTCTTAAAAGTGTATTACAATTTATTTCTTGCCATTTTTGTGTAAAATTTACAGAAAGAGTGTTACACCGTGCGCTCCAAAGGTAATGTCTCATTACTCTAAGGCTCGCTCTCTCTCTTTCTCTTTCTCTCTCTCTCTCCCCCTCCCTCTATCTCTTTAATCCTATTATATGTGCATTGAACAATTTTAAGGGGAAAAAAAACTCTGCTTGATCTGTATGGCAGCAATACCTGTAAAACAAGTGTGTTTTATTGTTCATGGTTGACCCTGGGAAGCATGTTTTCATTTCAGTGGCTTATTTCTACCAAGTTTTCACACAGCTTCAGGGTTGGGGGTGTTATATTGTATATAATGGTTTTAGATTTCATTTTAGTACAGAACTATTCATTTCTGTATAAGGCCAAAAGCTTCTTTGATAATGGTATAAAAATAGATTGTTGGAGTAATAGAGGCCCATTACAATTTATAGGATTTACAAAGTTTAAATAACCCTGGTACATATTCAGGAGTGGACAAAAGTAGGTTTACAGTTGTGAGTACACGAAACACAGTTTATTCTTGAATATTTATTGGTTGATTATTTTACTGTTTATTTAATATTATTAACCTATTTTTTGCTCACCCCTGCATTTTTTACGTAGATTCAAGGGTTAGGGAAACCTGGACAATTAGTATCTAAGTGACTGGAAAAACGAAAATATTGAAATTTTGTCATTTGAAATGTTCTGTGTGGTTCTCCTTTAGATATGCTTTCATAAGCATGAACAAGTGATAGTGTTTTAAGGTCTTAACTTACTGAGCATATGCCATCACTGCATGGGACTTGACAACTGTATCGTTTTGAAAGATCAAAACAAGAGTTAGTGAAATGAGATGGCTTTATCCATTGTAATTGAATTGAATAGCTTGGACCCAGCATATCACTTCCCCTGTCCTTCTGTAACCCCTTTGGCAGCATCCTCTGTTTATCATGTTTAGTGTCAGCCCATGGCAGTAAGCCTGCTTTACACTGGGATTTCTCTTGGAATGGGGGCAGAACCCCAGAGGGCTTCCTTTCGTTAGGATCCTTTCAGTATTCTTAATATGGAGTCTAACCAAATAGGGTGTAAGTTTGTATTGCTGCATCTTGAGTTGCAGACCTGAGTAAACAGATGAATTACACCAGGTTGGACACTGTGGACCAGCTGAAACTTGTCCTTGAATGAATTGTTCCTGTCTTCATTTGTTTCCTTCACTACTGCAGTGCAGGGCCAAGTTCATTTGTCTTCAGCTTTCATTTGAATTAAAAACACAACTTGAATTTACATAAAGGTAGTTTTTCTGTCCTCAGATTGAGTCTCAGTGCTATGTTGCTACATCAATGCAGTTAGCTAGAATGTTTATATCTTACCATTTGCAAAGGTTTGCCATATTACAACATTCCTATTAGCCAAGGTGGCAACTTGAATTGGGTACTGTGTGTTTTATAAAAATCTGTAGGTTTTCCTCAGTACCAGAAGATTTGAGAATTGTGAGAGAAAGGATCAAGGAAAGAAGAGGAATAAATCTAACCAACAAATCATCCATTGTTTTCACTGCTGCACATTTGAAATGGAGCCTTTACACAGCAGAACATTTATACCTTTGAATTTTTTTTATATCTTTCCTACAATGGAATCACTGTCTAGAGTATGGACTGATTCCATCCTGTCTTTAATGTGCTTTGGTAAAGTTTGATAATTGTGGGAAGTATATTTCTTTCTCAAAGTTATTGTCCCAGGTAGTTTCTGGATGCTAGTTTATTGATTGAAGCATTAGTGCCTCACCAGTTTGCTAGACTTACTCTCTCTTTTCTTTTTCTTTTTTCTTTTCTTTTTCCTTTTCCTGCCTGTTTTTATTCATTTTACATTACATTAGCTTAAGTAACCACTTCTCAATTTTCTAAGGAAAACTTGAGACTAGTGGTTTTAAAACTCAAGATCCCCTTTAAAATTCTAGAACTACTTAGGTTGACATTTTAATTTTCTTAAATTATGAAGTGGTCTTACCGAACTGGATTTTCTTAATGTAAGTATAAGTGTTAAAGTTCTTTGTAGAATACTGACTTTAGCATTGTTGTGAAGGTTAAATTGTATTTTGTTCACTTAAAATGAATGTGAAAATTGATAAAGGAGCTCCTGGAACAATTGACTGGTTTAACATGGCCTGATGTCCAGTGATCTTTCTCTCAAGTATTCATTACTCATCTTAAAAGTTAAGATGTTTGTGGCATATCCATCTGAGTCTAGTTATATCTGCTTTTGATTTTTTTCAACTGCAATTCACAAGGTGAAGATCTGTGAAAATGCTATGGGAAAACCAGTTTGGGTTCAAAATATTTTAACTAAACATACCCTAAAGGTTTCTCAAGAGCGACTAGCTGCCAGCTTGTGACTGGAAGAAGCCAGTTGAGTGTTTCCTGGGCCACGGAAGTTTGAAATGTCTCTGATGTTGCCCATCGTTGTTTACCTTGCTGTCAGAAGTGTTGGCAGACTGAAGGTTTGCTCCTATGGCATTTTCAGAGTTGCTCTGAGTGGTGGCAGAGCTTCACCTTAGGTGAAGGAAAAGAGGTGGCAAGTTCTGGAAACGATTCCTGAAGCCTCACTTCCATCTGCCTGCCTAAAAGATGCACACTGACTCAGTATGAGACATAGGAAAAGAACTCATGCTCGTCAAGTGTGTGGAGCACGTGTTGGTCACACTTTCATTTTTGTAGAGCAAGTGATAGTTCTTTTTATTCTTGTTTGGTTATCTTAATACATTTTGAGTTTTTTTGTTTTGTTTTGAATTTAGAGTAATTTTAATATTAATGTCTATGCTGCTGTATATTTCAAACATTTCATAAATATGTGTGTGTATGTGCGTGTGTGTGCATATATGTATATATAGAGAAATAAATATAATTGAGTTTTTTAATCAGTAAAATGCTACAATTGCTGTTTTTAAGGTTTGCATATGTATTTTAAGTTACATATATATCATATTTAACTTTTTCCTGGTCTTTTTATCTTTACCTCTTTGTTTTCTACATGCTCTGTGTTCAACTCTTCTGCTCTGTTCACCTGAACATCTGGCTTCTGCCATCTTTGCGATGTTTGCTCCTCAGTACCACCAAACCTGCTCCGCACCTGGATGGGTGAGAATTCTTTATTACTTCGGGCAGGGGAGGTGGGGACTGTGTGGTCAGTCTCAGGCATATTGGACCATGGGTAAACCCTCAAGGGGGCGCTCTTGGTCCTTTACAGCCAGGCTCTTTAAAGTTCATACATAGGGTACGGTGACCTTGAGACTCTGTGGCTTCCATGTCCCTGAAGGGGCCTTTACCAGGGCTTCTCAGCCAGGAAGTGACCCTGCAGGATGGTTTCTGAGCAGCAAGTGCATTCTGTTACAGAACTGTTTACCATAAAACGGTTCAGAACCATTGTTTTAAAGGCAGAAAGCTAAGGCCCCATTTGAGTAATTGCTTTTTTTCTTTTATGAAGCCAATTTCAAGTTCTAATTTCCTTTATGCATCAGAAACTGTGCTTTTATAATTAGGTCTGTGGACATGATTACTGCTTGTGCTTAATTGTCGGCAAACCAACTCTTTCTTACATTTGTGTTGTGACAGGGTGCATGTTGTCTTTGGACTAGTTATTTCCGGGTTTGAAGTAATCGAACAAATTGAAAATCTGAAAACTGATGCTGCAAGCAGACCTTATGCAGATGTGCGAGTTATTGACTGTGGGGTACTTGGCACAAAATCAACAAAAGATGGTAAGAGTTTGGGGTGAGGAGGTAAAGAGAGCTAGGATACAGGCAACTCACGGTGAAACTGTGACTTAGAAATACTGCTGGATACCTCTGGATTTAATGAGTGGTATATCCATGGCTCTGAGACCCTTTATCATACTCAGTATCCAGTCCATCAGCAAATCTCACCAAATCTTACCTCTTCTTCTTACTTCCCCTGCCACCTGGCTAACACCACCAGTGTCTCTTACCTGGCTTATTGCAATAGCCTCCTAAGTGTACTTTGCCTCTGTCTTTGCTCCTCTATGATCTTTTCTCAGTGGCAGCAGCCTCTCCTTGCATATACTCTTGCCCTTCTGCAGTCTGTCCTTAAGATCCACCGGAGTGATCTTCTCCTAGGGCTCCCTTCTCAGTTAGCCAAAGCTGAAGTCTTCACAGTGGCCTGTGAGGCATCTGGCTCTTGTTTCCGACCTCTTTCCCCTCATGCGTGGTCTTCCAGCATATTGTCCTTGACGACTCAGACATGTTGTGCCGCTGACTCCTCTGTCTGGAACACTATTCAGATATCTGGCTGACCCCCTCCCTCCCTTTACTGAAGTCTCTGCTCAGATGTTATCTTAAATTACCTCTGACACCCTATTCCCTTTATACTGCTCCCCCCACCCCCCTATTATTTGTCATATTCTGTAAGCAGTTACTTTCTTATCTGACCCCACTAGAATATAGACTCCATGAAGGCAAGGGCTTTGTTGCTTTACAATCTCACCAGAAAACAGTATTATCAGCTTGAAAAATGTTTATTTAAATTTTGTTTTTAGTATGTTACACATAAGGCATGTTTTACAATATTGGCTAATCACATTTTTTACTCTGAAAGGTAGGCACTGAAACCCAGTACTAATATTTTTGTTAATATTTCTTGAAAGTTCTTGAGAAAAAAAGGAAGAAACCAACTCATTCAGAAGACTCGGATTCCTCTTCCAATTCCTCTTCCTCTTCAGAATCATCTTCGGAAAGTGAAGTTGAACGTGAGAGAAGCAGAAGAAGGAAGCGTAAGAGGAGGCCAAAAGTTAAACATTCAAAAAAAAGACGAAAGGAAGCAAGCAGTTCAGAAGAGCCAAGGAATAAGCATGTAGTGAGTCCAAAAGGGTAAGTGAAACCCTGGAATTGTCTCACCTGAAAGAGAGAGACTCCCTGAAATGGGAAAGCATGTATAATTCTGTAAACTTCGCTCTACTACTTATTGTTGAAAAAGAAGAGCATTTTTTTTTACTGTAAATGAAATCTGGCAAATATAGGGTAGCATAGACATTTTATTTGTTTGCAAGTGAAAACATTCCCTGAAACTTTTAAAATATATATTTTTTGTTGATTTTTAGAGAGAAAGGAAGGGAGAGTGAAAGAGAAATATCAATGATGAGAGAGAAGCATTGATCAGTTGCCTCCTGCATGTCCCCTAACCAGGATTGGGCCCACAACCCGGGCATTTGCCCTGACCAGGAATAGAACCAGCAACCTTTTGGTGCTCGGAACAACGCCCAACCAGCTGAGCCACATAATCCAGGGCTTCCTAAAACTCTTAAAAGAAAAAAGTTGAATACATTTGACAATATTAAGAATCTTAGTACTGTGAGTTTTCACTTGAGTCGATGTTTATATGTTCTTTGAGGAAACTGTATAAATCTTTTGAATGAGACTTGTAAGGTATCAGTAGTTTTGCTATTCAGTATCTAATTTTATGTGCTTTTATTATAATGGAATGCAAACATTACATATCTTTATTGGTGACTTGGTATGTTCTCTCTAAGTCATTCTGAAAGGAGCGATAACAATGAAAAAAGGTCAGTCGATTCAAATGCTAAAAGGGAAAAGCCTGTGGTCCGCCCAGAGGAGATACCCCCGGTGCCCGAAAACCGATTCTTACTGAGAAGAGATATGCCTCTGGTCACAGTGGAACCTGAACCGTGAGTAGGCTGGTTAACCTGTGTTTTCATTTCTGATTGGTGATTTTCATCAGCCTATTGCAGTTCCGCACTCATTTATGGAGCATGACCTATAGTCAAAGCACTTGAAAGCTAACTATGGGAGATATCAGATTAAAGAATGACTTTTACCCTTCTTCCAGGATTCATATTCTATAACTAATAGAAAAAGGGGGCTGGACAAGTTGGTCAGGGGAGAAGTTCTTGTTGGAGGCCTGGAGAGATTTCATTGCTAATAACATTTCCTTGGTTTTCCATTAGAGGTGAAACTTTGGTTGCCAGAGCAAAGTGAGTTGAACTCTTGGATCTAATAGAGTAATAAACGGTAGTTGGGGTGATGGAGAATTAGAGTTTAATGGAGAGAGTTTTGGTTTGGGGTGATGAAAAAGTTTTAGAAAGATAATAGGGATAATAGGAGTGGTTGCATAACATTGTGAATATAATTAATATCCAGTGAATTGTATCAGTAGTTTTGCTATTCAGTATCTAATTTTAATTGGATATTATATATATTATACCCAATTAAAAAATTATTTTAAAAAGCTCATTAACATAATGCCTGATACATAGTAAGTACTCAGTAAAAGCTAGCCATTATATTAACCAGCTGAGGTAGGAAACAACTTTTTTTTTTTTTTTTTTTTTTTAATATATTTTATTGATTTTTTACAAAGAGGAAGGGAGAGAGAGAGCTAGAAACGTCGATGAGAGAGAAACATCAACCAGCCGCCTCTTGCACACCCCCCACCGGGGATGTGCCCGCAACCAACGTACAGTACATGCCCCTGACCGGAATCAAACCTGGGACCCTTCAGTCCGCAGACCGACGCTCTACCACTGAGCCAAACCAGTTTCGGCGGAAACAACTTCTTAATGCATGAACTGTAGTCACCACAAAGTCCATACGTTTAAAATTGCCCATAAGATGACGCACCCATTTCAGAGCATTGAAAGAGGGACAGATTAGAGAGGTGGAGACAAATGAGCTGTAAGAAATATAAAGTAAAATTTTAAATGACTAAAAAAAAGCACAACTAAGCATCAGAATCAGGAATAACTCAGGATTCCTTTAGAACATTACTTTTTGACAAGAAGCATCTAAAAGAGGATTTTGTTGCACTCGCCGGTTTGGTTCAGTGGATAGAATGTACGCCCACGGACTGAAGGGTCCCTTGTTTGATTCTGGTTACGGACACGCACCTCAGTTGTGGGCTTGATTCCCAGCCCTGGTTGGGGCGCATGTGAGAGGAAAGCAATCGATATGTCTCTCTCACCTTGATGTTTCTCTCTCTAAAATCAATGGAAAATATCCTGTTGAGGATTAATACAAAAAAAGAAAAAGGGGATTTTGTTTAAAAACAGTGCTTAAAAAAATAGATACTAGTATCATGTATTTTTACCCAATTGGGTTACTCCCTTTTTCCTCACCCACCCACCCACCCCCAGTTTTGGCATTTAAAACTTTTGCTTTAAGAATAGATTTTGTGGAGTGCCTCATTCTACAAATGTGCTGGGTCTAAATGGAGTGTTTATGTATTACAGGGGCATAAATTGTACATGTAAACATTGAGAAAACTGCTTACATTTCCTAATTTTTATTTTTAATTCTTCTTTCCAGGAAGATTCCTGATGCTACACCCATTGTAAGTGATCAGAAACCATCGGTGTCAAAGTCTGGACGGAAGATTAAAGGAAGGGGCACAATTGTATGTTTGTTAATACTTCTTTTCTCAAATTATTTAAGCAGTAACATGTTTTTACCTATAGCCAAAATCCTAGCTTTAATTTTCGGTAGAATCCAAAATCTGTTCAGGGTATTCTCCGTAACTATGGGAAAGTGTTGCTGTTAAGAGTTCCCTGCCATGTTTGAATGGGTTTAGGTATGAAATGAACATGTGAACAATCAGTGAGAAATCTTAGTATCCTGAATACTAGTCTAGGCTAATGAATGTAACCATTAGGACTTCAAAGGGAAATTTTCACATATGATTTTAGGTGGATCTCAGTCATTCCTATTTCTTTTAGTTGCTTTTGTTTGATATAACTTTATATCATTCTCTTGCCATTTCAGTCATTATTGCCTTTGAATGGGGTCTGAGATTGGGTCTTCACCTAACTCTGTCCTATAGCAGACTAATTGAGGAGCATTTTTAAAATAGTTACTCCTGTCTTTGTTTTTAAAGCGCTATCACACACCTCCAAGGTCAAGGTCCTGCTCTGAATCGGATGACGATGACAGCAGTGAGACTCCTCCTCACTGGAAAGAGGAGATGCAGAGACTGAGAGCGTACAGACCTCCTAGTGGGGAAAAGTGGAGTAAAGGAGATAAGTAAGAGCTTTGAGTACTTGCACAATCCCATGTCTGCTATATGTTAAGTATTAAGTAAATAGAGACTTACTTTTCGATTTTCCCTTAAAGATTTAAATGTAAAATTAGACACTGACCAGATAATACATTTGAGAATACTTGGCAAAAATAGTGCTATTAATCAGGAGAGCTGATGGCCTTGGGGTGCTTTTAATTCAGAATTTTCCCCCACAAGACTGTAAACCTATTGAGTCTCTCAAAGGTTTCTTGTTCAATTTTAGAAATAATCAGGACTTAAAATTACATAGCAGGTACTTTCATAGCCAGTCTCTTCGTCATTGACGTGTGAATTGGTAGGTAGGAAAATCTGTACCCAGTGTGTGCATTAACTTCCAGTCCCAGGGGCTGTCTTCACAGAGACACCCCACAGTGGAATGCATATTTTAGAAATGGAGCTGGCGTCAGATTAGCCAGTGGAAATATACTTAAAAAAAATGAAAAATACCAATGGGACCCTCTCTAATTGTTCATGATAAAATTCTCTTTTTCGGTGTGGGCGTCCTATAGCATGTTTGAAATTGGAAGAGGAAGAAAAAAGTGTGCATCTGCTGTGTGGAAGTGATTTAGACACAGCAGTACTGTGAACTCTCGATTTTGAGCCTGACATTACCAGTGAGATTTACAGCCTACATCTATTTTCACGTACTTTTCCTCAGTTTCCGTAATAAGTAGTTTAAACCTCAGTGGAAGGTCTTGATTACCTCTGTGAGGCTGGGTAAAAATGATAGTCTTGCCAGCTTTTTAAGCGAAAGAGGTTTCTCTTCTAGTTCAGGTAGCTGTCCTGTATGCAGGGGCTCCACAGGATTGTTTGGGAACTGAGTTTGACATTGTTCCTGGAGTCAGAGGGTTATCAGCTACTCGGTCAGGAGCATGGTAGTCAGCAGTGCTCTTGTGATTAGCTGATTTGGTTTTCAAAACCATTTTACATTTTCCTATCAAATTTGAAGTTCTTTGCTTAGCTATGGAAAAATTTCTTCTGTAAGTGGCTCTGTTAGCAGTTGCCCCTGTGCCTGCAGTTGTAAGGTCAGGATCAGGCCAGTTACTCTTAATTTACCCTTCCTGCAGGCGCTTAAAGTGTTGATCTAGCCAATACTTTGTCATTAACTAGGTTTTTGTCAGTGCATTTGTATGGACAACAAATGCCTTTTAATTTTATTCTTTTTTTTTTTTTTTTTTTTTTAACATTTTATTGATTTTTTACAGAGAGGAAGGGAGAGAGATAGAGAGCCAGAAACGTCGATGAGAGAGAAACATCAACCAGCCACTTCCTGCAACACCCCCCACTGGGGATGTGCCCACAGCCAACGTACACGCCCTTGACCGGAATCGAACCTGGGACCTTTCAGTCCGCAGACCAACGCTCTACCACTGAGCCAAACCGGTTTCGGCATGCCTTTTAATTTTAACTCATAGAAGCCCTGAATGGGTAACTCAGTTGGTTGGATATTTCTCTATCCCCTCTCCCTTTTGTCTCCCTCTTTCTCTGGTCCTAAAATCAATACATTAAAATAAAAAAATTATTTTAATATGGAAAACATGCTTGAAGTAATGTATGCATATTATGCTATTTTTCTATAGGTTAAGTGACCCCCGTTCAAGCCGATGGGATGAAAGAAGCTTGTCCCAAAGATCGAGATCGTGGTCTTACAATGGATATTATTCAGATCTTAGTACAGCAAGACACTCCGATGGTCACCATAAAAAACGCAGAAAAGACAAAAAGGTTAAACACAAAAAGAAAGCTAAAAAGCAAAAACATTGCAGAAGACACAAACAGACTAAGAAGAGAAGAATTATTGTACCATCTGACATGGAATCCTTGAAATCTTCTACCCGGCGAATGAAGTTCTCTTGTGATAGAGAAAGGAGATCTCGTTCTTCCTCACTATCATCTCATCACTCATCCAAGAGGGACTGGTCTAAATCTGATAAGGCTGAACAGAGCTCCTCCAGCCATTCCAGCAGAGACTCATATAGATCCAAATCTCACTCCCAGTCTTACTCCAGAGGAAGCTCAAGATCAAGGACTCCATCAAAATCCTCCTCACATTCTCGAAGTAGATCAAAGTCCAGATCTAGTTCCAAGTCAGGGCACCAACGGACAGCATCAAAATCCCCCAAAAGAGCAGCCTCTCAGCTAAGTGAAAATAAGCCAGTGAAAACAGAACCTTTAAGAGCAACAGTGCCACAAAATGAAACCTTACTAGTACCACAGCCAGTGGTGGCAGAACATATTCCTGTAATCCCACTGAGTGACAGTCCCCCTCCTTCCAGGTGGAAGCCTGGACAGAAGCCCTGGAAGCCCTCTTATGAGCGAATTCAGGAAATGAAAGCAAAAACAACCCATTTGCTATCCATCCAAAGCACTTACAGTTTAACAAATATTAAGGAGACTGGTAGTTCATCATCTTACAATAAAAGAGAAAAAAATTCCGAAAGTGATCAGAGTGCCTATTCAAAATACAGTGATAGAAGTTCAGAAAGTTCCCCAAGGTCAAGGAGCAGATCCTCTAGGAGTAGGTCTTATTCCAGATCATACTCAAGGTCGAGAAGTGTCGCTAGTTCACGTTCGAGGTCTAGGTCTCCCTCATCTAGATCTCATTCACGAGATAAATACAGTGATCGCTCACGGTGTAGCAGATCATCTTCATACTCTTCTGTTAGCAGTGATGCCGGGAGACGAGCAAAGAGAAAACTTAGATCCAGTGGGAAAAACAGCACTTCCAATAAAAAGCAGAGCAGCAGCTCTGAAAAGGCACCTAGCAATAAATATACCAAAGGCAGAGACAAGTCTTCGTGCCTGAGAAAGTACAGTGAAAGCAGGTCGTCCTTAGATGATTCTTCAGACAGTGAACACTCAGGTGTTCAGGTGACACAGACAGCCCAGGAGAAAGAGAAGCAAGTCCAAATGGAAACGAATAACAGACGAGAGAAAAACAGAGATGAAGAGAAATCCAAGCCTGAACGGGAATGCCCGCGTTCCAAAAAAAGAACTTTGAAAGAGAATCTTTCTGATCACGTTAGAAATGCCAGTAAGCCCAAGAGGAAGAATTATGCTGGGAGTAAATGGGACTCTGAATCGAATTCCGAACGAGATGTCACTAAGAACAGTAAAAAGAATTCCCTGCCCTCTTCTGATAAGGAGGAAGGTGAGGCCACATCGGATTCTGAATCAGAGTCTGGTGAAATTCACATCAAAGCCAAAGCCACAACCAAGTCTTCAAGTTCTTCACTGCCCGATGGTGATGGTGCTTGGAAGGCAAGCAAACAGCAGTCATCAACCTCTGATTCTGAGGGCTCCTGTTGCAACTCAGAAAACCCTAGAGGGAAGCCAAGGAAGCACAAACACGGGTCAAAGGAAGCTCTGAAAAGGGAACACTCCAAAAAAGGGAAAGAGAAAATGAAAGGGAAAAAAGACAAGAAGCATAAGGCCCCCAAACGGAAACAAGCATTTCACTGGCAGCCTCCACTGGAATTTGGTGAAGAGGAGGAGGAGGAGAGTAATGAAAAGCAAGTGACTCAGGAGTCACAGGAGAAAAAACAAGCTTCTGAAAACAGTGAAACTACAAAAGAAAATAGCCCCCAAACAGAGAAGCCCTGTGAAGACAGCAGCCTTCCAGATAAACAGAATGCAATCACGATTTCATCAGATACTGAGCAGCCGGCTGACGAAGAGAGTAAACTCAGCATTTCTCCCCCACTTTTAGCTGTTGAGGAAAACGTTGCTAGTTCTCCCCCAGACACCCAGCGCATTGAAGACAGCGACCCCGGCGGAGTGGAAGACATGTTTCATGCAGATGACAACATGGAGATTTGTACTCCTGATAGGAGTTCCCCAGCAAAGATGGAGGCAGCATCCCCTCTAGGAAATTCGAGGCTTGCCACCCCACATACGGACATAGTTGAAAAGCAGGCAGAGCATCCTGCGGCAGAGGCGAGGAAACAGGAAAGCAGCGTGTCTGAAAGCCCCACGGAGCGGGAGGTGGGGAAACCCGACGGCAGCTCTGCGGGCGCAGCCAGTGCCGTGGAAAGCACGGTGAAGAGGGAGGCGGCCGAAAGGGGTCAGGCCAGCCTCCTGGACAATAAATGGAAGCCCCTGCAAGGGGTGGGGAACCTGGCAGCACCGCCGGCTCCATCCAGTGCTGTGGAAGTGAAGGCATTGACGGCTGTGCCTGAAGTGAAGCCACAAGGCTTGAGAATAGAAATTAAAAGCAAAAATAAAGTTCGGCCTGGATCCCTCTTTGATGAAGTGAGAAAGACAGCACGCTTAAACCGGAGGCCACGGAATCAGGAGAGTTCAAGTGATGAGCAGACCCCTAGTCGGGATGGTGACAGCCAGTCCAGGAGTCCAAGTCGATCTCGGAGCAAATCTGAAACCAAATCGAGACACAGAACCAGGTCCGTCTCCTACAGTCACTCACGAAGTCGATCTCGAAGTTCCACATCCTCTTATCGGTGAGCAATGTTCTCTTTCTTTTTCTTTTTCTCCCAAAGAGAGTCTGTTAGTGTTTAGCTTGGAAGAACATCAGAATTAGGGACAAGGTCACTGTTTCCAAATATCTGGAAAGTGAATAAGGAGAAGTCTTGTGCTGTGTGACTCAGCAGATTGAGGACACGGAGTAGATTTCGGGGAAGAAATTGGGCTCATTGTAAAAGGCTCTCACTTGCTATTAAGCTCCCTGGCAATAGAAATCAGTTGCTATGGTAGGTGGCAAGTTGCTCATCTTTAAAGGTGTGAAGCTGCTCTCTCACCAGTCAGTGATGAATCCTGAATTTACAGTATAGAAAGGATTAAGATTATCAGTCTAACCCTCCACTTCACACACATGGGAGATGAGGACCAGAGAGACAAAGTTGTCTGCTCAAGATGAGCATCTAATTATACATACATATTTTTAAGTACAATTGACAATCAGTATTATTTTGTGCTAGAGGCCTGGTGCACGAAAATTCGTGCATTCAGGGGAGGGCAGCTTCCTCAGCCCTACCTGTGCCCTCTCGCATTCTAGAACCCCTCTGGGGATGTCCATTTGCTGGCTTAGGCCCGATCCCCTGGGGATGGGGCCTAAGCTGACAGTCAGACATCCCTCTGGCAGCCTGGGAGCTCTTGGGGGATGTCCAATTAATGGCTTAGGTCTGCCTTCCCATTAAACTCTGATAGCTCTGAGCTATTGGTGGTGCTGGCCACTCCCATTTAGTACCTTCCTACCACTGCCTTTGGGGTGGGTGGTATTTTATTTTATAAATGAAGACAGAGGCATAGAGAAGCTAAGGAATCTGCTCTACGCTGAGATAGCTGAACTCTGCCTCCCTGTTTTGGTTACCCACCTAGGCCTGACGCCCCTACTAGGCTGTGAACTCATTAAAGTCAGGGAATGCCTTGCAGAACATCTTGGTCCTGTCTAAAGCATCCATAGACACATTTGGTCCATATCTTCTGATCTGCCTAATCCTGTGCCATTGCCAGCTAGGCGATCAAGGCAGGGGCGGGAGATGGGTTTTGGCAGTAAAGTCACACCACAGTTATTGGACCACTAAAACATGATAGTATTTCTTATGTATTAAATAAAAAATATGAATAGCCCAGGCTGGTGTGGCTCAGTTAGTTGGAACATTGTCCTGTACACCAAAAGGTAGTGTTTCTCACATCTATGTTTCTGTCACTCCTTTCCTCCCTCCCTCCCTCCCCCCTTCCCTCTTCCTTCCTCTCTCTAAAACCAATAAACATATCCTCGAGTGAGGATTAAAAATATACATAGAAATAAACATGAGCTCTTTGAACCCGGGGATGTGTTTTAAACATGGACATTTTTGACTTGAACAAATATCAGGGACCATTTGGTGTCGGCCAAGTGGACATTTTTGATGGACTAAATGTCTGCTGATCCAGAGACTGCTCCCTCCTCATATTCCAGTCCCTCACAAAGACTATGTTTGCTGGGTAAATGACTAGAATCTTATTAGGACATAATGTGCTCAAAACTGCATAAAACCTGTGAGGTATTACATTACATAAGTAGCCTATACTAGGGCTATTTTCCTGGTCCTAAGTAACACGTGTGAACTGGGGAGAAGGGGAGGGGTCCAGGTGAATGCAGAGGGGTAGGATTGCATTGCTTGAGTTTTCGTTTGTTTTATTAAACATAAAATAGATATACAAATAAAATAAATGATTAAGGTATAAGAAGTAATAAAGAAATGTCATCTAACTTAAAATACAGAGCTTTGACATGACATCCTTGATGTAGCCTTACCCATGCTACCCTACTTTCTCCTACAGTTAAACATTATTCTAAACTTTCCTTACAGTTTTACCATAAATGTTTCTATCTTATACAGTGTTACTTTTGCGTGTTTTCAGTCTTTATATATATATACACACACACACGTGTGTGTGTGTGTATTTTATATATATTTGTATTTTATATATATATCTTTTATATATAAAATACAAATATATTCACCTGGACCTCTGCCCTTCTCCTCAGTTCATACGTGTTACTTAGGATCAGGACAATAGTCCTAGTGTAGGCTACTTATGTAATGTAATAGCCTTGTAATATATATAGTAGAGGCTCAGTGCACAAAATTCGTGCAAGGAGCTTAGCCCTTGCAGCCCCAGCTTTATCTGGAAGGTCATCTGGAAGGTTGTTCAGCTGTTCGGTCTAATTAGCATATTACGCTTTTATTATTATACATATATAAATGTTCTACTCAACATTATGTTCCAGAGAGATAGTTCAGTTAATACACAAGGCTGTAGTTAATTCATTTTCCTGCTTTAGAATTTCATTAAAAATCTGTGCATTGATTTTTTTTTTTTTTAACCCATTCTACCATTAATGGAGATTGGATTGTTTCCTCTTCTGGTATTAATAATAGGCCTCCTGTAGGCATACCTGTACCAGCCTTTCCTGGTTTTTCTTTATTTCATTCTGTGCACTTTAAACCCTTATTAGCTGTTACTGCCATACCCACTGTGAGGAGTGCCTGAGAGATCTTTCCAATGACCTTTTCTCTTACTGTGTTTTCCCCTTCCTGCCCTCTAAGTAATTAAGTTTAACAGCATGGGGAGTTGCTCTGATTACAGCTTTCCACTCTTCGTTGTAGATCTAGAAGCTACTCCAGAAGTCGGAGCCGAGGGTGGTACAGCAGAGGCCGCACAAGAAGTCGGAGCAGTTCCTCCCGCAGTTACAAAAGTCATAGGTGAGCTGGGGACCCGCCCTCCTGTGTGCTCTCCATCCCGTCTGCTTCTCAAGGCCTGTCATTGCTGAAGGCCAATCCAGCTTATTCCTCATTAGTTCTTCCTTTCAAAGGGCAGTCAGATTCTTTCTGGCTGTTCTCAGGATGGGATCTTTCGAGAATGAGGAAAGAGAAGCAGTAAAAATATTTTAATGAGGCCCTGTGACCACTTTCTCCTCCTCCTCCTCCCAGCTCACAGTACATCTTCCTTAACCACCTCTGCAGTCACCTCTGGACATGGGTGAGAGATTGGGATAGGAGGAGTCTTAAAGCGGAAAAAGTGGGCCTCTCGGGAATTTGCCACGGCTGCAGCTTCAGTTTACGTATAAGTGTCCTCCCTGGGCAGACCTTCCTCCCCCACCCAGGGAGAGCCTCCCCACTGACTTTCTTTTTCTCTCTCTTTTTTAATTGAATTTATTGGGGTGACAGTGGTTAATGAAATTATACTAGTTTCAAGTAGACAGTTCTACAGAACATCATCTGTGTGCTGTATTGTGTGATCACCTCAGGCCACACACTGACTTGCTTTAGGTTCCAAAGAGCAGAAACTTAATCTTTCTTATGAAATCCAACATGCTTTTTAAAACATCCAACATGCTTTTGCGATAAAGACAGAATCGGTATAGCTGCTGGATGTCACTGTGTTTTCTTCCTGATGGGCAAATAAGTGTCTAGAGTCTTGCTGTAGCCTGTCCTGATCCCTGAGATGACAGTCCCTCCTGTGATTGCTACTAGGACGTCCAGCAGGAGCAGGTCCAGGAGCAGCTCATACGATCCCCACAGTCGGTCCAGGTATGCACAGGGACTGGGCAGCCACCTGCGGGGCAGGGTTGAGAGGCCTTGTTTTATAAAACCCTTAATTCCCTTTAAAATGTGTTGCATTTTATTGAGAAACTTAAGCACACATATTTGTCCATGAAATCATGCCCTTTCTAAATGAAGTCTTTCTGATAGTTTTTCTTTCTTTCTGTTGGCCCATTGTACTCTAGTGTCAAAAGGGACAATTGATGTCAAATTGTAATGGCAGGTGTTTATTGAATATAATTGCCTAATACCCACCAGATTCAATGCAACTAACTCAATGTTAATTTTGTGATATTTTTCAATACAGAAAAGAATTAACATTTTTCTGTTAAATATGGTAAGTCTGATTTGGGGAAGGTGTTAAATGTTTTCAGTACTTGTTATGCACATGTGCCTCACACCGTCAAATAGTGCCCATGTTCTAAGAAAACAGCCTGAAGCTCCTAAAAATAAGTGGGAATAGGAGTGTTTGAACAGGAAACCTTAGTGCTTGCTGTTGCTGTTAAAGCAGGTCCTACACTTACGACAGCTACTACAGCAGGAGCCGCAGCCGCAGCCGCAGCCAGAGGAGCGACAGTTACCACCGAGGCAGAAGCTACAAAAGGCGGTCCAGGTGGGTCCCTCCCCAGGACCCGGCACGTTCCCGTGGGCGCTTGGTGTGGGAGGCGATAGACTTAGGAGAGAAAGCATAATCTTCTCAGGACAGAAACCCTTTTCCTCTTCTTGAATTCCAGCAACCCACAGGCAGCTACTAAATGTATCTAACAAAGTGACTGGCTCTCAGTGAATATCTTTCAAACTAACTGAATGGTGACCATGTCCTCTTGACTCACGATCGTAATGCTCCTGTGTCATGCCCCACACCCTTCACTGGGCACCTTTTTGATTTCCATACCCCTCGCTTCCTCAGTCTGATGAAATATTGGTGATTATTTGGGTAGCATGGAAAATTACTCTGCTCATTTGCATGAGTGGATTTCAAGGAATTTGTACAAGACGTAATTTTTATTTATTTTATCTTAACCTTGAAATTACTACTATCTCATTTAAAACATTTCTGAAAAGACCAGTGTCACCACATTCAGCACCCCACTGGTCCACCCACTGCGGTATGCAACATCAGTGTTGCTTTCAAGCCACTCTTGTAAATAAGAAGCTACATCCCTAGTAGCCAGTTTTGCTCAGAAGTTAGAGCATTGGCCCACGGACTGAAGGGTCAATGTTTCAACTTCAGTCAAGGACACATACCTCGATTGCAGGCTTGATCCCTGACTCTAGTCAGGGTACGTGCAGGAGGCAGCCAATCAATGTGTGTCTCTCACATGATGTTTCTGTCTCTCCCCTCCCTTCCACTCTCTTCTAAAAGTCAATGGAAAAAATCCTCAGGTGAGGATTAACAAAACAAAAAAGAATCTACAAGAGGAATTGAGAGCGTTGACGGCTTAAAGGTGTCTGTGTGTTTGTTTTGTTACACAGGAGCTGTAGGTCTTACGGCTCTGACAGTGAAAGTGACCGAAGTTACTCTCATCGCCGGAGTCCCAGTGAAAGCAGCAGATACAGTTGAAAATGTCCCCTTTTTTGATACGAATTATATCTTATTTGTAAATAACTGGTAACTTAAAAGTTTAAGAAACTTAATGGCAGTCTGTTGTTCTATTTCAATATTAGAGCTGAACTTCAAAAATAGGCACTTCTTAACTGTTACTTGTTCATTTACCTGTGTTCAAAATTTAAAATACAGATATGTCTCCTAAAAATATTTTTATGCCACATTTTGCAGTAGCCAACTATGGAAGTGAATTTCATTTTCTTGAATCAAGAAACCATGACATTTTAGTATAAGTTGCAGTATTATTTTAGAGAGACATTTCCTCTCCATCTCGTGTTCCTTAGAAGGCAGGGTTTTTTTGCCCATTTTTCAGGTTCAGTATTTGCTGCCATGCACAGACCTGTAGGGAGCTATTACAGGTGGCCAAATGTTTATATACCAGTTACAGAGTCTAACACATACGTGCTCTTAAAATCAAACCACCTAGATCCGATAGTGATGGTGGCCAGGAGCATGAGGTAGTGGATTTGGGGCTCTGAATTCATTCCTTCTGTGTTGTCTCAGAGGATCAGGAAAGTGGTCATTACACAGCCCACTGTCTGTATGACTTCATGTTGGCAGGCGTGGCTAAGAATGAATCAGCCTTAACTATAGTACCTGCACTCACTGGCCAGAACACCTAATGGTTCATGTGCTTTCTAATAAGTGTGACCAGAAGTTTGGACTGTAAAGTCATTCTACTCCACTTCACCCTTTGGTGCTTGGTACCTTTTGGTGCCTCTTTAAGCATTGCTCTTCGATACTATATGTTAAAAATTGTTTTTACTCACTGGCACCAAACATGGTTCTTCTCACCCGTATTCACTGAATATTTGGAGGGGTTGTCTCAGGCCACGATGTGTGCTGGGCCTCCTGGACCAGACAGGATTGGCAAAAGGGGTTGTGTGGCCACTCAGTCTCCTTGGCTGGCATGCGTGCCTGTGGAAGGGTGGATTGAAGAATGGACTTCAAAAGTAACACCAACATCTACCTGCCTCCATCCCGCACAGTGTGCGGGCCTTCTAGGTCTTTCAAGTAAGAGACAAAGCAGTAGTTGGATGGTTCTAAGTGGTTTTCCTGTTTCCGTTGTGGCCACACTGACTCTGTGAAGCCTTGGTGACACGAGGAAAACCAGGACAACAGTCAGGGAGAGAGATGAATGGGATTGCATAAATCACACATTCACAGTTCAGGGTGGTTTCTCCAAAAATGACTTGACCTGAAAAACCGGTGTGATTTTTTTTTTTTTTTTAATCTAGTTGGCGTTTTTTCCACAAGTGTACTTAATCACCTTAGTGCCAGTTTAGTCCAGGTATGCAGAAGAAATGCATATGGGATGTCTGATGTGGAACTCTGTGCCATCCTCCCCCGGGCCTTGCCTGGTGTACTTGGGATGTGGGGAAGAACCCTCAGTTGGAAGGATTGGACAACCCTTGCTGGGTGGAAGGATGATCTTGGATGTATTCAAACCATTACCCATAAAAGGCTCATTAACAGGGTTCTGAGGTCAGTTGTTTGCCAAGTTGATAGATAAGAGTACATTAGAAAACAGGACCTAACTCAAACAAATGTTCTTGCTAGTGTGAATACAAAACATTGTGTGATTCCTATGAGGGGTTTTCAAAAGTTGCCTACAATGGAGACTATTGCTTTAATAATACTCAGTAGGGACAATAACTGCATTCAGAACCCAAACAAAAACTGCCAAATCTAATTATGTTAAGGAAAGTTACCCTTTGGGCAGTATGTTGGTTTTCTATTGCTTTGTAAATAATTACCCCAAACTCAGCAGCTTAAAACAATACCTGTTTCTTAGATCTGGCTTGGTATGGCTGGATTCTCTGCTCAGGGTGTCACAGGCTGAAACCAAGGGCCAGCAGGGCAGCACTCCCTTCGGGGGCTCTCGGGAGGCTGCTTCCGTGTTCGTTCAGGGGGTTAGCAGTTTCCGTTTCTGTCGGGCCTCTCTCAGCTCCTTAAGGCTGGTGTGCTTCTCTCCATGTCCAAACCAGAGATGGCCATCGAGCCCTCCTGCTTCTCTCCGCCTTCCTCCTGTTTTAAGGTTCACGTGACTAGATCCAGCCCACTGAGCTAGTCTCCCTGTTTTAAGGTCATAGAACATATTCTCACAGGAGCGGCCCCTGTTCACAGGGTCCTGGGTTGGGGCATGGATGTGAGGGGCGGGCACTGTGGAATTCTGCCTACCACCCGCAGTCATTTCACCCGCTGGGGCTGCGCAGGGAGTTCTATCCTGGCAGCCTCAGTTTTCTCCATTGAAAAGAACAGCCCTTGGCTGCAGCCTTCAACTTGTGTGTTTACTGAATGAACTACAGAGACAGTTTTTCTTCCTAAGGGGATTATTCTGTATTTTAAGTTATTTTTTTTAATAAAATTGAATTACGTTGCGTATTGTGCTTAATAGAAAGTGCATTGTTGGACTGTTTTTTGTAATGTCCTGTTTACTGCAAATGAAACATGATATGGCTGGTATTGTTTAAAAACTAGAAAGTACTTTTGTACATATCGGCAATGTGAAATTTGTATACACTTCATTCAAATTCCCCAAGACTTGACAGGGGGACCTTGTAGAAATTAAAATGTTACTTAGTCTAAGGCGGAGTCTCTGTTTCATCTTTCTTTACTCCCCACACTTTAGAACAGGAGAGCTCTCGTCTCTGCTGACCCAGCTCGCAGGCGCCTTCGTCTTACAGCTGAGCGTCAGTGATGGGGCAGGCGGCGCACTTCAGGCAGAGGCGTCCCCTTCCCTGCCGACTGCAGAGCTGCTCCAGCTGTGACCTGCACACAGATGTCTTCGCTGAGGAAAGAATGTGTCCCATCCATCTGCCCGGTGCTGCCTGGGGACAGCACATTCGCTGCTAACCCACCTATCCGGTCTCCACGCCCCCCTCCTCCTGCGGCTCACCAGAAGGCACGTGGCACTCACTCCTGGGGGAAACGTGGGGGTATTTATAGCAGCCATGGGGGATTCGCAGGGGAGCTACAATTAACTTTTGCCTCCTCAGCGCTCCAGAATTCATATTTGCTTAGTGACTACAGCATAACCTCACAGTAAGACTTGTAGAGATTCCATTTTCAAAATTTCAGTAAAAGTAGGACCCCCAAGTCAGGCAGTTGCTGACAATAGTCCAGCCTGGATGTGTTGCTTTAAATTGTAAAGGAAGTGTGCAAGCCCGCTGTGGGAAATCCCCCAGGGCGGCTCCTTTGGGGTCTCATTTGCTACGGAGCCTGGGATCTTCATCCCCTTCTGACAGAGACCATCTTCATCAGCGGGGCAGTCTTGGGGGAAACGCCCAGGGCTTTGGTCTTGACTGTTCTGAACCGGCTGGGCTTTGAATAAGAGGGAAGAGAATCCAAGGAAATGCCCCTCTCAGGCGACCGTGAACAATGGCCAGACATGGTCACTGTGGACGGGAAGGGAGGCTCCAGTCAGTGTGGAGCTAGGAGCCTGCACATTAGCCTCTGCGCCAGGTGAGGGGCCTGGGAGAGGGCATCTACCCTGCTTTGCTGCCCATCGTGAAGGCAGAGCCTGAAGTGCCCTGAGGAACTTGTGATGGGAGGAGCTGGGGAGGGTGCCTAGAGGACTCCTGCTCGGCAGGGAGTTCTTTGACGCTGTAGGGGCCCTGCTTGCCCCAGGACAGAGGAGGCAAGCTGAGCTGCCCAAAGGGGCAGGAAGCTGGGATGGTCTGTTTTCAAAGGTGTCAGTAGAAAGAGGCAAGCTCCCTTGTCCCTGTCGCCTCCCTGTCAATCAAATCCAAAAGCTTCCAGTGGGGGTGGTGGGGTGGCAGGGACATGCCAGCTGACCCAGGGCCCTGCAGGGTGGGGATGCATACATAGATCTCGGTGTGGGATTGGAGGGTGTGGCTTATGTTCTGCCTCCACTGAGTTTGGCATTAATAGGATACATCTGCTGGAGGGTGGGGACCTAATTCAAACCAGCAGGTTGCATTCCCTCTAGCGGCACAGACGTCATGGTCCTGGCATTCCAGGCCTCCCTAGCTGCATCCAGGATCCTCTCCCACCCTGGTGAGCCACGGGACCCCAGGCCTCTCATCAATGATTGGCCCTGGCCCTCCACGTGAGCCCGTGGACCTCCTACCCTCCTGGAGGCAAGCCTGGGCCAGCTTCCCTGAGCTACTCGGCTGTGTGCTTGGTTGTAAGCATTGAGTCCTCACCAGTTCTAGGAGGGAGGAGGCCTTCCTATCTCAGTTCTTCGGGGGGAGGGGCTGAATCATAAAAACCAAGCCAATTGAGCTAGTCACCCAACTCTAGGAAGAGGCAGAACTTGAACCCAGGCAGTCTGGCTCTGGGCCAGAGCCCTCAAGGACTGTGCCACAGAATGGAGGTTGCTCATGGTGGTCCTTTATGTCTTCGAACTAAAAGCAAATCCAGCCAGAGGCACTGAGGCCAGTGAGACCTTTGCGTAGGGCATCTGGCCTGGTGGTAGATGGTAGTTGCAGGAGATCCTGGAGGACCTGGGACTGAAGTGCCAGCCCGAATAGACACTCTCCCTCCTCCCTCATCTCTGCTTCAGCAGCTCCACAGCTCCAGGGTCCCAGGGAGGCTGAGCCTGCGCCCCCTTCCCCCATCCTGGTCTTTCCAGGTTCCGTTAGATGGGGCGAGTCTGGCATCTTTAAGCCTGGGAGCCGCGTGTTTGGGTTTGTTCCTCCCCCCTAACATGAGAGAGAAGCTCGGGGCTGCATGCTAAGGGAAGCTGTGAAAAACCTGTGGGCGGCTCTCAAGAAGCAGGGGCCCAGCTGCTGACCTCACCAGCCCCCCCAGCCTCAGGCGTCTGAGGCTCCTCAAGCTCTGCCCTTGTCCCCCACAAGCTCCTGGCTTCCCACGGGCCCAGGATCCCCTCCCCGCTCACCCAGTCCCTCCGACCCTCGCCAGAAAGCCTGCCTTGACCCAGCCTGGAGGGAAGCTCCCAGGGCAATGCCGCCTGTCTGTCTCCATCTGGCCGGGCACTCCCGCCAGACAAGGATTTGGACTTCGTGGCATCAAACCACCTCCTGTCTCCCGGCTCTTGCAGACGCTCCCTCTGCCTGGAGTGCCTTCCTCTCCCTCGGCTCCAGCTGCTGTGCACTCTGCATGCTGGCCTCGGCCCTGAGCAGCTCCCCTGGAGCCCAGGCTAAGCCCCTCAAACAGCCTCTTCCTTCCAGTTCTCTTGAGACCCAAGTACCAACGGCCTCTCAAGTACCAACGGCTCCCCCAGGTGGGCTGGAGGCCAAAGAAGCAAGGGGAGCTGCCAGGGTATTCGTGGTGACTGGCTCCTCCCCCGCCCCTAGCCCCGCCTTTGGCTTGACTGCTGCTACATGGGCCAATCCCAAAGGGGCCAGCAGCCCTACCTTGGTCAGGCTGGCCTGCCAAGCCATGACTGGGAAGTGGGCCCAGGAGTGTCCCTGAAGTCCTGTCTGCCAGGCTCCTCCCAGCCACGGGGAGGTGGAGCCTCCTTCCCCTGACGCTGGTGCCTCACTGTCCTTATCTAACCAAAGGCTACCCGATTCCTTGCCACCTCCCAGGATGGTGCCAGGACCCAGGAGTCAGACGAGAAGTGGGTTTGTGATGAGGAGGCAGAGGCAGGCCCCGTGGTGGCGGGCCAGTGTGGCACGTAAGCTGCTGGGGCCTGGCCTTCGCCCAAGACCTCTGGGAGCTAAGCCAGCTGTTATGCACCTACCAGGGCGACGGAAGTGCAACATGTCGGCAGGGGCTGCCTCCAGAGGCGAGTCCCCATCCAGGCCCCTTCCTCTCTCCCCATCTCTTTTCCCACCAGCGTCTCTCCCAATCCTCCATCCGGCTGGGTGCAATCCTCCCCTTTCCCTTGGCACTTTTTGGTCACGCCCATCTTTGCCCCTGAGGTGTTTTCCCCCTGACTTTGAGAGGCCCTACTCTCAAAGGATCTACCCATTTGGGTCTTAGGGGAGGCCCATGCAATCTTGAAGGGCAGACCCTCAGACTACAGGGGGGTGTCTGCCTGGGACCTTGGCCTCTGCTCCATGTTGCCCTGGCATCCAGAACCAAGTCACTGCCCGCCCATGAGTAAGATGGCATACATACTCAGGGAATACTGCTGCAGCTGGGCATGGGGTGGTGTGTAAGCACAGGTGCACTTGTGTGGGGAGGGAAGGGGGATGGAGGGGTCCTGTCAAGAGGGGGCCCTGGGAAGGTGACCCAATGTGGGACTTGGGATGCGGTGGGGGTGGTGCATCTGAACGATGACGTGGCCACATGAGAGACCCACAGAGGCCCCCTCTCCACAGTGGTGGCCCTGCCAAGCCCAGAGCCCCGTGGTCCCACTCTGCTGCCTGCTCGGCCTGGCAGCGTTTCTCTGTAGCTTCCTGCCAGCACAGCCAGCCCCCTGCCCCCACTGGTGTCCATGCCAGAGCGGCATTCCGCAGGCCTGGCGGCCTCTCCCCAGCAGAGACCGAGTGAGGAGGCTGCAGAGCAGCCAGCCGTCAGGTGGCAGGGCTGGGGGCACTGTGGGCCTGGGCCTCTGGACCACTCCCTGGTCTCTCCTCCCGGTCCTGGGACAGGCACTACTCCAGCTGTGGTCCGGGTTGTTGTTATCTCAACAACAGGCTGTGCAGCGACCACCAGGTAGGTAGGTATGATCAACCGGAACCAGGTCCTGAAAGCAGAGAGCAAAATGAGCCCTGGGCTGCTTCTGGGGGAGGGGGGAGAGGCCCGGCTCGTTGGAGATCCCAGACTCACCCTCAAATCAGAGCAGCCCAGAAGAGAGGGTGGGGTGATGAGCGGTTGGGGTGCGGGTTCTGTTCCTCGGCGTGGGATCGCTCAGGGGAGCAGGTGGCAGCTTTTCTGCAGCTGGTTGGGGCGAGGGGGGGCGGGCGCGCCAGCCTCTCCATCTCAGGGCCGCCTCCGACTCCGACTCCGCCTCTGTGCGCAGCTGGAGGGCACGGGGGTTAGACTCCGGGGCGGACTTCCCGGCGGCGGCGGCGGCGGGGGGGGGAAAGGGGGCTCCGCGCGGGGAGCGTGAGGCCGGGGTCCCACCCGCCAGCATGCAGGGCGCGGGGCCTGGCTGCGGGCCCCGGAGGCCCGAGGCCGCGCCGGCCGCTCCGGGAGGGCGCACGCCACGCGTGTCCGCGCCCCGAGCCGGCTCGCAGGGCGGCCTGGCCCTTTAAGCGTCCAGACGGCGGCCCCAGCTGACGCGCCGGCTCCAATCGGCGCCCCGCGCCCCCCGCCCGCCCGCCGCGCCCGCCCGAGGCTCCGGGGCCGCAGCTGCTCGGCGGCCGGACTCGCCGCGGCCCTGCGCCTCCGCCCGCCCGCCCGGCCGGCCGCGCCCCCGGGGGCCATGGTGGCGGGGCCCTGCGCGGGGGCGGCCCCCAGCGCGGCGCTTCATGGAGCGGCCCCGGCCCGGCCGCCGGGGGCAGCGCGATCCCGCGGGGCCCTGTGAGCCCCCAGCGCCGCGGCACCATGGTACGCGGGGCCCCCTGCCCGTCCCCCCGCTTGTCCGCCCACCTGCCCCCCTCCGCCCTCCCGAGCGCACGGCCCGCCGGCTCGGGGGGGAAGGGTTCTGGGGGTGGGGGGACCTTTCCAGATCGGGCGGGGGACGCTCCGGGGCGGCCCTCCGGGGCGGCCCGCGGAGGGAAGGGGTTACATTCCTGGGGTGGGGGCCCGGGCGGAGGGGGGTGCTTCCCTGGGCCCGGACGGCGCCGCCCTCACCCTCGCCCGGACTGGGTGATGGGGGGGGAAGGGGGAGGTCGGATTCCCGCCTGGGCCTTGGGACACGTGGGCATTGGAACCGCCCTGCCCAGGGATCCAGGGTGCCTGGGCCTAGCGGGTGTGTGTGTGTGGGGGGGGGGGGGGAAGGAGGGGGGAGGGAGAGAAGTGGAGGGGGTCGCCCGCAGCTCCAGTCCAGACTACTGTGTGACCTTGGGCTGGTCCCCCGCCCTCTCTGGGCCTGTGTCCCCGGGAAGGAGGGGGGCATAAGCTCAGAGGAGACTGCAGTAGACACCCCTCCTCCCCAAAAGGAGGAGCGGGGAAGTCCTGAGCCTGTGCCCCTTGCTCAGACTGGGCCCACCCACCGCTGCCTGCCCTGGGAGGATTGTCCTGGGGGTGGGGGTGGGGGTGGGGTGGGGTGGGGTGGGGGTGTACATGGAGCCCAGGTTTCATTCTGGGAGGTGCTGGGGCAGGTTAGGGAGCCAGTGGCTTCCCGGCCACGAGGCAGGGTGTCCCACAAAGTGTAGAAGCTCTGACCCGGTGGGCACCTGGGCAGGTAGGTATCCCTGGCACCTGGTTCCCCCCAGCCTGACTTGCGGGCGGGAGTTTGAGGGCATGAAACCATTGGCAACAGGAGTACCTGACCACTCCACTCCTCCTGCATCTTAGCCTGGCTGGCCTGGGCCCCGGGGGCGGGGTGTGCGGCTGCAGCTGGCACAGCCAGATGGGGAGGGGCGCCTGCAGCTTCAGGGATCTGGCACATCTGGCTGGGGAGGCGGGCACAGCTGGTGGGCCCGGGTGGAAGGAGCCAGGCTAGGGGGCAGCTGTGCCTGCTGAAGAGCTGCCAGTTAGGGACTCGGGCGGCATCTGTGTGCCTTCTCAAAGGAAGTCCAGTCACAGCGCTCAGTCCTGAGGCCCCGGGCACTCGGGAGACAAGGAGGTGCTGGCTTAGCTGGGGTACTGCCTTGTGAATGGAGTCTTTGGGGCAGCACTGCCTGCCAGGCTAACCTCTCCTCCTCTGCGGAAGCCACAGGGCCCTGGCCAGGCCTTGCCTGGGACCTGGGTCCAGACCTGCACACAGGAAGGTTGGGCATGCCCTTTCCCCATGGGAAGCAGGCACTGGAGGGCATTCAGTGAAGGGGGAGTGGGTGGTTGGGGGCCCCGTGGCTTGGGTGGGCTCCTGCCAACAGGCCAGGCTTTGGCAAGGCCTTACCCAAACCACTTTCTCTGCCGCTACCTGGCTTCTGGAGCCCCCAAGTTGCACCCTGACCCCTCACCTGTGGTAGCAGCAGCTCTGGGGAGGAGGTGAGGTGCAGGGAGAGTCAGGAAGCACAGCTGGTTCCCTGAGTGAGAGGGTCCCTGGGTGCCTCTTCCTGCTTTTTAAGTCATTAAAGGTCAGGAACTCGATCAATAAGGAGCAGCGAGTGTCCAGCCCGGCAGGGAAGGGGCCTTAGAAAATTGGGAGGTCAGCCGCAGCCGGTGTGGCTCAGTGGTAGAGCGTCGGTCTGTGGACTGAAAGGTCCCAGGTTCGATTCCGGGCAAGGGCATGTACATTGGTTGCAGGCACATCCCTGGTGGGGGATGTGCAAGAGGCAGCTGGTCGATGTTTCTCTCTCATCGACATTTCTAGCTCTCTATCTCTCTCCCTTCCTCTCTATAAAAAAATCAATAAAATATATTTAAAAAGAAAATTGGGAGGTCAGGAGCTCTGCTATGGCTCACGTAGGACGCTCTCATTCTGAGCCTTAGTTTCCCCATCTGTGCACCAGGAGCTGGTTCCGGAAGATGAGACAGACTGAGTCAGGGGAGGGAAATGGGAGGTGCTTGGCACCATATCCCGGTCAGATTGGCCAGGCCGGACAGGCTAGCAGCCCTGAGACAGAAGGGCAAATGGGTGGCTTCTTGGCTGGGGGCAGGAGGCATGGGTAGGCAGGACTCGAGGAAGATGCTCTCCATGGCCAAGGCCGGGCCAGAGTGGGATGTGAGTGAGTGTGGGGGCAGTGCTGCCCTGGGCTGCTGGGTGTGGAGGGCAGGGCCCAGGCCGGGTCTGCGAATAGGTTGTCCCTGGTGGCTACGTGAGGCCCATTCTGCAGCCCAGGGCAGACTCTCATTCAGGTGACTGACAAGTTGAGAACAGACACCCCCACATCCCTCCCCGCACAGTGCGTGCCCACTGCTGCTGCCCGAGCAGGGGAGGGGGGCGGAGGAAGGCTATGCATGGATGGGACCCTTGGGGGAGAGGCGCTGATGGCTTTGTATCTATGGGCCAGGGCCTTCAAATATAGGATGCTCCAACCTGGCTGGATAGGATCGGAGGAGGGTCAGAACCTGGAACCTTGGGGGTTGGTCCAGCCGGGTAGTCGGCAGATATTAATTGAGCATCTACTGTCTGCCGGGCCCATACAAGGGACTGGGCAGCCTGCCTGTCTCTGCCGCTCACCTTTCGGGGAGGCCACTGTGATGGAGCCAGGCAAGATTAAGCCTGTGGTGAGGGGCTGACCCGATCTCGCTAGCTGCCTCTAGCAGGACAGCAGGACCGGCTGGGGAGAAGTCACAGGCCCTGGGCAGAAGTTGTGTGGGTTTTTTAAAATATATTTTTTATTGATATCAGGAAGAGAGAGAGAGAGAGAAATATCAATGATGAGAGAGGTTCATGGATCGGCTGCCTCCTGCACGTCCCACACTGGGGATGGAGCCTGCAACCCGGGCCTGTGCCCTGACCGGGAATCAAACCGTGACCTCCTGGTTCATAGGTAGATGCTCAGCCACTGAGCCACGCCGGCCACTGTTGCTGAGGTGAGGGGTTCAGTAGCCAGAGGCTGGGCAGTGAGCGAGTAAGCCTGACTTCTATTCTCGAGGTGTCTGTGGTTGGGCGGGCTCGGTTTTCTTTGTGCAAGTGAGTGTGAGGGCGAGAGTCGGTGCATCTCAGGAAATGCCCGTGTCCCTGCCGGGGTGACCACCCCATCCCAGTGTGCCCACCCCCCCACCCCATGGCCCTGCTTTTAGCACTGAGAGTCCCGCATCCTGGGAAACCCCTTGGGCCGCTGGCACACCCCGGACACTGAGGTGTCCCCCAGTCCCCTTCTTCCTCTCTCTCTCTCCCCATGACTTCCTGTTTCACCACAGAAGAGCTGGAGGCCCAGGAAAGTTCACTGATCTTTGGCCTCAGAAAGTCACGATCACAGTGTGATCTCTGAGGGCAGCAGACTCGACGGGACCTTGAATCCCGGTTCTTCCTCCTCCTCCTTTTGTGTAACGCGGAGGCAGGAGTAAAGGGTGGGCTGCCCCCTGGAGGGTGGGCGTGGGCAAGGCAGGGGCCCATCCGGCCTTGACCTGACCTCTACCCTCGGCCCCGCAGTTGCTGGTTGAGAAGACAACGGACTCACCGGCGGCTGAGTTCTCGCTGGTGGAGGACGTGGCTCTGCACTTTGCCTGCTTGATGGGCCGTCTGAACGAGCAGCGCCTCTTCCAGCCCGACCTCTGCGACGTGGACCTGGTGCTGGTGCCCCAGTGCAGCGTCTTCCCGGCGCACAAGGGCGTGCTGGCCGCCTACAGCCAGTTCTTCCACTCGCTCTTCACCCAGAACAAGCAGCTGCAGCGAGTGGAGCTGTCCCTGGAGGCGCTGGCGCCCGGCGGCCTGCAGCAGATCCTCAACTTCATCTACACGTCCAAGCTGCTGGTCAACGCGGCCAACGTCCACGAGGTGCTCAGCGCCGCCTCGCTGCTGCAGATGGCCGACATCGCCGCGTCCTGCCAGGAGCTGCTGGACGCCCGCTCCCTCGGCCCCCCAGGCCCCGGCGCCGTGGCCCTGGCCCAGCCGGCTGCCAGCTGCACCCCAGCCCCGCCACCCTACTACTGCGACATCAAGCAGGAGGCCGATACCCCGGGCCTGCCCAAGATCTACGCCCGGGAGGGCCCGGACCCCTACTCCGTGCGTGTGGAGGACGGGGCAGGGACTGCGGGGGGCACGGGGCCTGCCACCCTTGGGCCAGCCCAGCCCTTCTTCAAGGAGGAGAAGGAGAGCGGTGTGGAGGCGGCGAGCCGGCCCCCGGCCAGCCTGTGCAAGCTGGAGGGCGGGGAGGAGCTGGAGGAAGAGCTGGGGGGATCCGGCACCTACAGCCACCAGGAGCAGTCCCAGATCATCGTGGAGGTGAACCTCAACAACCAGACACTGCACGTGTCCACGACGCCCGAGGGGAAGCCGGGTGCTGCCACGGGCCCGGCCACCATGGTGCTGGGCCGGGAGGACGGGCTGCAAAGACACTCGGAAGAGGAGGAGGAGGAGGAGGAGGACCGTGAGGAAGAGGAGGAAGAGGAAGGGGAAGAAGAGGAGGGTGGTGGTAGTGGAGGGGAGGAGGACGAGGAGGAAGGTGGCAGTCAGGGGGAGGAGGAGGAGGAGGAGGAAGACGAAGGGCACAGTGAACAGGAGGAGGAGGAGGAGGAGGAAGAGGAAGGACATAGTGAGCAGGATCAAGAGAGCTCGGAAGAGGAGGAGGAGGAAGAGGAGGAGGGAGAAGAGGAAGGGGAGGTGGGGGTCAGACAGGGGCCAGCAGGGCGCAGAGCCAGCCGGGCAGAGCCCCTTCCCCACAGTCGCATGGCCACACGGTCCCGGGAGAATGCCCAGCGCCGGGCCCCCCCTGAGGAGCCCGAGGAGGCCAGGCAGGGTGGCGGGAAGAGGCCCAAGCAGCCCCCCGGGGCGGGCCCCGCACCGGCGCGAGGGCCCCAGGCCACCGACGGGCTGGGGGCCAAGGTGAAGCTGGAGGAGAAGCAGCACCACCCGTGCCAGAAGTGCCCGCGGGTGTTCAACAACCGCTGGTACCTGGAGAAGCACATGAACGTGACCCACAGCCGCATGCAGATCTGCGACCAGTGCGGCAAGCGCTTCCTGCTGGAGAGCGAGCTGCTGCTGCACCGGCAGACGGACTGCGAGCGCAACATCCAGGTGGGGCCCCGGGCTGCTTCGTGGGTGGACGGGGCAGGGCAGGGCCGAGGGCCGAGGGCCAGCTGAGGCCTCAGCCAGCCAGGCGCGGCCAGGCCAGAACGGGGCCCTGGACATCCTGGGTCCTGCCGCCTGCATTGCCCGGACAGTCACCCTGGGGATACCAGACGTAGCCCCCTGGGCAGCGGGCCGCCCAGCCCAGGCTCAGGATGAGCCCAGAGGGTGGGACCCAGGCTGGCGAGAACGTCAAGGAGAGTGTTCTGGAGGAGACAGAGATCCCTGGGCTTGGACACTTGGAAAGATGTGCAGATAAGACTAGAACAAGCAGTGCCCGTGGCCAGAGGGCCCGGGGAGCGTGGCTGGGAGGATGAGAGGAGAGAGTTGCCTCAACTCATGAGACCGGGACAGCCGGCTGCGAGGAGGGATGAGTCAGTGTTTTAGCAAATCCTTAGGGCTAGCCTACGGCCAGGGGGCCCAGTGTGTAGCGGATTGGCAGTGCACCAAAACATAGATGAAGGGAGGAGGCCTCTGCCACTTTCCGCTTGCCACAAAGGCTGAGCAGAGGAAGGGGCAGCTGGGCAGGAAGGAGGCCTGCGTTCGTCTCTTTGGAGATGCCAGCTGGCCTGGGCCTGGGGCAGAGGGACTGGATGAGAAATTTGGGAAGAGCACAGGCTGCTGGGGCCACGTGGGGAGCTGGGCTGGCTGCCAGGCCCACGTCCATGCCATGCCGTCCATGCCTGGCCTCTCGGATGTGGGCAGGGCCAGCCGGGCTGGTTTTTGCCTTTGTGGCTGAGAGGTGGTGAGGGGAGGCAGGCAGGTGCTAATTACCTGAACTAATTGCTAATTGCAGTGCCCTGTGGAGAAAGGTTCCCCAGGGGTTACCTGGTCTCCTGCTCCACCTCCCGTGCCTGTTCCCACTCGCCTGCCCGCAGGGCTGCTCACACACCGAGCATCCCTCCGAAGAGGAGAGATCCTTGTGCTCCTTCCAACCGGGCAGCCTGACCACCCTGACCCAATTTCCCCCGGAGCCCTGGCCTTGCCACCAGGCCTCTGGGGGTGTCCTGCGGGGATGCGGGGATAAGCAGAACAAGGGTTCAGGGGGAGAGGAGGAGGAGGAGAGTATGACCTCAAGTTTCCCACCACCCTGCCCTGCCCATGGGAGCTGGTACCTCCTGCAGCTGCCCCCTCCCCCCTCTTTCCCACAGCAACCCTTTGAGACCTAGCTCCATGGTATCAGGGCATGGGTCCCGGCAGGGGGAGGAGACGGCAGAGATAATGGCCCAACTCTGTCCGGACCCGATATCTGAGAGGGGCTTCTCCACCCCCTCTGTGGCCCTCCCGCCAGCCGGGTGTCTCCCCTCCGACAGCAGCAGGAGGAGGAGCGCCGAGGAGGGGTCTCCCGGGAGAGGTGACTCCGGGCCCTAGTTAAGTTCAAGGATGAAGAGGGGGACCAGGCTGCTGCCCTGGGTGGTGGGTGGTGGAGTTTAGGGAGATACCACCCCCAGGTCCCAGGAGATCCGATCTCCCTGGTCCTTGGACTCGAGGGCTCTCTCTCCAGCACAATTCAGGCAAAAAAAAAAAAAAAAAAAAAAAAGAGGCCCAGAGAGGGGCAGCGACTTGTCCCGTGTCACACAGCCCTGGCTCAGCGCTCAGGGCCTAAAGCCCTCTCGCCCCACAGTGCGTGACGTGCGGCAAAGCGTTTAAGAAGCTGTGGTCCCTCCACGAGCACAACAAGATTGTGCACGGCTACGCGGAGAAGAAGTTCTCCTGTGAGATCTGCGAGAAGAAGTTCTACACCATGGCCCATGTGCGCAAGCACATGGTGGGTGAGTCCGGGCCGCGGGGGAGGAGCCTGCGGACAGAGCAGGCCAGCTGGGGGCAGAGGGGGTGGGGGTGCTGGGAAGGGCTTCACATGCAGGGGCAGTGTGAAGGGGCAAGAAGGCCCCCCTGGCGGGGAGGCCTGGGGCGGCTGGCTGCGGTGCCAGGTGTGGGTTGGGCAGGTTGCACACTGCACAGGACTCCGGGACAGGACAGCGGGTGAGGACCAGAATCCAGCCACACGGGCCCTTGTCTCCCTTTGAGGACAGCTGTGCCTCTGGTTCCTTCTTTCCTTCAGGCCTCACAGGGCTGCGGGCTCTTGGGCATGCAGCCCTTTCCCCCGGGGCCACGCCCGGACACAGTGAGGAGGCCCCCCTGTGTGTGTTGGGCCACCCCTCCTCTGCCTTGGGCATGGCTGGTCCTCCCATCCATGCCTGCTCATAGACTAGGGCTCAGGGAATGGTGGCCGAGGTGGGCCTTACCCACTTTCTCCACTGGACAGTGCTGGGGGCTCCGGTGTGGACTGCCTGGGATCTGGGCCCCGATGTGTAGGTCTCAGCCAGGAGATGCTGGGGTGAAGCAGAGTTGGCGGTCCTTCCTGGGCTCAGCTTCACCAGCCCTGAGCGCTGGGGGGAGGGTGGGGTTCTCCCTGCCTCCAGTTACTTCCTCCAAGATCTCCTTCATCGGTCCATGGATTCTGGGGAGAGAGCCGCTGGCTTTTAGAGGTGTTGTCCCCTGCAAAACCCACCCCAGCAAGCACAGCACCACTCTGAGCCTCCTTTTTTTTTTTTTTTTTTAAATATATTTTATTGATTTTTTAGAGAGGAAGAGAGAGAAATTAGAGAGATAGAAACATTGATGAGATAGAATCATCCATCAGCTGCCTCTTGCACACCCTCTACCGGGGATGTGCCCGCAACCAAGGTACATGCCCTTGACCGGAATCCAACCTGGGACCTTTCGGTCCACAGGTTGATGCTCTATCCACTGAGCCAAACCGGTTTCGGCCCGAGTCTCCTTTTATAGAGGAAGACACAGCCCCACAGAGGCCGTACAGGGAGCCCGTGGCTGGGCCAGGACTTGAGCTGAGGCCAGTCCATGGGGATCCTTCCGTCTTTCCCCGAAATTTTGGAGGGCGAAAATTCAGAGGCTTAAGAACCCCAAGGGTTTCCACACTTGTCCGACCGGCCTTCAGAGCAGATGGAGGAGGAGCCCACGGGGGAGGGGGCCTGATTGGGAGCAGCCCCAGGCCGGGACAGAGACTGGGTGAGGCAGGCCTTGGGGCCGGCGGGTCCCCCAGAGCTCTGACAGCCATGTGCACGCCCTGTAGCTCACACCAAGGACATGCCCTTCACCTGTGAGACCTGTGGGAAGTCCTTCAAGCGGAGCATGTCCCTCAAGGTGCACTCCCTGCAGCACTCCGGGGAGAAGCCCTTCCGATGTGAGGTGAGCTCCCTGCTCCCCCCCGCCCCCCTCCTCCCCCCGGGGCCAGCAGGACAGACAGGGCAGGGGCCAGGGGCAGCAGCTGTCTAAAAGCCAGGGTTCTGAAAGAGAGGGGCCTTCCCTCTTGACGTCTGTGGCCCTGGCTTCCCACTCCGTCCTTACCTGGTCACCCGCCGGCCAGCCCCCACCACCGCACTCTGCCACTGCACCCCTAACCCAAACCCAAACCCAACCCCCACGCAGCCAGGGTGGGGGGTCTGCCTGGGCTGGAACCGTGGGGCAGGCTTTCTGGAGAGGTGGTGGCCAGAGGAGCATCTCCGGCAGAGACGGCGCTGCAGGTGGGAGGCCAGGGGGGGGTGGGCTGACAACAAAGAAGGGTGGAGAAGGGATGGGGGCTTTCCTCGTGAGGCCCCCCCTTCCACTCTGCAGCCTTTCCCCACTTCCTGGCCCCTATTCCCACCTGGGCCCTGGGCCCCCTGGCTTCTCACCTCTGCCCCTACGCTGCTCCGCCCCAGGAGGCGGGGCCAGTGCCTCCCTCCCTGGAGGCTGCTCCCTGCTCTGCCCCCGGCCTCACCCCCACGCCCCCCTCAGAACTGCAACGAGCGCTTCCAGTACAAGTACCAGCTGCGGTCCCATATGAGCATCCACATCGGCCACAAGCAGTTCATGTGCCAGTGGTGCGGCAAGGACTTCAACATGAAGCAGTACTTCGACGAGCACATGAAGACCCACACGGGTACGGCCGCCCCGCTGCCCGGGTTCGGGGGGGTGGGGGTTATGCCAGGCAGGGGACCCCTTCTGCCAGGATGCCCGCACGGCCCTGCCCCTTCTCACCCTTGGGCGTGTTACCCCTCTGAGGCAGGGGGCCATTCTCCCTGCCTCCCAGGTTGGGTGAGGCCGGTACCAAGCGGCTCAGGGTGGGAGGATCCATGGACCCGGGGAGCGGGGCTGGCCCCGGGCTGGGGTGCAGCCCCCGCCGGTGACACCCCGCTGCGCGCTGCCGCCCCCTAGGGGAGAAACCCTACATCTGCGAGATCTGCGGCAAGAGCTTCACCAGCCGGCCCAACATGAAGCGGCACCGGCGCACCCACACGGGCGAGAAGCCCTACCCCTGCGACGTGTGCGGCCAGCGCTTCCGCTTCTCCAACATGCTCAAGGCGCACAAGGAGAAGTGCTTCCGTGTCAGCCTCCCGCTGGCCGCCGACGGGCCCCCCTCGGCGCCCGGCCTGCCCCCCGCCCAGCCTCAGCCTCCCGCCCTGCCCTTGCTGCCCGGCCTGCCCCAGACCCTGCCCCAGACCCTGCCCCCGCCGCCCCACCTGCCCGCCCCGCCTCCCCTCTTCCCCACCGCGGCCAGCAGCGGCGGGAGGATGAGCGCCAGCAGCCAGCCCTGACCCACTCACGCAGGACCTGGAGCCGGGGCCGTGGGAGCGCACACCGGCACGGGCAAGGGTGCAGGCCAGCTGCCCCCCCAGAGCTGGTGGAGGACACCTCCCTCCCGAGCGCCCCCTTTCAGTGACTCCTTTTGAAGCCTTTCCCTTTCTTGGGAAGTGAAGGAAAAAAGAGAGGAAACTCTTTGCAGTACCCCACCCCCCTCCAGGTGAGGGGGGCGTTGGAGGCAGCAGGGACGGGGTGGGGGGAAGGGGTGGCCGGGAGCGCAGGTGTGAACGGTCACTCTCCTGAGCCTGAGCCCCAGGGGCGGTCCAGGTAGAGCCTGGGCCAGCCTCGGGCGCATCCCTGCCTCCCCTGTGTCCCCCGACTGGCTTCCCCATCCTATAGGGTTTGGGGGGCCAGTCCCCTTGCCCCCCCAATGGGAATGGTTGTGGACTCAGTCTGAGGAATGTGGACACTGAGGCAGGGGCTTGAGACCGAATGCCCAGGAGCATGTTGGGAGGGTGGGGCTTGGTGAGGTGTGAAGGCTTCAGACCTAGCTCTGCACCATGGGGTGTGGGGTAGGCAGGGCGGGGCTGGACCCCGGGCATTTGCTTTGCCTACCCACAGCCCTGCCAGCAAGCACAGGGGTCCCCGACCCGCTCCAGGCCGCACCCATCTGCCCACCCCAGGCCTCCAGATGGCTCCCCCAGCACCAGCTCCCAGGGGCTGCAGTCCCCGTGGGTGGCCCCCAGGGGCAGGGCCTAGGGCGAGGCTTGAGCAAGTGTTCCGAGGTTTCAAGGTGCTATCAGGGGGGCAGGGGGCAGAGCTGCTGGTCACAGAGCACCCGCCCCTCACCAGCTGTCCCAGCCCTGTCTCCCACGCTAAGAGGAGGCGGGTATGTCTGTCCGTCATGCTCCCGGAAGGCCATGCCAGGCCTCCTCCTCTCCTCGCCCCGCAGCCACAACCTGCCCATGGCCAGTGTCCAGCACCCATGTCCCTCTGGGCCTCTGCGACGGTGGCCGGGTGCCTGCGGCATTGTCCGTGAGAGGAGCCTGCACAGTCAGGCCCCGTGTCGGGGCAGGGTCCTAGGGGAGTCCCTACCTGTGCCCCATGCTTGCCTGCATGAGGCCAGCACTAATAGGTCACCCTTTTTTGTTGTTGTCATTTAACACCTTCATTCCTGCCTTTAGAACGGGGAGGAAGGTTCCATAAGCTACGTTTCCTAGTTATAAGCTCTTTCCCATTGTGTTTATACGGTTTTTGTTTGTTATACTCTTTGCACCTTAAACCCCCATGACTACCCCCACACCACCGCCCTCCCAGCGTGGCTGGAGTGGGAACAGACCTGAGCCCAAGGCGGGTGCCGGGGGCGGGGGGGTGACTGGGCCCCATCAGCCTAAGGGGCTGAGGGGGTTAGAACCCCCACCGACCTCCTTGTGAGGCCCACGGCGCCGGGGCAGGGGGTTGGACACATTTTAATCATCAATAAACGAAGCACTTTATTCTGTACGGATGTGGGCAGGCCCAAAATACCCGAGTGATTTGAGGGTCCGTAATCCAAGCCGCACGGCCTGCTGGGCGTGGGGCACGCGGTGCCCCGGCCCCAGCTGACTTGCGGGGCTGCGGCAGGAGCGGTGCGAACCAGAGCCTACAGTCACCCTCTGGGGCCCCTGCTGTCCCCCCGGGATGGAACGCGGGCCCCTCCCCGATTGGAAGGCTTCCGGTCTGGCCCCAAGGCTGGGCCTCCCAGGGCCCCGCTTTCCTGTCGCGCTTTCCCTCTCTCGTACCTCTGATCTCTGGGCTTCCAAGATGTCCTCAGGGACCCCCCTCCGCTCTCCCGCACCCTTGCTATTTCTAACCTCCGGTCCCAGTGCCTGGCAGCTCTTCAGAGCTGGCTCACATTTTCCAAAAAAAAAAAAAAAAAAAAAAAAGGTGGATCTTCCCTGAGGGACCCCCACGGGTTCCCCAACCCCCTGTCACTGACACCAGGGTCTACCCTACCCTAGCGGCTGGTGGCCTTGTCACCGGCCAGCCCCGCGGCAGCCTTAGCAAGCCTGGGGGCCTGGCCAGGCAGGGCCCCTGGTCTGTCAGGCCAGACTTGGACAAGCAGAGGCCAGAGATTGGGGGGTGGGGGGGCTGGTGGTGAACCCCTGTCCTAAGACTTGGGTTTCCTGTTCTTTGTATACCGTCCCTCTGAGGGCAGGAGAGGGGTCCAGGCAGCAGGCCGGGCTCTGGTTAGAATGGTCGTGGAGCTGTATAGGGGGGTGCAGCCCGGTCCTCCCCAATGGGGACAGGGCCCCATGTCCCGGTGCTAAACGCTCTCTTCCCCTCGGGCCCCTGGGTGGGAGCGCCCTTCCAGCCAGACCTCGGGGGTCTGAAGCAATAATGGAACCTCCGCAGTGCCAGTGTCGATGGGGTTCTTGTTTTACCAGCTTCTCCATTTCCTTTTTATTTAGAAAAATAAGCACCTGGCTATTGGACTGAGGGGACTGGGGCGTCCTACCCAACCCCAGGGCGTCCTACCCAACCCCAGGTGGTGGGGAGGGGCTTAGTCATCACCTCCACTGGGATTCGGCTGTGAGGGCCTGTCCGCCTGGACTGCTCAGCCCATCTGGCCAGACCTCGGGTCCAGAACCCAGGCCTGTCCCTCCCCCAGCTTTCCCAGGACTCTCTGGTCTTGGGCCAGCTGGGGGTGAGTGGCCAGAGGGGGACCTCCAGCCCCATGATCACTGATGTGGGGTCTGGGACTGGTCTCAGAGCCTGAGCCTCTGAGTCTGGCATGTGCTGCCACAGTGCCCCTCGGCGCTGGCAGAGTGGCTGTGCCCGGGCCTGTGGACCCCCGGTGTCTGGTCATCTGTGGCCACCCCACAGCCACAGAGTGTGTGGGAAGCAGCCGGTGGGCGAGTGAGAAGAGTGAGGGGAATAAAGTCAGTACAACTGTTTCTTGGCCCAGTCTCTTCTTTACTAGTACACGTTGCCTGCCCAGACTACCGGTAGGCAAACACATTAGTCCACAAAGCCTAATATCAACAGGACAACGATTGACATTTCTTCTGAGAGCCACATTTTTTAAACTTAAACTTCTTCTAACGCCACTTCTTCAAAATAGACTCGCCCAAGCCGCAGTATTTTGTGGGAGAGCCACACTAAAGGAGAGCCGCAGTTTGCCGACCATGGGGCTAGAAAGACTTGAAGCAGAGCAAGGAGCAGGCAGCTCGGCTGCAGACAGTGTGGACATCATACCCTGGACCCCCATCTCCCTCCCTCCCTTAGGGTGGGCTGAGCTTTGGGGAACACCCAGAGACAGGAGCAGAGGTGCACCCCAAACTGGTGCTGGGTCTTTGGTGGGAAGCAGAATGGGCTTGAAAGAGGGGAGGTCCAGGGCTGAATGTAAGCTCCGCGAAGACAGGAATTCCTGCCTGACGTGCAGGTGCACCTTTAGCAGGTTCTCGATGAATGAATGAGCCACACAACACTATCCTAGTGGAATGCCTGGTAGGGAGTGAGCACGATGGGATTCATCATGATCTGAAAATACATCGTGGAGTCATTGGGTAAATAGACGTTAATTGTTCGGTCAGCACCTTCTGTCAGACCTTTTTTTGTTGTTAATTTGTGGGAAGCAGGAAGATAAGGATACCCACCGTCCTTGGAGGTGGGCAGATTTCGGCTTTGAATCCTGGCTGGGCCTACTTGTCAGCTGTGATTTGGCCAAGTTGCCTAGCCTCTCAGCGCCTGTGTATGGACGGTTTTTCTGGAAGTGCCCTGCCGTCCAGGGCTGGGTTGGAGGTCCACCACTCGTCCTCCTTGTCCTTTTTGCAAGGAGGACAGGACCACCTTCAGGGCATCCCAGGGGTTGTGCCTTCCAGGACCTGCTGGCAAGGTGAGCAAGAGATGGATGGTCAAATGCACTGCTCAGGAGGAACAGGCAGTGACTGAGACACTGAGATCACAAAAGGGGAGGTGACTCAGTCCTGGACTAGCCTGCGATCCCCTCTCCAATCTTCCCATCCCCCCAAGCCTGAGGTTATAAACAAGTGACTCAGAGGAATGATGGGAGAATACCCCAGCACGGTCCACACCAGTGTCCTGGGGGCTAAATTTAACCCACAGCTGCAGCCTCTGGCACTTTGGAAACAGGTTAATCTTGGTGGCTGAGGCTGTTGTGTGTGTGTGTGAAAGGGGGTGGGGTGGTCAGGAGTCCAGAGCAGCAGTGCGGGCATAGGGACTGGCTGTCCTGGGCCTGTACCCTGATCCTTTAGGCTGTCACAGGGTACAGGGACCCCAAGGCCAGGCAGGCTCAGGCCAAGCCTAGAATGGACCAAGACCAATGAGCACAGACAGTGAATGTCTTTTTGAACCCTAGAATCCAGAATGTCACTCCCTCAGACTGTTAAAAACCTGGGGGTTTTGGCTGAAACCGGTTTGGCTCAATGGATAGAGCGTCGGCTTGGGGACTGAGAGGTCCCGGGTTCAATTCTGGTCAAGGGCATGTACCTTGGTTGCAGGCATATCCCCGGTAGAAGGTGTGCAAGAGGCAGCTGATTGATGACTCTCTCTTATCGATGTTTCTAGCTCTCTCTCTCCCTTTCTCTCTGTACAAAACCAACAAAAAAAAAATATTTAAAAAAAAACACACAAAAAAACCTGGGTGTTTTGAACACCTAGAATAGTCGAATTCTAGGAAATTAATTTTCTAGCATGTCTGACACCTAACAGTGCTAATACCCTGTGACTATGTCCTCCTAGGAATACAGAACCTCAGCAGAACTGAGCTGAGACCCTCCTAGTCTAACTTGTCCATCTCCTCACAGGGTAGGAAGGGAAACTGAGGCTCAACAAAGAGATCTGACCTGCTCCAGGCTCCACAGAGAAGTGGCCACCCGTGCAGGAGGCAGCCAGTTGGTGATTCTCTCTCATCGTTGATGTTTATATCTCTCCCTCTTTCTTCCTCTCTGAGATCGATCAATAAGAATATATAGTTTGCCATAGAAGGTTTGGTTCAGTGGATAGAGTGTCAGCCTGCGGACTGAAGGGTCCCAGGTTCAATTCCAGTCCAGGTCATATGCCCGGGTTGCGGTTTCTATCCCCAGTAGGGGTTGTGCAGGAGGCAGCCGATGATTCTCTTTTATGATTGATGTTTCTATCTCTCCCTCCCTCTCCTTTCCTCTCTGTAATCAATATATATTGACCATCTTGTTTACCTAAAACACCTTCTTGCTTTCTTGCACAGTTGAAGGAGTGTCGCAGAGCTGGGGCAGACATGGGAGAAGATCTTCCCATTTTAAAGGGGGGACAACAAGGTCCCCAACGACTGAAGGCCATGCTCACATTCTCTGAGCACAAACCCAGGCACACTGTGTCCAGCAGTGGCTGGAGTGAGATACACTCCAGAGCGGAAACAGAGGCGCCTGATGGAAAGACCCAGAAGGCATGAAGAGAGACCTACGGTGGGACTCCAATACCCGCCCCTCCCTGATGGAAGGGGCAGAACTTGGCCATCCCCTCCCCTGCCCCCAAGGGGCACTGCCCAACCTAGGAATGCGATCAAGGCCATGCTGTGCTCCATTTAGAAATGAGGCAGTGAGGCCCCCTTCTTCCGGGGAGGGCGCAGAAACCCCACTCCTGTCCCGTGAGTCCGCGGGGCTGAGTCAAGGCTGCTGGGAGCGGGCCTGTGCCCAGCTGTCCCCGCGCTGCGTCATGTGCGGGAGGCCAGGCAGCTCGCCTTACAGGGCCAGGCCCACCTCTATATATAGCCCACCAGGACAGCTGCGCGGGCTGAGCACCGCCCAGCAGGGGAGCAGGGACTGCAGACGGCACCCCCGGTGGCTGCACCCTAGGCGGCTCAGCATGGCGGTGGGCCTGGAGCAGGCGGAGGAGCAGCGGCTGTACCAGCAGACGCTCCTGCAGGACGGGCTCAAGGACATGCTGGACCACGGCAAGTTCCTGGACTGCGTGGTGCGGGTGGGCGAGCGCGAGTTCCCGTGCCACCGCTTGGTGCTGGCGGCCTGCAGCCCCTACTTCCGAGCGCGCTTCCTGGCCGAGCCGGAGGCGGGGGCGGCGGGCGGCGAGCTGCGCCTGGAGGAGGTGGCCCCGGACGTGGTGGCGCAGGTGCTGCACTACCTGTACACGTCGGAGATCTCGCTGGACGAGGCGAGCGTGCAGGACCTGTTCGCCGCGGCGCACCGCTTCCAGATCCCGTCCATCTTCACCATCTGCGTGTCCTTCCTGCAGAAGCGCCTGTGCCTGTCCAACTGCCTGGCCGTCTTCCGCCTGGGCCTCCTGCTGGACTGCGCGCGCCTGGCCGTGGCCGCCCGCGACTTCATCTGCGCGCGCTTCCCGCTCGTGGCGCGCGACGCCGACTTCCTGGGGCTCTCGGCCGACGAGCTCATCGCCATCATCTCCAGCGACGGCCTCAACGTGGAGAAGGAGGAGGCGGTGTTCGAGGCGGTGATGCAGTGGGCGGCCGGCGGCGCGGACCCCGAGGCCCAGGCCGAGCGCCAGCGTGCGCTGCCCACCGTGTTCGAGAGCGTGCGCTGCCGCCTGCTGCCGCGCGCCTTCCTGCAGAGCCGCGTGGAGCGCCACCCGCTGGTGCGCGCCCAGCCCGAGCTGCTGCGCAAGCTGCAGATGGTCAAGGACGCCCACGAGGGCCGCCTCACCGTGCTGCGCAAGAAGAAGAAGAAGGACAAGGGGAAGGAGGCGGCGGGGCCCAAGGCGGCTGGCAAGGGCGGCGCCGGCGAAGCCAAGGCCGAGGGGGAGGAGGAGGAGGAGGAGGAGGACCAGGAGCGCGTCCTCCCAGGCATCCTCAATGACACGCTGCGCTTTGGCATGTTCCTGCAGGACCTCATCTTTATGATCAGCGAGGAGGGCGCCGTGGCCTACGACCCGGCCGCCAATGAGTGCTACTGTGCCTCCCTCTCCACCCAGATCCCCAAGAACCATGCCAGCCTGGTGACCAAGGAGAACCAGGTCTTCGTGGCCGGGGGCCTCTTCATCAATGAGGACAACAAAGAGGACCCCATGAGCTCTTACTTCTTGCAGGTGCCTTGCCAGCCCTGGGAGGGGGCCGGGGGGGGGAGAGGGGAGGAAGGGGGGAGGGTTGGGGACTGGGGTCAGCCTTGGGGCCCAGGAGAGACCTGTGTCTACTTGTTGGTGAATGTCCTTGGTCTACAGGGAGCTGTAGGCCAGGGAGGTTCACTGGCAGCCACTTGCCTGAAAGCTGGAGGCAGTGGAAGGCAGTGGACAATGGCTCCGTAACCGTGGTGTCTCAGCTTCTGGGGGATGTTAGCCCCAGGATAGCCCGATATGTTGGAGGCCTTGGCCCTGCACAAGGGTTGGGGTCAGGCACAGTGAGAAGGAGGGGCGAGGTCAGTGTAGGGGTTCTGGGCAGGGCCTTTGCATGAGTCAGGGACTGGAGTGTGGAACAGTGTGTCCCAGACAGAGGGATCATCCTACCTAGCCCTCCCATTAGACAGATGAGGAAACTGAGGCTCAGGAAGGGCCAGTAGAGCAGGGGGGAGAGCCTCTGGTTTTGTCATAAGACTGTCCGGGCGGACAGGGCGACAGACTTGCGCTGTAGGCTTTGAGGGCTGAGTGGCAGAGCTGGCTGTGAGTGGGTTCCTGTGCCAGGGGATGAGGTGGAGAACGGGGCAGGGAGGTGTACAGGGGAAGGGCCAGGCCCGGGGGGGAGGGGGGTAGCTGCCCCATCCTGGTGCCATAATGGCGATCTCCCGTCATCTGTCTACTCAGGAATGGGGTGGAGGTGGTGGGCTTTCTCAACCAGAAAGGGGGGCAGGGGGGAGAGCACTGCCTCCAGGAACCACCTCCGCCTGCACTGGCCCTGCCTGGAGTCTTGGGCTCCTAGATGACCGGATGGTCTGATGGGGCTGGGACTGGGGATGGGGGTGGAGGGGGGGGGGATGGAAGCTGACTGGACCCCCGCCCGCAGTTTGACCACCTGGACTCAGAGTGGCTGGGGATGCCGCCGCTGCCCTCGCCGCGCTGCCTCTTCGGCCTGGGAGAGGCTCTCAACGCCATCTACGTGGTCGGCGGCCGGGAGCTCAAGGAGCGGGAGAGCAGCCTGGATTCGGTCATGTGCTACGACAGGCTGTGAGCGCGGGCAGGGGTGGGCCAGGGGGCAGGGGTGAGGATTTCGGGTGGGGCCGGGCGCCAGGGTGCTGGTCTAGACTCTAGGGCCACGGGGTGTGGCCAGGAACCCTAAGGAGACCCCATTAGGTTGGGGCAAGGCGCCTTGGTTGGCAAGTGAGATGGAAGCGAGGAAATGAAGTTCTGGGGAGTTCTGGTAATACATGTTAGGTGGGTGGGTGGGTGGGTGCAGAGACAGAGACGGAGTGTGTTCACCCTCTCCCCTCCCTCCCCTCCAGGTCGTTCAAATGGGGTGAATCGGACCCGCTGCCTTACGCGGTGTACGGCCACGCCGTGCTCTCCCACATGGACCTCGTCTACGTCATTGGCGGCAAAGGCAGCAACAGGTGAGGCTGCAGCCTGGGGCGGGGGCAGCGGAGGGCTGCAGGCGTCCTGGCTGCCTGGGGCGGGACAGGGCCGGAGGAGGGGGCGGTAGGGGAGGTGCCCTGCTCCCGCTTCCCGGCCCTCACTCCCTGCCTCCCCCTTCACCCCCCAGGAAGTGCCTGAACAAGATGTGCGTCTACGACCCGAAGAAGTTCGAGTGGAAGGAGCTGGCTCCCATGCAGACGGCCCGGTCCCTCTTCGGGGCCACCGTCCACGATGGCCGCATTTTTGTGGCCGCGGGGGTCACGGACACAGGGCTGACCAGCTCGGTGGAGGTGTACAGCATCACAGACAACAAGTACGCCACTGCCTCCTTTCTTCCTCCCTTCCCCGGGCAGGGCAACCAGGGCCCAGGGCCCTCCCCCCGGCACCCCCTGGATGTGTGGCTTCGGGCCTATGCCGGGCCTCTCTGAGCCAGCCCCGGGAGCACCGTAGCTCCTGGGTTGGTTTTCACAGTTGAGTTTGGACATCAGCACAGAAATAGTCCCTCTCTCCTGATCAGTGGTGAGGTGGGGCGAGGGGTATGGCCAGCCTGGTGGGCAGGAGAGAGCTAACCCCCAGGAGTTGGGTAGGAGATGCCAGGGTTCACATTCAGAGATTCACCAGGCACTGGCCTGGTACCGGGGGGTGCAGGGGAGACCAAGCTCCCCTGCCTGGGAGGTCAGGAGGAAGACAGCTGTGACGGGAGAAGGGTGCCCAGGCCAAGGACAGCTGGCGCCGAGGCAGTGAGGAGAAAAAGGCTGACCCGTTTGGAGGAATTGCCCAGGTTGGACGGAGTGTGGCGAGGGAGGTACTGGGGCTGCAGAAGGCGGCCGGCAGGGCTGAGGAACTTTATCCCAAAGGCGATGCGATGCCTCTGAGAGGTTTTGAGCTCACGTCTGTGTTTTACGGATGCTTCATGCCAGCTGACGTAGGGGCGGGGCGTGAAGCAAGTCACAGGGGCAGAGTGGTTGCGCTGGGCCTGGACTCCCAAGCCCGGGGTAGTCGGGGACCTGAGAGCGGTTTTGGAGGGTGGGGGTGAAGACTCCTTAGGAGTAACTGGACTGACTGTGGGAGAAGGGGTCAGGGCAGGAGTCCAAGGGGTCAGGAGCTTAATAACCACTGAGCTAGCAAGTGGGGTTGGTTCAGGAGTGAAGGAGGGACACTGGGGCAGTCCAGAGTGGATTTTGGGGGGCAGGTTGGGTAGCATGTCAGAGGGACAGTGAAGGGAAGTATTGTGGGGTGGGTAATTGAATGGGAAAGGATGTGGATACCAGAGGGAAGGGGGAGGGGAACAGGGTTGGGACACGCTGAGGCCTGGGCAGGGGTACCAGGTGGGCATTCTTTTTTCTTTTTTTCTTTCTTTCTTTCTTTTTTTTTTTTTTAATATATTTATTGATTTTTTTTTTTTTATAGAATCGAATCTGGGACCTTTTGGTCCACAGGCCGACGCTCTATCCATTGAGCTAAGCCGGTTTCGGCTTTTATTGTTTTGTTTTTTAACAGAGAGGAAGGGAGAGGGATAGAGAGCTAGAAACATCAATGAGAGAGAAACATCAATCAGCTGCCTCCTTCACACCCCCTACTGGGAATGTGCCCACAACCAAGGTACATGCCCTTGCCTGGAATTGAACCTGGGACCTTTCAGTCCGCAGGCCGACGCTCTATCCACGGAGCCAAACTGGTTTTGGCTAGGTGGGCATTCTTGAGAAGGTCCAGGACAGGAGGCTGTGTTGAGAGCCCGGGACCTTGGGGTTCAGATGTCAGAGGGGTGCGACTGAGGCTGTGGGTGCTGGGGTGGGACAGTCACTGGGCTTGCTGAGGCCTCCCGGTGATGCGCCTTCTCGCCCCTCCCCCCTCCCCCCGCCCCCGCCCCCGCCCCCCAGGTGGACGCCCTTTGAGGCCTTCCCACAGGAGCGCAGCTCACTCAGCCTGGTCAGCCTGGCGGGCACTCTCTACGCCATCGGCGGCTTTGCCACCCTGGAGACTGAGTCCGGGGAGCTGGTCCCCACGGAGCTCAATGACATCTGGAGGTGAGCCTGGCCCTGGGGAGGCGAGGGGCATCGGGAGCAAGGCTGACGGCTCACAGCATCGTGGCCGGGCACCGAGGCACCTGGCAGGCTCTTTGGGGGCAGAGCTGATCCCTCTTCTGAGAGCCCTGGTGGGAAGGGACAGTAGACCCCGTTCAGCCCCAGTTCTCTCCAGTTTGGTTGGGAAGTCTGGGTTTGCACACATGACACCGTGCCCCACTGTGGGGCCCAGACCCATGGAAACAGGTCCCAACGTAGAGGGGCCTTTTCCTCTCCCCTCCCTCCTGGAGGCCCTTGGGGGAGGGCTGGGGCCAGGATTGATATTTGCCCCACCCCCGTTTCACAGAGCCATTGCTTTCCCTGGTCCTTCCTGAGGAGGGAGGGGAGCGGCCTGGGCCACCTTCTGATCCTTTAGTTCTCCCACTGCTGCTGGCAGCCTCCCGGGAGCATCACTGCTGGGACAGTGGGAGTTGGGGGGGGAGGGGCTTGGAGGGCTAAGGAGGGAAACTCTACATCTCAAGGGAAGATGTAGACCTTCTCGGAGGAAGGTGCCCTTCCTGGAATGTGGGGTGGATGTTCTCTGGGGGTGAGTCTTGTGGGAACTTTTCCCAGAACATGGGAAACCTCTAGGAGTGGACCATTCTCCAGGGCTGGGGGAGGGAGGGATGGACTCCTTGGGGTGGGCCTAGAGCACCCGGCCATCCCTTCCTGCTGGGTCTCCCTCTGGACTCGGCTGACCAAGCGCCTTGTCCCTGCCCCGCCTGCAGATATAACGAGGAGGAGAAGAAGTGGGAGGGTGTTTTGCGGGAGATGGCCTATGCCACCGGTGCCACCTTCCTCCCGGTGCGACTCAACGTGCTGCGCCTGACCAAGATGTGACCAGCCCGGAGGGCCTGAACGAAGCGCCGTCCCATCGTGTGGCCCACACAGGCCGGGCCTCCTGGGGGCTCCGGGGATGAGGCCGGGAGAGGCCAGAGTCCACCTGGACCTGTGATAGTGGCCGAGTGGCTGCTTCAGTCGGGGAAGGTAATAGCTGCCCAGTCCTAGCCTTGGGGCAGGGGCGAGGCATGTTAGGCCTCTCTGGTGTCTCTGTATCCCCTTGTTCTTAAGCAAGAACCACAGGGTCACATCCCAGGCTCCATCCCGGGCCTGTCCCAGCCCAGCTGCGTGCCAGCAAATTCCCCACAGGACCCAGTGCTGGCTGTCGGATGGGGACGGTCCCCACCGAGCGCTCCCTGCAGCACAGACAGGTCTCCTTCTGCGAGAAGAATAAAGTACCTTCTAAGCGGGCAGCTCAGGGCCCGGAAGCCGGGGCTCCAAGAGTTAGTGACCAGCTAGTTTGAAGGTTTGGGGCTTTAATGCTCAGATTTGGGGTTCCCTGGGTTGGTGGTCTCTGCCCTCATGGCTGGTGTCTCCTCCACACTGTGTGTGCCAAGACCTCGACCCTCTCCCCGAGGTCCAGAACTCCCTGCTCCTCACTTTGCATAGACAAGGAGCCAGGGGACGGCTGGGGGGCAGGGGAGGGAGGGACCAGCCAAACTGTGATAGAAAAGCCTTTTATTCTCTTGGTCAGGCCCCATCTGGCCTGGCTTGGCCTGGGCCCAGGAATGGCTGAGCCAAGCCGTCCCCTCCCCTCTCCCGCCTACTCCGGCTTCAACTTGTCCTGATTCTGCTCCTCCTCTAGCGCCAGGGTTCGCTCTCGCTCCTTCACCAGCTGGACACCACAGTAGGTGACAAACAGGATGGCCAGTGTGGTCTGGGGAAACCCTGTGGAGGGAAGAGGTCCTGGATGACTCTTCTCAGTCATGCCCTTCCCCCTTGACCCGCCCTGGGGAATGGAGGTGAGGTGGGGGCATTGCAAAAGGTTACGGTCCTCGAGGGCGCTGCCTGACACGTTCTGTACCCCACCCCCCTCCTGTCCCTCACCTGAGACTAGCAGACGCCGGGCGACCAGCTCTGTGAACTCCAGGCTGTTCAGGCTTACAAGGTTGTACATGATGATAGCCCAGAAGTTCATGGCCCCAAAGATGCCCCGGACCCTGCGAGACATCTGCTCCGACAGCGAGGCCTGCGCGGTGCAGGAAAGCATTGTCAGCGTGGCAAGAGGCCCAGAGGGAAGAGGTCATGGTCGGGCAGAGGCCTTCCCACATGGCCACGGAGCCCCTGGGCCATGCCCGGGTCTGAGAGTCCCAGGCCAGGTCTCTCCCGTTGTTAAAATCGGGCAAACTGAGGTCTGGAGAGAGGGCAGGGCCTGGCCAACACAGCCAGCCTCGGTGTTCCACACCACACAGAAGGCAGGGAGGCCAGATACCCCCCAGGTGAGCCATTGTCCTGACAACGAGGAGGGTGGTGGTGAGAGAGTTCTGGCCTGGGGACCAAGTGTGGCCGGGAGCCTTCAGAGGGCAGCGGTGCCCAGCCAGCCCCTCTCTGCTCACCTCCATTTGTGCCAAGGGCTCCCTCTCTGCCAGCTTCTGCACCCAGAGCTCGAAGTTGAGGCCAAAGCAGTTTAGGAGTGACCACAGGTAGACAATATCACAAGGCCCAAGCCACAGCGTGGTGACGGCAAATGTGGCCACAGAGGCCGCCAGCTCGGGGATCACCTCAGAGTGCTCCCCGCCAATGTGGTCGTACACGTACCTAGGGGAAAAGGCGGGTAGGAGACGGGCAAAGGGTACCCAGCAGGCACAGCCCTCCTCGATGCACAGCCAACATCCCTGACCCAACTTTGGAAGGTGGAGGGCTCAGCCTGGGACTCCAGATCTCCCCCAGCTATGCTGACTCAGTCCCCAGGTGGCCGCATCCGAACCCAAGGCTCTGAACATGGCCTACGTTGAGGCGCCCCAAACCTGTGTCTTTAGCCCAGTCTCCCTCCGAACTCCTCTCTCCCACGGTTACCAGACTCCTCACTTGAAGGGCAGGTTCCCCCATCCCTGTCTAAACCCACTGCATCCGCATCTCAGTTCATGACACCACCGTCCACTCAGTGGTAGGCCGGGAGCCTTCATGCCTTCCTGCATACTTGGATTGCATCACGTCCACAATCAAACCTTTGCCCCCATTACAATGAGAATAAACTCAGCTTCCTTACTGCAGCTAGATGATCCCAGGTCCTCTGGATTCTGCCCGCCTTCTCACCGCATCACCACCATTCTTGCCCTCGTGACCTCTGCTCGGGCCTCGTTGGCCTTCCTGTCCCTCAGACACAGCTGGTCCCTGCCTTAAGGCCTTTGCACCGGTTGCTCCCCTATCTCGATTTATCGTCCCCACATTCCCTGATCTCTCAAATCTCAGTTCAAATATCACCGCACCGAGGACTGCCCAGGTCCTGTGGCCAGCTTCTATCCCATTATGCTGTGTGCATTTCCCATAATGCCTACCACTCTCTGAAATAGTTTATGTGTGTGTTTACCTGTTTGTGGTCTATTTCACCCCACTAGACTGCAAGCTCCATGAGCTTGGGGGTCTTTGCCATGCTCACTGACGTATCCCCAATGCCTAGAACAGCGCCTGGCACATAGTAGGTGCTTAATAAATATTGGTTTAATAAATTCAGTAGACGGCCCATTGAGTACCATCCTTGACCTTCTAATGGTTTCTTTTCCAGTCCACCTCAGCCACCCACTCCCATGGCCACACCCCAACTTTGTCACCACATGAAATTTCACTCATTCCTAATTCCCATTCTCCCCCCAGTCCCTCCTGGCCTGGCCTCCCAGCTCTGTTCTCCAGTCTCATTGGCACCCACCCTTCCTCATCTTCCTCAAGGGGCCTATATTCAGTGAGTCATCATTATAAATAACCTAAAACCCTTTATTCCTCCCCTCTTTCTTCTCACTCACCTGGGAGGGCCCAGTCACCCACTTTCTCCTCCCCAGCACCCAAGAAGCTAAGCGCTGATGGGGGAAATCTCACACCTTCACACATTCAAGTCCATAAATCCACTGTCTCCAACCTCACCTGGGCTCTCAATGCCAAAGGGAGTGGGGGTGGGGGGATCTAGTCAGGATGGTGGAAGACACACAGATGCCACCTCCCTCCATGCCTCTCTCAGCTCCTACTTCATAGAGAAAACCAGAGCCTTTGGGTGGAATCTTCTACATGAACCTGCTATCCTTCGGCAGCACACTGGCGTCCCGTGACCTGAAGCCAGGCCTCTGCTGGTCCCATCTCCTTCTCCCTCCTCAGGATGGGCCTCACTCCACCCATCAGTCCTCTATCCTGCATCACCAACTCCTTCTTCTCTTTGCAGTACTCCCTCTAGCACCCAAGCATGTTCCACTATTTCTTGTCTTTAAAACCCCCACATCTCTGCCAGCCACTCCTCTGTCTCCCCCTGCAGTGCCAGGCTTCTTCCCGGAGTGGTCCACACATGAATTCCCCTGTAGTTCCTCTGTTTTTTCTCACGCCTCACCTGCCCTGGCCTCTCCCGTGAAAGGCAGAATCCTCCATGCCCCGAACACTAACGCTCAGTGTCTAGCTTCCGTGACCCCAGCGGCACCTGGCCCAGTCACGCCCACCAAACCTGGATGGTCTTCTCAACGTTCCAGGATGTCACCCAGCCTTGGCTTTCCTCCTGTTCCAGTGACCATTCCTTCCAGTCTTTTCCACCTGCTCTTACTGCTCCCCCAACCAGAGTTCTTCCCGGCCCAATCTCGGCTACCCGTCTTTACTCTTCTCTCTCCTTGGGGCACCCAAGGCCGAAAGACCACCCACACCCATGATGCTCAGCGTTCCATCCATCCTCCAGGCTTCTCTGAACCACCTCCCTGAACTTCCACAGATGTATCTCCCAGACATTTCTCAGTTGGAACCCTCTCTGGAAACCACAGATAGGAGTCTGGGAATCATCTCCCTCGCTGTCCTGATTTCTGCAGATGATGGCCAAGTCCTGCCCAGGCTTCCTGTTGTGTGTCTCTACTCGGACTCTTTCTCTCACCTCCAGGGCCCCACTCCACCACAAACCTCTATGTCTCTGACCTAGACTTCTGCCACCCTCTCCTCCCTGTCCTCCTGCCTTCCTCCGGACCAGAGATGATCTTTTCAAACACGGACCAATCTCTGCGCTGCCTGCTCAAACCCCTGGCACCATGACTGTGACCATCCCCCCACCCCACCCCGACTCACTTGCAAAGCCAGTCATTGATGCCACGGTCAAAGTGCCTGTGGGAGGAGGGCAGCTGGGTGTGAATCACGTAGGGGAAGGAGCTCAGGAAAGCCAGGGAACCCAAGGGCGTGTCCCCAGATGCCCGATGCCCACACTCACGTTTCCGCAAAGATGTAAAGCGCTGTGATGCACTTGGGAGGCTGGGGCGGGTCCAAGTGGTCGAGACGCGCCACCGTGTTGACTACACCGAACAGGACGGCGGCCTTCACCCAGTCATACACCAGGTTTGAGTAGGCGAGGGCAGCTGGGGACAGCATGTTGTCATGGCCTGACGGGTGTTGCACCTGTCTCCCCACCCCAGACACCCAAATCTAGGGAGACTCACTGAGTCTGGTTTCCTGCTTCTGACAATCTCCAGGCCCGGGAGAAGGTCCTGCTGCCCAGATCGCTCCATGGGCACCCCGCTCCCCACCGCCTGGATCCTGTCCACCCCAGGGAGACCCCATCCCATTGTGGGGATCAGCCCGAGGCCCCAGGGAGGTGGAAAGGGCTCTGTCCCATACCAGTCTGGCCTCACACGGCAAACAGAACAAGCCCCACACATGTCAAGGAATAAGTTCCCGCTCCCACACCCTCAGATAGGTGCTGTGCCCCTTAAGGTGTCAGCTTCCCCAGCGGTGACACCTTAGGAATATACAGTGTTTCCCAAACTTTTGACATACGTGTACCTTTTCTATAATTTTCGTAACGCTAAGTACCCCTCATACTCATAAGAACATAGAATTAGGCGCAGCTAAGCACGGTGCAGTGCATATCCCCACCAAACTCCGGTGCAACACGTACCCCCACCAAACGCTTCCCGTACCCCTGGGGGTACGCGTACCACACTTTGGGAAACACTGGGAATATAGGTCTATCTTTCTGGGTGATGGCCCAGACCTCATCCCTGTTCTGGGTCCCTTGCACACCCACCAAGGGCGCTGTCCGGCAGGCGGCTGGCGAACTTGAGGTCACTGGGGATGGTGAGGATGTAGAAGAAGTGAAAGAAGATGTCCACAGCTATGATGGCCGCCACACTGAGGCCCGCCTGGACCCGGATCTGCCACAGCTCACCCTCACGCCTCACCGGTTCCACCTGGCTCACCTGGGGGATGCCAAGGATGTGAATGGGAGCCACTGACTTCCTGGGGATCTGAGAGGGTGGGAGACTTGCCTCCATCCTGGCAGCCTGGCCCCAGGGTGGAAACACCTGAGGAGGGTTCACAGCCTGCTAGGGGAGACCCAGTCCTGTCTTGGTCTCTGGGGAGCCCCCCCATTTGAGTAGGAGGAGAGTCCTGTCTGGGAGGAGACACATCACCATCTTGTGATCCTTGGGGGGACACAAATGGGATGTGGCCCAGTCCTGGGGTCTGAGGAAGGCGGTCATGTGATGTGCCCCCTAGGGAGAAGGCACAGTCCGCCCCGGGAGTCCTATCAGAGACGGGAGCCCCTGCCTGAAGAGGGACAGTCAGCCCGGCTCTGAGAGCCACAGGGTGCCCCTCACCTGGGCATGGAAGCGGTCGAAGGTCATGATGGGCCCGAAGAAGAAGAAGGGCAGGTAGAAGTTGTACTTGAGCAGGTCGGCCAGGGAGTAGCGGCGGTCCGGGTGGGCACAGCTCTCCAGCGCGAAGCTGGCGCACCGCAGCACCGTGAAGCCGCTGCCCCCCTGGAACAGCACCTCTTGAAGATCAAAAGTGCCCGTTACAAACCCGTTCTGGAGGGGAGAGAGCAGGCCGCCGGCTCAGCAGGTGCCCCTGGTCTCCGGGGAGCCCTCCCAGCTTCCCCAGGGGCCCAGCCTGGTCCTGTCCCTGCCACTCTCCAGACCCAATCGACGTTGGCCATTCGGGGCCAATTCATGGTAAGGGCCGGGGCAGATCAGAGGAGCTGCTTGGGTGGAGGTGACCCCCTTGTGGGCAGGGAATCCTCCATGGTGAAGGCTGGGAGACGGTGGGGGAGGTGAAGGAGAGGCTTGGGGAGGTTGGGCGAGAAGGGCTTCGGATGGGGTGAGAGGGTTGAGGGCCTATTCCTGCACCCCCTCCCCTCCCCGCCCCTCCCTGTTGCACACCTGCCAGGAGATTAGGGGGTCCAGCTTGAAGGAGGCAAGGCTGGCCATGCTGAGGCCCAGACAGAGCCAGGGCTGGCCCAGGAGGGAGGCCACATAGTGGCCGACACAGTGGCCAAGCAGCAGCAGCAGGTACCAAGGGCCCATCGTGCCCACCACGGCCAGGGCCCCGTACACGGCGTACATCCAGGCGCGGAGCTGTGGGCGGGGGGAAGGCTTCGTTTACCTGTCCATACACATGGAGTGGGACCCCAGCATGGCTCCCCCACACCCCCTGTCGCTGAGGAGGAGCCAGAGGGGGAGGCTGGGGTGGCTCAGATCCTGCTCACCTGCGGAGCCACCATGGTGCAGAGTTTAGCAAACAGCACGTGTCCGGAGAGGGTGAAGAGGATGACATTGCGGAAGGAGCTGAACCACATCACCCACTCGAAGTCAGCCACGTCCTGGGTGGGCCCGGGCAGGTTAAGGTGGGGCGGGGACAGGATGGGCTGGCACTCGGGCTGCTCAGAGTCCCAGCGCGCCCCAGCCCCCCGGGTTCTTCTCACGCATGCGAGCAGAGCCATGGCTGGAAGCCCTGCCTTCCCCTCTGAGGGAAGCACCAGGCAGGGAGACAGAGAGGCTTGAGGGGCACCATGGGGGCTGCTCTGCCCCTCAAAGCTCCGCCTCTCCCCGGCCCGTTGCCTGACATGAAACCATTATTGCATTGTTCCTGGGAAGGAAGGAGGCTTCAGCTAGGCACGTCTCCATTTATTTCCTGAATGAGCAGGGTCTGGGTAGGAGGGGCCAGTGGAGAAAGGGAAGGTGCTGGAGCTCACACGAGAGACCCTCCCCATTGTGAGCCCCCTGAACGTCTGGGGAAGGGGAGCATCAGGACAGGTTTGGGGTCAGAGAGATGCGCCAGGGGCCAGGGACCCCAGTCAGGGACCTGGGGTGTGAAGGACCTACCATCTTCCGGCCAATGTACTCCCAGCCGGGTCGCACAGACTCCCGGAAGGCCTTCCTTTGGGCCCCATCTGAGAACAGAGTGTGGCCTCAGGGGGAGGACCGCCCCGCCTCTCCCATGCCTGCCCTGCACCAGGCTGGCCCCCACCTCAGAAAGCCTGCGTCTCTCTCTGCCTGTCTCTCTCTGGGGCTCACTGTATGTCTGGGCCCAGATCTCCCTAAGTGTCTGAGTCTCTCTCTCTCTCTCTCTCTCTCTCTCTCTCTCTCTCTCTCTCTCTCTCTCTCAGGCTCTGGGTCCAGGTCCCTGTCAGTGCTCCTGCGTCTGTGTCTCCCTGTCATTGTATCTGGCTCAGCCAAGTCCCAGGGCCCAGAGACTACCGGAGCCTCTGAGTTTCTGGCCTTGCTGGTTGGAACTCGGAGGCCCCCAGAGAGAGAAGGGTCCCGCTCCCCTGCCCAGGGGCCCAGCGGTTACCTTGTGAAGCCTCGAGGAGGCCTTGGCCAGCATAGGCCAGGGCCCCACTCAGCACCAGGGAGTACAGGCCCAGCTCCGCCGCCGGCAATGCTGTCTTGATGCCCATAGCCTGGACGTGGCTGGGGAGACAGAGGGGGTGGGGGCACTGCTGACCCCCAGTCCTGCCTAGCCGACCTTATGCTCCCCCACTGAGGTGGTGAGACCCCCCCCCCACTCTTGAGACTGCCCCTCTTGCCTCCTGGGGGGTCTCATCCCATCCTTCTTCCCTCCCCCCATCCCCAACTCCTCCCAGGCCTCCCCCAATCCAAGCTCCTGTCTTTCCCCTTGAAATCCTTGGAAGCATACTCTCCACCCTCAGCCTGCCTTCCTCACCTTCATGTGCTCCCATACCTTGCGGTGGGCTGGTCCCCACCCTCTGCTCGCACTGCTCCTGCCCAGGCCTCAGGTGCCCTTCATGTGGAGCAGTCCCATCTGCATCACCTCGATCTGCTTCCGGCCCTCAGGGTCCCCACCCGCTTCAGTAAGCCTCCCTCCGTCCTGACAAAGCCCCACCCGTCCCTGTCCGCTTCTCTGCCTTCCACACCCTCTGAGCCGCCGCTGTTACTTCCCCTGACCTCCCCAGGTGCAGCCCCAGCACCAAGCCTCCGGCCTCTCCCTGACCCCCACACCCCAGCCTGCCCTGTCCCTGGTCCCTGCCTGTGTCCCCGGTCCCTGCTGTGCCTCTCAGTGCTCTGTGTATTCAGGCCCTGGATGCTGGCTGGAGGCCGTGCTTTTTGAAGAGTAGCCCTGGGGTAGCGGGAGTGGGGCCAGACAGGCACCCGGGAGGGCATTGGCCGCTGTCCAAGGTGCTGACCGTATCAGGCTCAGGGCGAGCCTAGCCACTCCCTTTTCTACCAGAGTCTGGTTTGTCCCCAGGAGCTCTGCTGGGCCATCCCTGGGCCCTCAGCTAGCACCCATTCCTTCCCTGTCTGGCTCCAGCCTGGCCCAGCACCTTCCCAAGGGCCCCATGGGTAACAGACTCAGGGCCCAAATTAAAGGGGAGGTGGGGGACATGTATCGGCACCCTCTCCGGCTGGGCCAAGCCAAAAGGTAGCGGGCATGGCTCTGCCTTCCAACCCGGGTCCCCTCCCTCACCAAGTCTGATAACAGCTCTCCTGGGCCCCCGGAGTCAGCATTCTCCCTATTACACAGATGGAGGGGCCATGGAACCGAGAGGCGTGCGGACCTGTGAAGGTCATACAGCAAAATGGATAGGATCAGGGGTCCTCAGTGAGATAAAAGGACCATCGCGGCCCCTTCCCAAACCAGGGGCTTCTGCGCCCGACTTCTGCGCTGCTGGCCTGAGGGCTGAGCCGCCTCCTTGTCGGCCGGCGGCGGGGGTAGGGAGGCCCCAAGGATCAGGTTAATGGAGCAGGAGCTTGAAACCGGAGCACGGTGAAGAGCCCGCGAAATAGCTTTGTCAGCTGCCTCCCACTCGCCACTTTCCAATTTTAGCTCCCCATGGCCGGTGCGGGTGTCCCTAAGTGAGCCTCTGAGCAGGGCCAGGGCTGGCCCCCGGCCTCGGACCTCTCCCAGTAGACCCCCAGACCTGGGCCATTTAGTGGGCACAGGAGTCCCCCCTGTCCCCCGGTCCTGCCGGCTTCGAGCACACCTGGTGTAAGAGCCCGCGTTGGGACCTGAGGTCTGAGATGAGGGGCCTGGGGAGGGCTCTGAAGGTCTCAAGGATCCCACAGTAGCTGCATCCCCGGCTGGCACTGACCTTGAGGCTGTGAGGGACCCTGGCACACTGCCCACCTCGGGGCTCCGGGGTCCTGCGTCCAAGCGTTTGTCCGTCCGACCAGCTGGGCTCTGGGGCCACGGTGGGGCCGTCCAGCCCTGGGGTCCCCACCCCCTCGAGGCTATGAGCGGTGAGTGGTGACACAGGAGCAGGGGGAGGAGGAAGGCAGGGAGGAGGTGGCCTGCCTGGAGCGGAGCTGAGCGGAGTGGAGCCGAGCTGAGCCGAGTGCTGCAGAGCTGCTGGCCACAGGGAGCCGCAGGGAGGATCTCATGGGGGTGAGGGTGGGGTGGGGTGGGGGTGGGGTGGAAGGGGTGGCCAGTGTCTCAGAAAGGGACACCTGGGCCTCATTTTAACCTGCCTCCTTGGCACATAGAGTCTGTGCCTCCTGTCACAGCCAGCCAGAACTCCCCTCTTCCAGGAAGCCTTCCCGGTGTCCCTTGCTGGTCTCTCCAGGCCTGTGATCCCTGCAGCCACCACACACACACACACACACACACACACACACACACATACACACCACCCCCCCACACACACACCCCACACACACCCCACACACACACACACACACACACACACACCACACCACACACCCCCACACACACACACCACACCACACCCCCCCACACACACACACCACACACACACACACCCTACACACATACACACACACACCACACACACACACCACACACACATACACACCACACACACACACAACACCACACCCCCACACCCCCCACACACACCCCCCACACACAACACACACACACCACAAACACACCACACACACACACCACACACACACACACCACACACACCACACCCCCACACACACACCACACCCCCCCACACACACTCCCCACAAACACCACACACACACCACACACACCCCCACACACCACACACACACCACACACACACACCCCACACACATACATACACCCCCACACACACACCACACACACACCACACACACCCCCACACACCACACACACACCACACACACACACCACACACACACCACACACCCCCCCACACACCACACACACACCACACACACACACACCCCACACACATACATACACTCCCCCCACACACACCCCACACACACACCACATGCGCGCGTGCGCGTACACACACCACACCCCACACACACACCCCACACACACATACATAGAACACACCACACACACACCACACACACACATACCACACACACACCACACACACACACACACACCACACACAACCACACCCCCCACACACATACACACCACACACACATGCACACTCACATACACATACCACATGCACACATACACACACACACCCCCACACCCCACACACGCGCACACACCACACACACACACACACACACACTTGCATGATCAGCTCCAAGAACCCCAGCCTGCACCTTTACAAGTGAACGCCCATGGGCTGACCCAGGGCGGACCATCTAGCCCTGCCCCAGGCCATCATGCCGAGAGTCCTGGCTGGCCGGGAGGACAGACTTGCCCAGTGGGATTGGAACTCACAGAGACACGTGGCTGTGGGACCCTCTGGGCTCCAGCCCTGTCCCATCGGGTGCTGCCCAGATGGAGGGGTGCTAGCGGGGTCACTCGGCCAGGCTTGAGTGGGTACATGGAGTGACTGACATCCTCTCCATGGCAGGGTGGAGGCAGCCAGCAACGTCCCTAACCACTGGGGCTCCCCTGGGGGAGGCGGGAGTGGGGAGGGGCTCCTCTGGGGGAGGTGGGGAGTGGGTAAGGTGCAGCCAGGTCCACAGCCCGGCCTATCGGATGGGGCCACCCTGAGGGGATAGGAACCTCTGACAGTCCCCCTTTAAATCAGGGGCCTGAGAGTCTACGGGGGACCCTTCATGCATGTATGTGGGGGCCAGAGGCTGCTGTGTGACTATGATCACAGGACAGGCCCTGGTGCCACTGCTGACCCCAACTCTGGCCACGGGCTCCGGTGCAACTGGGAAGAAGGGGCTGCTCTCCTACCCCCCTGCAGGGGCACTTCCAGGGCCTGGGCAAGGCCTGGGAAGGAGAGAGAGACCCATACCCTCCTAATAGTGCTTTTAGGCAGTGAGCTTCTGCCCAAGCATGCAGGCATGCTGGCCCAGGGACCGAAGCTCGGAGACCCCACACACACTCCCCACAGTGGCCAGACCTGCATCACCGGCTCCTGACCCTGAGCAGTGTGAGGCGCGATGAATGCACAGTGTGGGGGCTGGGTGGGGACTGCCGTTGAGATCCTGGCCACTTAGAGGGGCCAGCACCAGGGAGGGGTGCCCGTGGGAATTAGGGAGGGATTCCCAGCCTGGAGTGGGGGCCACCTGAGCAGAGTCCTGAGAGAGTCGATGGTTGTTAGGAGTAAGTTCATCCCAGTAGCCAGGCATGGATCAACTCTTTTCATTTCACCAGCACCTGGAAGGTGTAGCCTTAGCCCCGCTCGATGGGAAAGGAGACGGACGCACGTGGCTGAGGCAGTCCCCTGAGCTTCTTGAGCTGACAGCCCTGCAGGGGCCAGCACCCAGCTCCCACAGGAGCTGCTGGAGGAGGCCACTGTGGCCCTGGCCGGCCATCCTGCTGGTGCCTTCAGGAGGTTTGAAGGCGATGGGTCAGGGAAGCGGACAAGATGGTTTGGCTCCACAGAGTTCAGGTCCAGCCAATTCACTTGAACCTGAGCTGCACCTCGCTGAGCCCCAGATCCTCACCTAAAAACGGGCAGACTCCGGCGCTGACCGTAGTGCGTTCCTGAGGGGCTTGACAACTCCCTCCATGGCCTGGCCTGGCTCCCTAAACTGCTCATGAAGAGAAGCTGAAACCCTCTCCCTGGAGAGGCCCAGCGAGACAGGACCCCCACACAGCAGGTGTTTGCCCGGGGACCCCCTCACAGCGGGGTCTCTAGGGAGCTCGGCATGGAGGGCCAGGGAGGCCCTTGGACCTGGGGCTGGGTGGCCCGGCTGCACGCTGTGTGAGGGGGGCGGGAGGCGAGAGTGGCTGGTGTGGCCGGGCCACAAAAGGAGGGGCAGGAACCCGATCAGGGTAAGACCAGCGCAAGGACCTGGGGTCACAAATGGAAAGATGTGGTGGGGCAGAGTTCCTTTTCATCTCTGCGGGGGGTTTTGTTGTTGTTCAAAGTAAGGATGTGGGGAAAGCTCCTGTGTGTGTATAAAATTGTGTCGGTTGTGTGTGTGGTGTGTGTCTGTTTTGTGTTGTGTGTGTGTGTTTTGTGTTGGTTGTGTGTGTGGTGTGTGTCTGTTTTGTGTTGTGTGTGTATTTTGTGTTGGTTGTGTGTGTGGTGTGTGTATGTTTTGTGTT